AAGTTAAAATTGAAAAAATGAAATTAAGTATCTTTTTGATTTAAAATTGAAAAAATTAACTTTCGATCATTTTTACTTGTTTATTTTATCCCATAATTTTTAGAAACTAGTTCAGAAAAGAAATAAAAAAGATAACATTTTCATATAAAATTATATGTATGTAATAAAAATTGCTAACTTTTGATAAAATTAGAAAAAATTAAGAATATTAAATGATTATATTGAAAATTATGATAAAAGAAATACTAAGCATTTATTGATTTCTATGTAATCAAGGCAGACAGATATTTTTTAAATACAAAATTTACAATAAAAGAAATTACATATTTATTGATTTGTATCTAATTAAAATGGATTTTTTTTATATATAAAATTTATATAAAGATTGCCTAATTTATCTTAAAATGTTTTCTTTAAAAATAATAATTTATGAACATAAAATAAATCTTATGGTCAATTTAAAGTAAAGCTGATTCAAATTTTTTAATAATTGATTTTCTTTTAGCCGAATAATCATTTTTATGCTTACATTTAATTATATTTTAGCTGATTAATTTATTGTATTAGAAATATGGACTTGCGAATATATTATTTATTAATGAAAATTTACATTCAGATTATTTAAATAGAGGCAAGCAAGCAAGCAAATAATTAAATTTATGATAGTATTTATTTATTCGTTTTTGTAAAATTAAGAAAGAAAAATACTTATTTTTTTCTTTTAGAATTACATTAATTTCTTTTAAAGTTAATATTATATAACTGAATCTTCGTTCCCATTAAATTAATAGACCTTTTTGTTGATAAAAATTAAGATTATTCAATTTAATTTAGTATAAATCATACCATCCTAGCTCATGTCTTATCTTAAATGTTTGAAATTTCATTAACACATATATTTATGAAATAAAATTTTATTTTAATGTTATCATTGATTATTTAATTTTAATAATATTTAAAAATTTTAAAAACTGAATTCATTTTAATAATACAAAATAAATATTTTAACTAAAAAATTTCAATCAAAAATATATTTAACAAATATCAAAAAGTAAAACAAACCAAGTTTCAAAAATTAAAGCTATAAACAAAGGTCATTTCAATTACATTCATCCGTTTTTTCATTGAAATATTTTGAAAATCAATTTACTAAATGCATTTAAAATAATATTAATAGTTATCTTATGATAAAAAATGTTTATAAAATAATAGAGATTCTCCTTTATTTCGTTCATATTTTTCAGAATGTCATAAACTAAGATTTTAGATAATTTTAAAATACATAATAAATTTCTTAGAATAGATAGATATTATTTTTAAATTTTTAATCAAAATTGTTTATTCTCTGATTATCTTAATTAATCTGATTTTAATTAAGTAAATTTTTTAAATTGTCTCATAATTAGGTAAATATTTTTAGTTGACTCATAATTAATTAACTTTTAATTCTCTCATAATTAGGTCAATATTTTAATTGTCTCATAATTAAGTAAAATTTCATATGACGTTAATTTGAATTGGAAACTATCATTTGAAATAAAAGAAGATTAATAAAGTATGAAAATTAATTATGTCTGATATTGAAGTAGATTTTTCCAAAAATAAAATAAATTATTTATTTATTTTAATAATTGCATAAAACTGAATTTTTTGTAGTCTTTTTGCTTAGTTTTTTATTCAATCAACAATATTGAGAAAATTTTGATTTGTAAATAATTTTTAATATTTAAATCTATTAAGGACAATATAATTTTAGAGAGAAACTTCATAGATAATATAATATTATCGTATGATAAAAAATGTTTATAAAATAATAGAGATATATTTTATTTTAATATTAATTTAGTGTTTTTTTATATTTTTAGAAAAATTAACCAAAAAAAAACTAGTGTCCATTATTTTCAGAATGTCATAAACTAAGATTTTAGATAATTCTAAAATAGATAATAAATTTCTAAAAATAGATAAATAGATAAATATTATTTTTAAATTTTTAATCAAAATTGTTTTTTCTCTATCAATTTTAATTAGTCTTTTTCATTATTTAGGAAATCTTTTAAATTGTCTCATATTTAGGTAAATATTTTTTATTGTCTCATAATTAAGTAAAATTTTAAAAAACGTTAATTTGAATTTGAAACTACCTTTTGAAATAAAGTAAGAAAATTAATTATGTCTGAAATTAAAGTAGGTTTTTCCAAAAATAAAATCAAATGTATTCACTACCTATTTAATTCTATTTAAAAATATTGCATTTTAATTGATTGTTTCATATTATACCATTTTTAAAACATTTTATATCAAATATTTATTTACTTATTTTAATAATTAAATAAAACTGAATTTTTTGTGGTTTTTTTGCCTCGTTTTTTATTGAATCAACAATATTGAGAAAAGATTGATTTTTACATAATTTATAATATTTAAATTGATTAAGGAGAATAGAAATTTAGAGAGAAACTTCAAAGAGAATATAAAAAATTTAAATAAAAAACAATTAAATAAAAAAATAATACTATGGACTTTTTTAAAAAGTTTACTCCTCATTCAACAAGATTACCAAACAACCAATAAACAGTATATCAAAAGCACAGATAGTAAAATCTGTATAATGATGAACACAAAAATGTAAGTATTGTTGTGGGTAACTCTTAGTAAGGGAAGGATACTTTTATTTGGAGTTTCGATCAAAATCTTCTTAAAAATAGGAAAATAAATATAGGAGATGGAAAGAAAAGTTGTACTTCTTAATTTGAGTTTATAAATTATAAATGTTCTGAGCTAATTGGACTCAATTAAGGAATAATCCTAAATACTATAGGATTAGGCGATTCTTCTTTAAATATGGATGATTCTTAGATTGTGACTGAAATTTATGCACACTTCATGAGAGAAATTTCTAAGATTTCTGGTGGTGTTCATACATTTTACTTCGTTTAGGGTTTAGATGCTTCACCAATACTTTAAATAGAGAGAAGTCTCATCTATATGTAAGCTGCTCTAGGAAAAGACATATTTAAATCCTCAGTAATAATAGCAACAAAAGGGAACAAACTAGATGATGATGATCTTGAAACTGCTATTGAATGCCTGAAAAAGCTTGCAGTAAAATATTAGATAAAAGGCGGAGTTATTGATTACAGATGCCCTTATAAGAAAATAGTAAAAGGTTAAGAACAGTATGGAACTCCTGTCAGTGATTAATAGTTTACTGAAGTTAAAAAGGAATTGCATAAATGCCTCATGGGTTTAGATTTCTTCTCTATTGAACCTCTTATGAATAATCTCAAGAATGAAGTCGAAAATCTTAAACAATAAATAAAAGAAGATTCTAAATATTATAAGGAATACTTCGTGAAAAAAGTGAAAAGAGAAACAAGATGGTATACTCTTTGGTTGTTTGAACACAAAACCACGTACTTTGAGAAATAATACGAAACACTTTTCACGAAGACAGAACCTGACATTTTAGCTGAGGCAATGGAAAGGGCTCTTGAGAAAAATATTTAAGAAATGAAAGTAGCTCTATAATAGGTTACAGGTGATGATTGAAATAATAACAGCTAAATTATTCTTATGTTGCTTTTAAAGACTAAAATATTTCTTATTTTAAAATTCTTAAAAAAAGTTAAATAATTTTCAAAGATGTTAAAAGTATTTTGTATAAATATGTTTTGTTTGTTACATTCAATTTTTTACAATAAAATAAATAAATATAAATACTTACTTTTTATGTTATTCATAATTAAAAAAATTAATCAATTTTAAGCAAATTAATTTTTATAATTTATAAAATATTTTTGATCATTATTTAAAATAATTTAAATTGAATTATTTAAGCATTTTATTTAAATAGTATAATGGTGAATAAAGAAGATTTGGTATTTTATAGCAACTCATTTTCGAATGGTTTTTTTGAAAAATTTAGAAAACATAATAAATAGTATGCATTGGATTAAGTCAATAACTCAACATAAAATTCAGATTTAATCAACAAAAATAAAATAAATTTCTAAAATAGAATATTATTAAATAATTAAAGCATTTTCCTCCTTAAATTTTATATTTTCCCTTTAAAATTTAGTTAAAAAAAACATTAAATTACTTATCTACTTGCTGATTCTATCATCATCACATATAATTTCAAATTTCTTTTTTTTGATGAAGAAGTATAATAAAACTGAATCAAAACTAAAAAATATAAAATAAATACAAAAAATAAATTCATATTCCTATAAAACTAGTTTCATAAAATATTTTTTTTTTGAAAAAGATTAAAAAAACGCTTTTTTTTTGAGCTAATTTTATAAATTCATTTAAATTGTTTGAATGTTTTAGCTAAATAAAAAAATTAATTAATTAATCTTTCAATTCTACTTATTATGACTATCTTTATAAACTAAATAGAAAACTATGAATGGCTCAAAAATTCTCAAAAAAAAAATTCTGCTTTTTTCTTATTTGTATTTTAATAATTATTTAATTATGTATTTTTTGAGCTTTCATCATTCATCTATTTTAAAATGAAAATAAAAATAGAATAAATAATTTTTAATTTTTAAATAATTAATTTGAAATTAAAATTTAATTTTTTAAAATGAAGATTTAGTTTTTTAATTTTAGAATAGAATTATTTATTTAAAATAAATTTTATATTTAATAAAAAATTTGATTTATGTTTCAAATATTTATGATAAGATCTTTAGTTATTTATGAATTTTATTCTCAAAATTAATTAGTATGAATTAAATGTGTTACGAACAAAAGGGAGAAGTGATTAAATTGTTTCTATGTTTATGAGCACATTTTATTGGTTCTGATAGAAAAGAAAAGTGAATGAAAATAAATTGATTAGTTTTTTTGTACACTTGGATATAAATACATTAATTACTACAAAATGTTAATAGGGAATAATATATATATTAAAACTAGTTGATTAGATATTTTATATAAAATAAAGGTGAGTGAGTGAGGATGCTATCATATTTTATTTACAAATAGTTTTCAAAAAGATAAGTAAGTAGATAGATAGTAAGACTCTCAGTCAATCTTTTAGTCAATTTATTGATTGATTGAGCCTCAGTAGTATAAATAATAATTTATTATAGGTTAGTTAAGTTAGGATTAATTCATTAATTATTCACATCATTTTCTTTTTTATTTATTTATTTATTTATTTATTTATTTATTTATTTATTTATTTATTTATTTACATTGCTTATTTAGATAGATCGATAGAAAGATAATGGGAGGGAGTTAGATAATGCATAGTTTTTAAATTTATTAATATTAAGGATAAATAAATTCCTTTGATTGAAAGAGTTTTTAAATTTATTTGAATCTAATTCGATAGTATTTTGCTAACATAAATTGTACTCACATTAGTATCTATTCTATTTAGTTGTTTTCACTCATCCAAGGATGTTGCAATACTTCGTCTATTGAGATACGATTTTAGGGCTCGCTTTCTAGGAGCTTGTTTATTAAGTCTTTAAGCTAATCTGAAGGATTTTGATATTTTTTAAATACTTCCCAATATTCTACATTTTCTTAAGTGAATTTTTTATACAATCCTTAGTCAAGTTTGGCATGTTAGAAAGGAGGTTTGCCCATAACCATTTCGAATAGCATCACTCCTAAAGAGAAATTGTCTGCGGCGAAACCGCAATAAGGGTATTTAAGTATAATTTCTGGAGCTTGATATCCATCAGTTCCAATAAAATCAGTTAAATTGGGTTTGTTGAAAGCAGCGAATGCAAAATCTATAACTACTGGATTGAAAGAGGCATCAAGTAGAATATTTTCTAACTTCAAGTCTCTATGGCAGATATTACGTTGTTAGAGATATTGTACTGCTTTTGAAACGCCTTTGAAGAAAAATCTGGCTTAACTTTCTCTGAGAGCCCCTCTTTTAATAACAAAATCTAAAAGATCTCCATTTGGACAATAATCAGATTAGATTTCCATTTAAGAAGTATTTATACTTTATATTTTTATGATATTAGGGTGTTAACCATTAATTAATGAAAGGATTTTATGTTCACTTTCGAAATGATGTTCTTTACGCTTTTTGAATTTTTTAATGGCTATTAAATTATTTGAGAGAATATTGTTTAGCTCATCCATTTCCTTAGCTAAATATACAACAGAGCTGCATCCATCTCCAATCTTTCTTTCGATTTTGTAAGTATTGCTTCTAACTTTATTTCTTAGCATTTATTTATCTGTTTTTAGAGGACTTTTTCCTGCTGGGATGCACCTTTCACTCTCTGAATGAGCGCTATCAGAGGCTGTATCGTATTTTTTTGAAGCAGATTTTACATTTTTTGCTTAGCTTTAAGCAGAGCTTGGCAAATCTGGAGACTCGCTACCAGAAAGAAGTGGTGAGCCAGGAACCTTTTCAGGTGGTGAAAAGGGAAGGTTGTTGTCTGAAACGGTGCAATTTGAGTCTCTTTGTGTAAGATTTGTAAAGGAAGTAGAAGATATTGATTGCTGCTTGTGAATTTGTTATAATTATTCTTCTTAAAGGAGGTTATTACTTTTGTTAGTATTTATTAGGAGTGTTTTTTCATTCAAATTAGTGGCTGTTTTAGCTTATGTCTATTATATTTCTAGTTAATTAAATTAATTCTAAACTAGCTTTGTCTTTTAGAACTAATCTAATTCTTTATCAACCTTTAAATTAGATGAAAGCTCTTCCTTTCTTTCGCAATCTTAAATAATTTCATTTGATTTTTCCTAATTTTCTTTTATTTAAAACTCATTTTTATTTTCTAAATCACCAATTATTTTTATTTTGTTGTTCATAATTTCCTCTGAAGGTGGAGGAGAATAGTAGACATCTGAACTCATATTGACTTGTTAATTCTGTAAACTCTTTATAATTTATTCTTAATCGATATGATTTTATTTTTATCCAAAAAAGTAACTATCGTTTGTTGACTTTTTATTTAAAAAATTCTCTTGATAGTGAAAATGGGCGCTTTTCTTATTTTTTAGGTCAGAAATTGTCTCGAAATCTGACTATATTATCACAGGTTAATGTGCTTTAGTTTAAATTTGTTAGCTAGTTGATTGCTTCTGAGAGGCTATAGTGCAAAACTTAAAACTACACTGGAAAGAATCTAATTTAATTCTTTCTTTTTTTGCAGAAATATTTGTTTGTGAATTTAGCTTTTTTAATATAAAATTTGTTTTATTTTTATCAGAGTCCCCACAAGTTGTATCAAGAGCAGAAATTAAGTAGACTATTGAGTTTGTATTAAATTTAAATTTTTTGCATCCTATTTAGTCTGCTAACAAATCGCGCATATCACTCGTCATTAATTAATTAAAAATTCTATGATTGACAAATTAAGCCTAACTGCAATAATTGGTCTTTTTATTTTATTCATTCATACAAAATTACGTCTTTTTAAATATACCTCCAAATCCATAATTCTACTCTTCACTTGATTACCTTTCTCTTCTCTTGTCATCTTCGTTCACTCCATTCTTAGTTCTAAAGTTATTTAGCAATTTTTCTCCACATTTTTTTGCACTATTAAAATTGATAGACTGTAAATTTCTTATTGCACCTACTGCTGCAGTCCTTCTACCAAAATATCTAAGCATCAATTAATAACAAAATATACAAAAGAGTTAATATAAATATTGAAGTCAATTACAAAATAAAAATTAAGACAGGACTATAATTTTAGTTTAATAAGTCAAAATTATATCCTTTTTATAAATTTTTTTATAGTTTTATATTTTTGCCAAAACTCTTTCAACACGATGGAGTTAGATTATAATTTTGTTAAATTACTACTTTTCTATTAATTTTTTTCTATTATTTTTGAATACTTGAATACTGACTGAATAGAGTTATTATAATTCGATATTCTTTTAATTTAATTTTTAATATTTTAGATTTTAAATATTTCATTATATTTTCATCTACTTCAATAGATTAATAAATAAATTCAAATTCATTTGTAAATAAAAACAGATAGATATATCTTCTAGAAACCTCTTCTATTCATCATCTTCATTCATTTACAAAAATGAATTCTACTCCTTTGAGCGCTTTATTAAAGTTAAATTTCCTTAAGATTCTGCTAAATTAGAGCTTTTTGATCATTATGACCCAAGAAATCATATAATGCACTTATATTTATTGTAAAAATATACTATATTACTCATCGAAATACCAGCCATTGCTTAAATTTTATTTATACTAATTAAAAACAAAAATGCAAATTAATTATTAATTGTTTATTAGTGGCTTATTTATACTAAAAATCTTTAAATTCTTTAATCAATAAAATACATTTTAAAAAACTAATCAAAATTCATATTTTATCAAATTATTTTTCAGTAAAAATAATGATATTAGAATACAGAATTCTTTCGCTTCATTCTTATATGCATTTTACAAAAAATAATTGTTTTAGTCTAATATATAATTTTTAGTGTTAAATTTGATTTCATTATTTTATCATAAATTCTACTAAAAAAGATAAAAAATTATCAAGTAATTTAAAATCTTAAAAATCAATAAATTATTTTATTTTTAAAAAAAATATGCAAAATTATTAATTTAATGAAAAATTTTTTAAAATATTTAGAATTTACAAAAATAATTAAATTTCATTTAAAAAATGTACTTTTTAATATTTTATAATATTTATTATGCTTGTTTAGTAAATGTAAATACTTTGTAATTACTTTAAAATATTTGGTAATACTAACTAAAAAACTAATAACTCTTTCTATTGGAGGAGTAGGTAGATTCAGAATTACTGTAATATAAATTTTTTAACTTGTAAGTAACTATCACCAAGTAAAGCTAGATCTTAATCAGAAACAATATTACAAAATTTTTAATTAAAAAAAATGTGTATTTATGTGCCTGTAAAGCTCCATATAATTCATAAATAAAATTTTATGGTAAAATTAGTATCATTTAGATATTTTTTTATTTATGAATTAGAATAAAATAATATTTAAAGTAAATATAAATTGTATTAAGAGATGAAATTAATTATTGATTTTTAAACAAAATAATCAATTATCATATCATATCTTTTGATATATTTTATATAGGTGATTAAATATTATAGTCAAAGTAAATGTTAATAAAATGTATCTAATCAATATTATTTATTTTATTTTTCTTTTTTAAATCTAAATCCTTCAATCCTTCTTAAAAATTGAATTTGTTCAATATTTTTTTTACTAAATTTCTAAAGTTTAAAAAATAAGAGTAATGAAATAATTTTCTTCATCAAGTAATTAAATATAAATAAGTTAGAAGATGTTTCTTTAAATTTGATTAAAATAATAATTTTCATAGTACATCAAAAATTTAATTCAAATAATTATAAAATAAAAAAGTGTTTTACTATCTTTCTATGATATAAATAACATAAAGCAAGATTGAAATGAATGCTTTCGAAAGTTGCTTCATTAATTTTGTGAAGATTTTGTTTTTCATTTTATTTTGAAAATATAGTTCATCATATGAATAAAATTAGTAGTAAAAGTAGTAAAATAAAAATAAAAATAAAATATTAATACTAATTAATTTTATTTTTAAAAAGAGTATTAAATGTAAAAAAGTAAATTTATAAAATTATAATCTGAGATTTTTTTCAAAATTTATTAATTCAAATAAAATAACAATAATAATAAAAGAAAAGTAAGTCTGAAAAATTGGAGAAATTCTATTTCATTTTATTGGGTTTTCTTTTATATTCACTGTTAATTGCATATAAATAAAAGAATTAGAATCAATTTAGAAAAATTTTTTTTAGTTTTAAATTTATTAGTTTTTTTTATTTCTAATTTAATTGGTAAATTTTTGATAGATATTATTTTATTTATTTCTTTAAATGACAATTTTTATATTAATTAATTACCACAACAAAAAGTGAATTAAACATTCTTGATTAAATTTCCTATTCAAAATAATTAATTATTTATATCAAATATGATAATAATATTAATACACTGTTATCTTCTGATTAAATGAGTTACTTATTGAAAGATATTTTTTCATTCAAAAATAAGAATAATTTTTCTTTTTTTCTTTTTAAAAATTAAATTAAGTGAAAGTTTTTTTTATTATTTAATGTAATATTTTGATTAAAAAAAATTACAAATTAAAAAGAATTAACAATAAAAAGAATAACAAAACAAATGAGTTAAAAACTAATTTGTCCAGTCCATCTAGATAATCCTATCATATTTTTAAACATGGAAAAATGTTAAGAAAGTGCATTATCGTGCGCTTTATGTGTTTCTGAAAAATAGCATCAATATAATTTGTTACCAATCTAAAAGCTAAAGTAAATTGATGAAGAATCTCTGTTTGATTCATGGCCGCCATTTTAAGAAAGAAAATATGATAATGTTAACGATATAAGGAAAGAAGTGAAAATCTTGATTGAGTCTAAATAACAAAAAGTTGAAGAAATCAATAATTGGTTTGACTAATTACTTACCCAAATCCATAATCAAATTATTGAAAAAAAAAATAGCATACTAAGATAGGCAGAAAAAGCATCTTAGCTCAGAGAAGATATTATAAAAAAGTATTTTGAGTACTCTCAAAATTTAAATATTAAGAAATGCCTAAAATCAAATTAATCAGTTGATTAAATAGAAAAATAATTATAAAATTTAATAAAATAAGTTCATGAAAAGTCGGAGAGCTAAACATTAATGTTTTAAAACTTGATATCATTTTATAAATTTATAAATTCATATAACAAATATCCTTTGTAAGACAGTTAAGAGGATATTATTATTTCGATTAAAAATATTGATTTTTTCAATTTTAACACTGAAGATATAGATTTATCAGGATCAAACATTGAAAATTTATTTAGTGATCAAGATAATTTTGATGAACTTAGAAAATTAATATCTGAAAAAACCAAAGAAGATTATGATAGTTTTAAAGAATTAGATATTTTTATGAAAAATTCTTAAAATTAAATCTCTACTACAAATTCATTTATTGCCTCAGATATTTGTTAATAACTAAATTTTCTAAAAATAGAAAATAATAAATAAAAATAAATTGATATTCGCTTTGACAACTTAAACTTTAATCTGTTTAAAATTGAAAGAAGTTAACTATTTTGTTACTTTAAAAAGGGTTTGAATCCAAAAAAGAAATATACATTTAGGATTAGAAGTAAATCATTTGTAAGTGGTTCTACTAAAATAAATGTAGGATTAATCAAAAGTCTCAAGGAATATTTCCCTGATATAGATATTAAGATAAATAATAATCATAATAACACCAACACATAAACTGAAGAATTAGAATTCAGGATTTGTATTAATGATAATTTATTTACAGTTATGAGTTATCCAAATTACAACACCATTTGTAGATACACAATTCTATACAAATAGATTAATAATGCTTCTCTAACTAACTAAAAAGCTGAGAAAAATAATTTTTAATCTTAATCATAGATTAGCATTTTTGGTAAAAAAGTCGACCAACAAAATATCAGTCAAAATCTTTTCTCTTAAAATTAAAGTAATAATTGTAACAATAATACTAATTTCTAGAATTAGGAAAAAATACAAATAAATAGCCCTACTTGTTCATTATTTGGCTAAAATAATTGTGCTAATAATGATTGTATTACTAGGTAGGGAAATGAATCAGTTTCTTAAAGTATTTTCTAGAATTTTAGCTTAGGAAATAGTCATAATTAATAATACTAAGAAAAAACAAAGTTATATCCAGCATATTCTTAAGGATTAATAAGTAAAAATAATGTGGGATTATTTTCAAATTTAAATTAAAATCCTACTTAGATATTAAGTAGTTAAGATACTTAGAATATTAACACTTAACAAAAAGAGCCAGCAAGCCTAACATAAAATCCTACTAATTGTAACAATAATGGCACAAATTAAATAAATTCATAACAATAAAATTTATTTAATATAAGCATAGGAAATAATCAAAATTAATAATACTAAGAAAAAACAAATTAATGTCCTTAGATTTAAGAAGCATCTTCTTAAGGATTAATAAGTAAAAATAATGTAGGCATATTTTAGACAAATTTAAAATAAAATCCTGCTTAGGTATAAAGTAGTTAAGATACTCTGCAAGCTAATATTTAATAAAAAGAGTCGGCAAACTTAATATAAAATCCTACTAATTGCAGCAATGATAACACAAATTAAATAAATTCATAACAATAAGGTTTATTTTAACCATATTTAAATAATAAAAATACCAATAATACAGTATTAGAAACATAAAGAGGAAATACTTTTTAATCATCATAGTATTCTTAAGGAATTTTCGGTGAAAAGATGATTCCAGATAATTGGAGAGATAATACTACTTCATATTAATAATAACAAAATAATACTCCGTTATTTGCTACATAAAAATTCTAACAATAACAAAACACACTCAATTAGTAAACTCAAAAAATTAACGAATAGAGAAATAATTAGATTTTATAAAATGGAATTTTCTAAAATTAAAGCTCTTTATTAGAGTATTATTTCGCTATTTAATTTATTTACTGGAATGGAGATGAATAATTTACAGTAACTTACTTTAGCGAATCTGATTCTTACATTGATGGAGTTTATAAATAATCCTTTTGAATAAACTTAATAGTAAGCATAAATACTTTAAAGTATAATATCATTATGATTTTAGTATATTAAGAATAAATATTATTTTATTTTAAAAATAAATAATATTAATAATGGTGAACTATTAAAATAAAAAATATAAGAGTTCTTTACTAATTAAGAAAATATTTATAATTTAATAAGATAAATAAAGAGTCATAAATTTTTAGATTTATATTATAACTTAGATTTTATTGTTAACTTAAGTAATTAATACTCTTTAAAATATGTGTGTAATTTTAAATATTTTAAATAGCAAAAGTATCAACAAAAATGGAAGGAATTCTATGTTAAAATAAAAATAAATTTTTTAACTTAAATAATATTTTACAAGATTTTTTACTTTGATAAAAAATAATAACAATAATTAAATATATATCAAGCGATTCAAATTACATACCGTTTATTATTTAAAACAATAAGAGCTATTTTAGAATAATTTTTATTTATAATTTATCAAAGACATATTACGTAATTTGGAACATATTATTTTTCTAATTATAACAACTCTTGATTTTTTAAATGTATTGTTAAGTTTCTTTACTTATTTTCTAATTCTTATAAGTTAATTTCTATTTATTATTTTAATTCAGTTTATTAATATAAATTAATTTTTTCATAATTTAGAGCTGAAAGTCTTTGGTGATTTTGAAGCACTTGCCTACATTTTTCCAATTAATTCAATTAATTTTCATATAGTTCTTTTATTGTTTTAAGAATTAGATTATTTTCTCTCTGTAATAAATAAAAATTATCAATTTAATTATCAGAAGTTAATTAATTATATTGATAAAATTCATTCAATTTAAGGAGTTCTTTGTTAAGCTTCTCTATTTTTCTTATTTAATGTATATTAACAAATATAAGGCAAATTAATACTGAAATTCCTAAAAGAATTAAGATATTCTCATATTTGATTAAATTTTGTTATTTTTTAAAGGTAGAATTTGAATTTTATTTAAACTATTTCAAAATTCTTAAGGCTATTTAGATCTTATAAAGATAAATATAAGTAGAGAAATTTGATAATATTAAAATTAAAATTTTGAAATAAATGTTATTCAGTAAATTAAAATCTTTATGAAACAAAATCTCCATGAGCAAGCTGTTAACTCCTACAAATAAAAAAATATCTGATTTTCTTCTGGCATGCTTTTTTTATTATTATGTTTATCTCGAATTCAATAAATATTATCTGTTTTATTTAAATTCATTGTTACTATCAGATATTTATTCTCTATCTAGGATACAATTATTTACTAATAACTAATTTTTTATTAATTTATTATTCTAATTTGGTTATTATGCTCGAGATTATTAGTTTTAGTTTTGCATTTATTCTTTCCTATCTGTTTGTAGGTTTAAAAAGTCTATTTTTTTTTTCAATTAATTTTTGAAAAGTGTAATATTTTATTATATTTTTTAGACTTTCTTTATGACTTTCTTAAAAATAAGCCAAATAAATTAAATCATTTATTTTGAAATTAAATCAACCACTAATTTAAACGTGTAAATACACTGGTAATTATTATTATTGATTATTAATAAGAATCTTTAATAAGTGATTCAATTATCTTATTTAATTTTAGATACTATGATTATATTTTTAAGTTATCATGAAATAACTAAAAAAAAAAAAAATATTTAACTAAACATTTGTCTAAATTTCTTTTAATTAAATATTCATTAGTGTAGTTAGCCTATCCAAAATTAAAAAGTCATTTTAATTCTAAATAATTTATTTGATTTTTAAAATAATTAAATAAATTTCTATTATGCTTTTCCGAATTAAAAAAATGTCCAAAAATAAATAGTTAATTCATTCATTCCTACATTATGTTTAATTTTATCTTTTAAAATAATAGTGATATTATTATAAACAAATTGAATATAAAATTCTGAATATAAACATAAAAATAATTTTAAAATATTGTTAAAAAATAAATATATTTATTAGAAAGATTAAGTGAATTAAGAGATAGATATGGGTTTGAATAATAGCTCCCTTAAAGCTAATTTGAAATGAATTATAATTTTTTTTTATTTTTAAAAATATTTATTGTTAAAAAAATATATTAAATGGTTATTTTTCACAATTTGAAACCTGCTATTTCTGCAAAGTTATTATTCATTAGAATTCTGCCAAGATAGGAAGGGATGGAAGGCGTCTTAGTATATTTTTTTTTTATTTACTGAATATCAACAGGTTTAGAGAATATTTAAATATAGCTCATTCTCAAAAATATATCATCCTTGCAATTTTGTCTGATTAGCTAAAATATATTTTGAGCTCTTTACTCACCCTAATCAGTGTTCAGTCTTTCTTATTAATATTTATTATTATCCTAATCATCAGAATCACTTTTCTATTCTTCCTCATAGTATAAAACTTTAGTCTTTAAGATGTTGCCAATCAGGTTCTATTTGACGTTATGGAATTTATCAGGAGACAGTGAATTAGTTTTTAAGCTTTCTTGGTTGTTTGTTGGGTTTTATGCCATAAAATTATTTTAACCTTAGTGTCTTAAAAAATGTTTGTTTTATAATGTGTTAAAAGTTTGATTTAAACCTTAATATTACAAATCATGATTTATTTAAGTTGTTTCGTATCTGTTTTCTCTATATAGATTATTCTACTAATTTTAATTATTAAATACTTAATCTATATGATTATTATTCCCTTCTATTTTATTGTTGCTCTTTTAATTACTTTCTTGTTTCTACTATGCTTTTATTTTTAATAAGCTGTCATTCAAAGTATTATTCTAGAATACTCTGCTTAAAAATGTCAAAAAATTTGATTTGTTGTACACTGAACTAAGTTATTTATATTTCCCAAAATCGATTTGTGTTTCATCCAATTTATATTTGTCATCATTTTTCTATTTTTTTGACATATTTATGAACCACTACTATTTAAAAACCTTCCCCATTGCTATTCTTTTATCAGGATTAAACTCAAGTAGTTATTCAAGAAGCTAAATTAGTTCTGGCGACTTATTCGGTGCCAAGCTCTCAAATAATTCCCAATATTATTTTCGATTATCACAAAAAAGAGTATAAAATTCACATGACTTCTTAGAGGCACAAAAGAAAGGAGGTTTCCCATGAATCATTTCAAAAAGGAGTACTCCTAAACTAAACATATCAGCTTCATATCCACTATAAGGCTGATCTAAGAGCATTTCTGGACATTAGTAGCCTTCAGTACCCACATTATCATGAAAGCATCTTCTATCTTATTTAGTTTCAGCTTTTAGTATCTTTGCACAGAAGCTAAGATCGACAATTTTAAGATATCTTCTGTCATCTCTCAAAATAAGAATATTTTCCAATTTAATGTCTCTATGGCAAATGCTGTGTTTTTTTAAATGTCTGAGGGCTTCCAAGATCTACTTGAAATATCTAAAGGCTAGTTCTTCTTCAAATCGTCCACATTTAATTAATAAATCAAATAATGTTCCTCCCTTACAATATTCCATGCAAATTTCATACTGTTAATCATCTGTAAAGTAGACTTAAGGGAATAAAATATGGGGATTTATTTCTTGAAAAATATCCTTTTCTATTTGATAATGTTTTTGACATTTTAAATTGAACTTTTTTATAATCGCTTTCATCTTTTTCCCATTATCTGAGTTAATATGCGTCAGATAAATCTTGCCTGAATACCCTTCAGCAATTAATTTCCTTTTAGATGTATTGATTTCCTACATTTTAACTTTTAAGCTAGCTAAATTATTTGTAATAAACACCTAATCTATATTTATTTATTTGTTAATCAATCAATAATGCTAATTGGTACTCTAATTTTTGTTTCGTATTGTATTTTGTCATAACAATAGCTAGAAACTTAGCTTTTTTATAATAATCAAATAAACATAAATTTTGTTGAATAATTTATGTAAATTCATGAATTACCAGACCAGTTTTTAGTGTATTTATATTTGATATTTAGTGAATCAAATCATATGTAAAACTAGCTTTTTGATCTTTATTCTACTTTATGTTTAATAGTATAAACTATTAAAATAAACTTTTATTTATTTATTTATTATTTATTTATAATTTATTTTATCTTAAATTTTAAATATTTTTATAATCAAGAATTTAATATTTATTTTAAAAAATTATTAAAAAAATTAGTTAAAATAAGTAAGTAAAATATAATGTTAAAATAGATTATTTTAAAGTAAATATTACATTACATATTAAAGAAAAAATCATTTTTAAAAGTTGTACAATAATTCAAGATATTATATTAAATTTAGTTTTTACATAATAACCAACAAATTTAAACAACTGAAGCAATTAAAATGTGTGTGAAAATTATAAATTCTATTAGACTTAAAAGTAGATTTTTAATGTAAATCAAAACATTTTAGAGGTATCAGTGAGCATAGAGTTTTCATTTAATAAAATAGAGATAACTTAATTGTAACAAGAAAATAAAAGATTAGATAGATAGATATAGAGAGCGTAATGACTTACTTTTATATGAGATAAAATAATAAAAAATGCAAATACTATTTATTTACTTAAATTTTAAATTTTTTCGAAAATAATAATAATTATAAAAAGATTTCTCATAAGTATGAGAATGAATAAAAAATTACTTTTATTCATTTAAAAAAATGTATGTTTGTATATATATAACCTGAACCGAATTTAATTATTTCGGAGAATAGAAAATTTCAAAATAAAAAAAAATGCAATACCGTCTTTTAATATAGTGTAACATTTCTTTTAAACATACTAAATCAATAATCTTTAGCATAATTTATTTTTGAATATGTTTACAGTTTTACATATATATAAAATTATACTTTTTATTTTGTTGTTATAAGTTTTTATTTTTTCTCTTTTAGAGCAGGAATATTTAGGGCTAATTGGCAAATATAAATAATTAAAATAAAATATATTCTATATTATAAAGATGATAAAGCTAAAATTTACTATTACTATAATTTCTTTGCTTTTAGCAACATGTTTTGCTTAGTTATCTTTCCCTTTAAGGAAAGTATAAATAAAATAAGATTTTTCCAGATTCCTTTAGAAAAAAATGGGTATAACTAATTTCTCTAATAGTGTCTATATGCTTAGTATAAATGTTGGCTAGTCAAAAACCTAATTGAATGTTTAACTTGATACAGGCTCATATGTGTTGTGGTTTGTAAGTAAATCTTGCTAAGGATGTGGTGATTTTTATCCTAATAGATATGATTGTATAGATAGTGATGGATGTACACTGTCTACTAAAAATAATGATATTACATTTGCTGATGGAACAAAAATTTAAGGAACAGTAGGATAAGTACCTGTTTATTTTGAAGATGGAACATTAATTAATAATTAATACTTCCTCTATGTAACTTAGGGCTAGAATGTAGCAGCTGGTAAAGAAGATGGAATTTTAGGATTAGGCATAGTAGACCCTTACAATTAATAAGGTAAATATTAGAACTGGGTGAATATTCTATACAGCAATAATATTATTTCATAAAATTAATTTTCATTGTATTTAGACAATGCTGGAATTAGTAAATAAACTATAAATTCGAGGTTGATTCTAGGTGTTTTAGATTAATAATACATTAAATAAAATTCAACTATAAACATATTTCCTGTAACTTCAAAAGAACATTGGAGTATTACAGCATCTGAGGTTTCTTATGGTGATACAGTTATTAGCTCATCTGATATTAAAGTTTTAATTGATTCAGGTACTTCCTATATAGCTTTACCTAAAAATATGCTTGATGCTGTAAAAAAGATAATGAGTGATTAGTATTCTATAAACTACGATTCTAAAATTAGTGCATTTGTTGGTGAATGCAGTAAAAGATTTCCTGCATTTTCTTTTAAATTTGAGGATATTTATAATAATATGGTAATTTATACTTTGGAAGCTGAATATTATTCACTTTACGATTCAGAATAGAATTAGTGTGGATTTATAATTATTGAAATAGACGACGACGAAATACTATTAGGAGATGTTTTTATGATGAAATATGTTTCAACATTTTAATATTCTCCTAAATTATAAGTATAATTAGCTTAATCTATCACTTAACCTAATCAGATACCCTTTTAAACTCATACTCCTTCTTCAGATAATCCTTTCCCACTATGGGCTAAAATAATAATTCCTATTGCTTGCTGTTTAATTATTGCTATTTTTGGATATTTTATTTATAGGTGCTATTAAAAGTCAAAGCTTAACAATGCGCTACAATAATAGAGTTTTCAATAGTAATTAAAACAAGAAAAATCATTTACAGTTAACTCATCTATTAATTGATTAATAATATTTATTTTAACATTATAAATTAAAATTTTAGATATTTATTGGAATAATATCAACAACTTAATCAATAATCAAAATATATATATATTATTTATAGATATTTATTTAATATAAAATTGCATTTATATCTATTACCTTATTCCCTTTAACTTCGTAATTCTCAATTTATAAAAATCAAAGAGGTTCCAAATTAATCTTTAAAAAATTGATTTTTTTCGATTAATTACTTTAAAATACTTTATCGTTTAGCAAAAACTATATTATATATCAAAATAAATAGATCTTAAAAATAATAAAGTAGTAAAATGCTTTTTTTATGCAAAAAATGTAATATTAATTTTAAAAATTAGATTATCTAAACTTTTACTGAATTTATTCAATAATTTATCATATCTTTATAATTTTATTTGATTATATTACTATTTTTTATTAAAACTTACTGTCACCATATTTATTTATTAATTTAAATTTTTTAATAATTTATAATTACATTTAATTAAGAATTTACTTATTTTTTAATAAATTATATTTTGAGAATTTAAATTTTTCATAATCTATATCATTTTTAGTTTTCATTTTTATTATTGCTTGCTCATAAAATAACTTTTTAAATTAGATGAAGACAAATATTTTATAAGCTATTTTATATTAATTAAAATAAATAAATTAATAAATAGGTTAATATGAAATAATAATGTTTGAATATTTCTTATTAGTATTCTATTGATTAAACTTTTTAGTGACTAATTAAGGAAATAAAAATTAATGTCTATTTTAACTTCCCTTGTTAACAGCATAATTAAAAAATAGAGTTTGTAATGTTTTTTAAGATGTGTTTATGAGTTATCAGCTTTATTCAATTTAAAGAGTTGATAGTTGCTAGAAAAATAATCTTTACTGATTATAAAACAAATTAATTTACTAGTAGAATTATTAAATAATTAATTAATTGGTAAATAGAAGCAACTAATTTATCAGAAAAAAAGCAAAAAAAGATGAGTTTTATAGTTAATGGCACAGAAAATACAAAAAGTAAAATCCATCAAAATTCAAAGATATCAACCACTTTTGACTTAAAAAGTCTCATTTTTTATAAAATATATTCAAGATAGCCCTGTCCACGCTTTGTAGCAAGAAAATCGTAGGAGAAATTCATCAGAAATAAAAATGAACAGTATTATAGAGCAATAAAATAGCGAACCTTAAAAGATGGTTGAAAACTAAAAACTAGAATCATTCCCAGAATTTTTAAATCTATAAATTTAAGCCAATGACGAAGAAGAAAGGAAATAAATGAAACATAATCACAATGAAATTAAGTCTTTAAAAAGTAGTAGTTTTTAAAATTTAAAAGAAATAGATCTTTAACAAGGTTAAGAAAACAAAATAGAAGATAATGATAAGGATTAAATGAATTAAGCAGAGAATAAAATGCAAGAATAAAACATAGACTGTGACAAGTAAGAAAATGAAAATGAAAATGAACCATAATAACAAAGAAAAAGACTTTCAAGAAGAGATACTAATGCTCAAAATTAAATCCAGAATGATATTTAAGAAGAATATGAAAAGTGGCAATTAGAACTAGAAGTTTAAGAAGAATTTGTCTCTAAGATAATTCAAAACATCTTGATAAATAACATGACAATATTACTTTTTCTTATTTTTGTTTAGATTGCCTACTGCTTTGATATTTCTTTATCCTTTTCTGTTTCTTTTCTCATTTTAATAGATGTTGTAAGCATTATTTACAAGGCCAATCAAAATCTAACAATATAAGAACCAATCAAGTAAAGTTTTTCAATATATTGTTTCTTTATCAAACATTCATTCATAAATGCATGAAAAAAAAAAATTAATTACATCCAAATTAATAACTTTCATATAAAATTTCCTTAAAGCGAAAACTGAACATTTTAATTATTAAAATTCCTTTTTACTTTCTTGCTCCCAACAAAAACTTGGTTATTGATAATTAATTAAATTTCATTTCAACTCTTCTAATATTTTAAATTAACTTTAACTAAAAACATCTAAATTAATTAGTTGATTATTTATTTATTGACTTAGTTATCTAGTTTTTCTTAAAAAAACAATATATTGTTTTGTACAATACAATAATATTTTATTATCAAATTAATCAAAAAAAATGCAAAACAATCAAATAAATGAATTAGTTATTAATTATTTATATTATTTTAAAAAATCTTAGTATTAAAATGTTAATTTATTTTTCACTTGACATCAATTTCATTATTAGAATTTATAAATACATAATTTATTTTATCAACAAATACCATTTTATTTTTAATAAATCTTTGACCTGGTAATTAATTTAAATAAATTTATTCTGATAATTTTTTATGAGACCAACAAATGACATTAAATTTACTTATAAAATATGAAATTTATAAAAATATCCCAGAATAAAATTTAATTATTAAATATTTAATTTTATAAAAGGTATATGATGAAATAGTTCATCTAGAGTATTGTTGAAGAGATATTTTAAATATTTTTTAAAGTTGTGGTGATGATTTACATATTTCATAAAGATTAATTTATACTAACTCCTTACACATCTATTTTTTGTGGGTATTACTTATTAAGAATAATATATTAATTCTATTACAAATCAGACGAAATACAAGTCAATAGTCAATACTTCTCATTTGTAAATTAAAAAATTAATACTAAATAATTAATACATTTAATAATAAATATAAAAGGCAAGTTATGTTTTTAAGCTTTGGTTGGTCTTTCAGAGCTTATTCATTTCTCTAAATTTAGATAGTATAGTTAATTGGTAATGGAGTTCTGTGTTTGCATGTTTTTGGGTTTTCTTCTTTGTAGTCGTTGGAATTTCATTTATATTTTTTCTGATGCTTTGCTCTAAAATATGGAGTAACACTTATACTGGATCTCGATAATTAAAGACCAAAAACAATTTTGAAAGTAAATTCGGTTTAATTTGTTTAAAAATATTGAACTTACTTAAATTATTAGCAAAAGGAATATTTTGGGTTTTTACTCTCCTCTTAAGCTTATGTTGCACGTCTTGTTGCACTGTTATAGGTATTTCATAGTTTTTAGACAACCACACCTTGACATGGATTTTTAATTCTTTATATGTTTCTTGCTCATTCCTTGGGTTTGAGATCTTCGTGTTTTTTTATTTGAAGAACGACTTAAAGTAATTTACTATTTATAAAAAACTCTATTTTAGAACAACTAACTACTTTAATCAATAAAAATATTTTTAAGCAATATTTATTAATTTAATCCAAAATTTTCAATAATAAAATTTAATAGTTAAATTTATGCTTTTATAATTAAATTCAAAAGAAATTTATTTATAATTTGACATCTTATTTTTCTTAATATACTAAAAAATAAATACTTTTCACGTTTAATAAAAAACTTGTTTTAATTATATTTATGATTAAGATATTAATTTTATATTAATACATATTAGATAATTTATCAAAAATATATTTTTTGATGAAGAGGAATAAGTTTAATTGGATAGCAGAAGATAGTAAAGAAATAACACCAATGCAAACTTTTAATATAGCACATTTAATATATAGAATTAGCTTCCTCACATAAATTAGATTATCAATAACATTAATATAAATTTTATTCACAACTACTAATTCTATTCTCACTAAAGGCAATCTTATAAATAGAGTAAGCAAATAAATTTAGATAATTTTTATATTTATTTACACTGATTATTTAAATAGAAACAAAACTTAGAGAAGTATAGGTATAAGGAAACCTCAATTTTCCTTAATTTGTAATGAAATGTTCTTCAACTTATTTTAAATTTCTCAACCTGAAAAGTAAAAACCAGAAAATAGTTCCTATAAATTAAAACTTAGAGTAAAAGTTTTAAGATTAAGTTGATATAGAGCAGGAAAACAAATCTCAAATTAGCTAAAACCAAAAAGAAAATAATTAGAATTAAGTATAGAATGAAAGAGTCATTACACATTAGCCAATCGATAGTGAAGACCAAATTAATAGAAAAAATTACCAAGATTTACCACATTTTAGCAACTCAACAACTGATAAAAGACTATCTAGAGATTAATATAAAAAATTATTAATCAGTAAACTCTTCTAAAATAATTCTTATTAAGTCTGTACAATTGATGATATGCCTTTAAATTCTGCTAAAGCAGATAATGAGATTAAAACTTCAAGAAACTATGATAAAACCAATGTGAATCTAGAGATAGTAAACTTTAAAATAATAACATTTCGTATTCTTTATTAATTTTTTTTTGTTGATAAAATACTATTAAGGATTACACTCATAGATAATAACTGAAGAAATTGTTCTAGAAAGACAAAGATTGCTTTAACAATAAAATTTTTAAAAAAAGAAACGAATCTAAGTCATCTTTAAACTTAGAATGCCAAATTACTTAGGAAAATTATGAAATATAGAATAAATCTCTGCCCTACATAAGTAATCTTGTGAATGTTCAGAGCTAACAGATTAACGAGTTAGATAGTTTGAATGATCAAATAAGATCTGCTTAAATAATTAGAGATATCGAGTAATAATTTAACAAAGAAAATAACAAGATCATAAAATTTCTTTCATAAAATAATGATTTTCCTGTCAGCCCAACTTTTTATGACCCTAAATTAGAATCCTTGAATTAAAATTGTGAAAACTCAAAAGCTAATAATATAATCAATGCTAACACTAACCTCATTTCTAATTCTAATTCAAATTCTAACACAAAAGATAATACAAACGCCAACACCAACACCAATTCATAAATTGATATAAAAAGTTCGACAAGCCAATAAATTATTTGCCTAGTTTGCTTTGACTCTGAATGCAATTCTATATTTGCTCCCTGTGGTCATGGAGGTAACAATACATACATTCTGTTTCATAAAATTAAAATAAATATTTCATTTTCCTCCAAAGATATGTCTGTCTAATAATTTCCCATTAATACCAATAAAAATAATTACCTTATTTTATCTTTATTTTTTATAAACGATAATTTTTTTCTTCTATTTTTTAATAATTTAGAATTTTTAATTGTAATTAATTAAATTTTTAATTGTATGAGGATAGATAAAGGAGTCGCGGCATATATAATATATAATATAAAGAAATTAATTTTATTAGCATAAATTAAATTAAAATCTAAATGCAATTAAAAATAACATTTTTATTTTTTTTAAAAATATATGAGTTAAATTTTAATTTGAAATTGTTTAATTAATATATTTAGGACTTTGTTATCAATGTGCATTAGATGTGTTTAAGAAACAAGGTGACTGCTTATTATGCAGAAAAGTAAACCTTAATTAAATTATTAACCAAAAAAATATAAAAATATTTAAACCTAATTAGAAAGTAACTGAAATCTACAAATATATTGAAGTTGTTGAAGAAAATTCTAAAAAAGATTAACCCCATAAATACTTTTAGATATAAACAATAACTAAATATTTAGACAGCAACTAGAATTCTATGATAAAAAAACAAAGATTGTAAAATAAAAATAGCTTTAAGAATACTGTTTACACTTAAGGAGAGATTGAATAATAAATTTAATAATACTCTTTTTGTGATTTTGACGATTTTGGGAACTAAATAATTTCAGAGTAGCAAGTATAAAATTAGTCAGGCAATAGAAATTTAGGAATTTAAAATTCGAGCTCTATATAATCAAATAAAGAGTAATCTCTATCCCAATAGTAATAACAAAGTATGTAGAGCTCGCTTAATGTAATATCTCCTTTGAATTCTGATAGAGAAAGATAAAAGAATAGCAACATAAAGAAATACAATGATATCATTTAGAATGTAGCCAGTGATAATATTTAAAACAGATAATTAAGATCTATTACTTAGCAATCAGATAGCCATGCTCGTTTCATAAGCGATTAACTCTAAATTTAATAAGAACTTTTTGTCCCTTAATTCTTAATAGATAAAGACTTATAACCCAATTTAATTTTGAGATAATCTCCTTAATTAATAAATTATTAAAAAGTCAATCAAGAAATGGCCACAACATAAGCAACAGATGCATTTTTAAATTCTTAATCATAGCATTAAATAGTTTAAAATTATAATTAAAAGTCATAGGAATAAAATATCCTAAAATAATAACATAGTAGCGAATTAAACAATGTATTTAAATAGAAAGACAACAAAAGTAAAAACATAAATATCTTCTCAGAAAATTTAAATTTTACTAGTAGACAAAACGCAATAATCAGCAATCAAAATTACATTAACCATTAAAAAAAGACTTCAGAAAAAAGCATACTAAAAGACTGTAACTTTGATAATTAAACAGATTTCTTATAAAGACAGAATTCATTTAGCAAACAGTGAAATTAATCAATCATATTATGGCAAATTACTTTAAAAAATATTGTATCATGTGTTCCTCTTTTATATTTTAAATTGTTAAATTAATTATTAATATTTTATCATTTGAAATCATTTAATTTTTGTTTAAAAACAATAAAAAATATAATTTAAACAATAAGCTATATTATATAGCTGTTCCTGCATTTGAAATATCACAGATCATGATATCATGATTTGTGATATTTCAAATAAATTTTATATTACTAAATGAATTTTTTTTATATCTAAATCTTTATTATTTTCTTTTTATTAGATTTCTTATATTTTACAAAAATTAATCAAAATACAGAAACCTTTTTTCAAATTTTGAGAGTAAAAAAATTTTTTTTACAGTAAATAAAGAGAAAGGATTTTGTAAAATTAAGCATTAAAAAATTTATAACAATTAGTATTAATCATTCATAATTAAAATTTTGCAAGTTTGTTTCATAAATGATTGATTATTTTATAACACTTTGAGTATTGAAATATAAATTATAAATTCAATATTGTTATTAATTTCTAAATAGTTTATTTATTTCTTATCTTTTTGCTTTTAGATTGATTGATGCTATTTTTATACATAAACAATAATAAATTAAATATTTTATAAGATTATTTTTATTTAATTATTATAAATGTTTTTAATGATATAAAAATTAATTTTATTTAAAGAAATTTAAACAAGAAATAATAAATTGGATACAATATATATATACAATAAAAATTGTTTGAAATTTCATAATTTAATGTATTTTTTAACTGCTTTGAAGGCATTTTCTTAGGATAAAAATGACTTCTTAATGCTTTGTTCTATCAAAGGCTTGACTTGAGATAGTACTTTATGAGCTTCTTTTTAGCGATACCCTTTTTAATTTTCTAGGTATAAAGAAAAAATTATTGAGCAAAGCAAGTCTTTACTTAATCCTGCTGAAAAAAAGTATCCTATTAATTCTTATAATTTACTCATGGAATCAATAAATTACAGGATAATTTACTAATCGTATTTCCAAAGCTTGTTATCGGTATATTTACTTAACAAGATACTTTTTAGATTATTTAATTTTTTCTTTTTTTGTCTATTTTTGCTAATAGGTTTCATAACACCACCTGTTGCAGGAGCAGATTTTCTTGCAGATCCTTATTTCTTCCTATTCTTTCTATGTCTGCCACCTGCTGATCCTGTTGAGCGGTAAGTACTTTTTGTATAATCTACTTTATACTCTTCATATTCTACAACTCTTGTATCTGTTAATCCTTGCAAAGAGGAAATATAAGATGTTAATGGAGTTACGAGTTAGTATTTAACGCTTTCTTCAATTATTTTCTTTTTTTGTTCTTAGCTTTGCTTCAAGTTAGAGCATTAACGATTGAGGTAGAGTTGCTTTCCTATCAAAAATATTGTCTTTTTTAAATTTTAATCTTGCAAAAACTAATCTTATCCATTCAGTTCAATTTCTGTCTTTTCAAATTTCATATTTGTGCAGTTATAGTAGCTTATCTTTACTTTTTTCTGTTTGGTTTAAAGCTCATTTAAATTAATTCCTTTTTTCAAGAAAATATGCATGAAAAATTGCTCATTTTTCAAGACAGAAGGAAATTCGTCTTATTGAGGATATATAGACTCAACAATAGATTTATCATATTCAACTTGGAATTTAGTATAGCTAGGAGTAAAAGAATTTTCTAGCACATTGATAACAACTTCTTTCAATTCAGAGGCATTATCAACTTATCTATTAGCTCCTCTGCCTGACTCAGAGCATCTCCTTAGTAATTATTTGTCTACTCCGCTGCCTAAACCTATGCAATGAACTCTAGCTTTATGCGAATTATTTCTGATTAATTGAACAACCATGTCTGGTTAAGAAACTTATCCATCAGTTAATAAAAATATTTGCATTTAATACAGATCGTTCACGTTTTTACATTAAAAGATTTTCTCTAAAGGCTGATAAATTTCTGTTCCTCCCATGTCAGCTGAGAATTTGCTAATTTATTCTAAAGCACTTTTCATTGATTATTTATTTTTCTTTTTTGCTTCCTCAAAGAGGAATTGATAGCCAGATCCAAAAGAAATAACATTGAAATAACTATCGTCAGGTAGTCTTTATAGGAATTCAATAAGTGTATCACGGGCCTTTTAGAAAATAGTGCACATCGATCCACTTCTATCGATTAAGAAGAAAAATTATGCCTTGCTGTGTTTTTCGGCATTTAACACAGTTTTTTCTATCTGTTCAACAAATTCATCAGTTAAAACCTATTTACCTTTTTCAATTTACTCTTGAATGTGCTGGTCTATAATTGCCTTATTTTCTTAGCCAAAATCAGGTGTAAAGCTTATGAAGCAGGACTATCTCAAGTTTTGATTCATATCATCTATTTCTATTTCCATCTCATCCTCCTACTTCTCATTCATTTTTTTTTCATCTGATGTAGGAATCTCTTGCTTTTCACTTTCTTCAGATTTGTTTTTTTCTTCTTATTCTTGAGCAGTAGTTTCATCTGATTCTTTTATAGCTTCTCCTAAAATCACAGAGGGTTCGTACATTCCTTCAAAGCTATAAATGAGTTCAAAGAATTACTTTGAACCTTTAAGATGCTTTGTTGTCATCAAGAGGTTTGCCTCGTTACCATCTTTTATGTTTGCCTAAACGTTATGGGAAATACACTCTACCTTCTAGAGAGAGCCAGTGCAAGTGAGTTTAAGCTTAAGATATTCAAAAGATTCCATCATTTATTTTTCCATTAGAGGTATTTGCAAATAGAAATATTGGCTGAAGACAAGCTTGATAATAGATGAGAACTAGACAGTTATTTTAATCTTATCATTAGGAGCAACATTTCCGACATTTATCTCAATAAGTTCTCCATTATCAGATTTCTCGGCATAGAGTGCAGTTTATCCTTCACTTGTCATTTATTCAAACATCTACTTTCCTTCTTCCTTTTCTACAACCATGCCCGTAATAGTATCCTAATTATAGATGATAGTAAAAGATTCCAAGCAAGTGTCTTATTTAATAGGAATTTAGTACTTGACATCTTTGAATGTTTTTTCTTCTTTGTTGTCAAATTCTTAAGTTATCTTCATCCTTAGTATTTAGTTGATAATATCACATTCATAAGAGCACCCCAGCATCTCAAGCACCTCAGAATTGCCTTACTCAGAAGTACCTTAAAGAACAAAAAATTAATCCATAATTTTAAAGAGAGTCTTTTCAATTATTTTTTCTATTGATTTTTTAATATTTTCAGTATTGATTTTTTGTTTATTATAAATATTATTTGAAGTAATGGAGAACCTTTAGCTTTTAAAGCTCAATTTTGGAGAACGTGTAGCAATGTCTGAATCTCAATCCAACACTTAAAATAGTTATAACTATTTAAAATAGATCCATCTAGGCTATTTATCCATGAAAAATGACGTTCCTCAGAGTGAGCATCATCTCGTTAAATTCATTTTTTTTGATTATAAAAATTTTAGACTTTAGATCCATCAATTACTAAAAGTGAATATGGACTGTACCATAACCAAAATGTTGCAGAAGCGAAGAGCATTAATTTAATTATAACAGTTAAGCCATATATGTTAATAATATCCTGGATTTTTAAGTGGTACTTCTCATCCGACATTTTCTACTTGAAGCCTCTACATACGCATTTTATTCATATTTAAGAAGAAAATACAAGTATTTGCTTTTCTTTTTCTTTATTACATTTTGAATGAAAATATTTGATTTTTTTAGAATTTGTATAGAAAATTGCAAGCATTCGTATTTGAATAGAAACTCATTTCAATCTTTTAATTGAAATCAGCATAGAAAAAAATTTGAGTCTTTATTTTTAGTAAATAAAAATAAATATTTTATTTTTAAGTCTTTATTGGCAGTTTAAAAGTAGATTTAGTTAAAAAATATTTTAAAGCTTATTTTATTAGAAAAGATTAATTTTAATTATATTTTATCTTAATTACTTTAAAATGAAGGAATTTTAAACAATTAAATATAACTAAGAGTAAGGAAATAAAGAGAGTTTGATTTGTTGTTAAAATATTTTGTAGACTAAATATAAAATCTTTCAAATAATACTAAAAAATATCTTTAACAAATATGATTAAATCCTTCTCTTCTTAGCCATTCTTAAAATAAAAAATTAATAGAATAATTCAAGCAATACAACAAAAATAAATATAGTTAAATGATAATATTTATTTATTTTCTAATGATAATAGCTTAAAATTAAATTATTTTTAAATAAATTTAATTAGTTTCTTTTTTTATTTTAAAGTACTTTGTTAGCAATTAATAAAAGAATTATTTTTTAAACAAATACCAAAATCAGATAACAAATATAATTCAAGATTAATAGACAAAGATCATAAAAAATTATAAAATTAATTAAAATAAGTAATTAATAATCACATTTTATAAATACTGATAAAATTATTTGATAATAATATAGATACTAAAAGATTTAAAATTAATTTAGAAATTATCATTTTTATTAAAAGTTTTAATAATAATATTTTATTGTATAAAATATATTGAAGAAATAAGGTATAAAATATTTGTAATGATTAAAGACATTTCTATTCCTCTTTTTATTTTAAATATCTTCATATTATGAAATAAAAAAACTAATTACATAGAATTTTAGAAATAATTTTAATTTTTTGAATTATTTTAATTTGTAGATAAATTAAATTAATTTTATTTAAATATTTAAATTTATCTTTATTAATATTATTAATTATAATATAATTTTATTTTATTTAATAAAAATATTTTTATTGAATTTTAAAAAATTTTCTAAATATTTTTAAAACACATTTGCAAATCAAAATTACACTTTAACATTTTGGTAAGCAAGCTTGTTTGTTTGGTATCAGTAATTACTTAGACTATTTTAATTATGACTATTCTCAAAAACAATTAAATTAAATACAATACTCTAAATGAGATAATTTATTTGCAAAAATTATTAATTTTTGATTTGACTGTCATTTATATTCACAATTTAATTGTTACTTTAAGTATTGCTTTTTGGAGAAGAAATCTTTTTTTATAATTGAATATTTTTATTAGCTATCTCTCATATTTAAATCCGAATTTCCTACGGATAATGAGATAACTAGCTTTGTTATGCTTTTTTTTACTTGAGATTTGCAAATCACTAGCTTTATAGTATGAATAAGATTGTAAATAATACATTTATTACATTGTGATACCATATTAAATTTATTTAGGATTGATTTTAATATTTTTAACTTTTTTTACAATGTTAAATAGCTTAGATGGATTTGGCTTCAATAATCTAGAAAGAAAAAAGCGAAAACTGTGGAGAAGATGAAATTAAGTGCATGAATTAATGTCCAAATGTTGTTTCGATGATTCTATCTGCAACTTTCAATAGTGATAGCCGGACCTCTAATTTCGATGATGAAAATAATAATCTTTTTATTTTAATAAGCAACAAGCGATTTAACCATGGATATGATCGCTATGAAATAAAAATTTATGAAAAAACTCTATTCAATTTACTATTTGTTAAAAATATTGATAAGATTTACTCATTCATTGGATATCATCAATTAGACTAGGTTTTTTATTTTTACACATAGGAAGATGTATCATAAGATTTAGTGTAAAATAGATATATTGATTTGTATGAAGCTAAATAAAATTAAGATAATATTATGTGTTAGGAAAAATTTTTGAAAGACTTAGATAATGATAAATCTGAATGCAAATAGTAATAACAATTTAGAGTCACTAAATTCTATTAGTATAGCTACAAAAACGATGAAATGAAAATGATCAATTTCATACCAGAGTAATACGATGTTAATTAAAAGTAGTATGTCTGTGAAGCAAATATCAAAGCTAATAAGCTTTACTGCTATCTATAAGCAGATTATTAATACTATGTTTTTGGATACTAAAATGTAGAAAATCGTATTAACTAACCATAACCATATGTCACATATTATATGTACACGTATAAATTTAATAAGAATGAAGGTAATTATTACAATGGAAATTATAATCGTAAAGCTATTATAATTAACAGAAATACGTCAATTATTTAAAATAACGAGCTATATTTGCTTAACTATTAAATAGAATAGATTTTTAATAAAGATTGTCCTGTTCTAAAAATCTTCTTTTAATTTGAGTATGATATTTACTTTTGTAAACACCTATAAAAACAATCTTTGTTGATAATTTCTCTGTCTACTAACCAAATCCTATAAGAAATTTAGCCAGATTCAGATTACAAAATGGTTATTGACTCTAACATTGGATTTATTTAATTAACCAAAGCAAATTCTTTAAAATTATTTGATATCAATCTAAACTATTTTGTTAACTTTAATCTCCACGATAAACTTATATTTTATGATCGTAAAATAATCGTCTTTACTAGAAAATGTAAGTTATTTACTTTAAAATCCAGTCATATTTTTTTAGGCAAAAATTAATACTAAGTTCTTCTTAATTAATTTTTATTCCAATGAATTGAGTTGCTTTGTTTTAAATGAGGATTCAATTAAACCAAGTTTATATAGCTTACTAAAATAATTTTTTTGAATTAACAAATGTTAAAAAATATTTTGAAGTATAAATTATTTGCTATTTATTTTAGCATCAAATTTATCATTAGCTAATAATATAAATTTAAAATATTCTTGTTAACATTTGTTTTTTTCCAATAGTAATTATTAAACTAAAAAACATTTTAATAAGCTTAGAAATAATTTAAAGATAATTAAAAATTTATTTTTTTAACTTATACAGGTTTAGATGAAATAGATTCTTTATGTGCTTATTTGCTTAATGCTAATAAATTTAATTAAGACATAGATAAAAATAAAAAGTATCTTTTTTCCATAAAAAGCTAAAATTATAATCCAGATGTTGACCTCTAATAATAGATTGAATTTGTAGCAGCTGAAATAGATGAAAGAGATAATTTCATGATAGTGTTCGTATTTTCTTTAAATGAGTCTATGTAAAATATTTATAAAATAAAGGTAGTTGACCTGTACATGGGATAAGTTCAAACTCTTAACATAATTTATGAATGTCCTTAATCAACAATAATCTTACTAAAATGGGTTGAATATAAAAAAAATATTTATTTGTAAAATGAGTGCTAATCAATTGTAATTAACATCTTAAATAACAGTTTTTATATTTTACTCAGCAAACTCCATTCAAGTTCCTAACCAAATATAAGCTACAACTAAAATACTAAACAAATTTATGTCTACTCTAAAATGGATAGTTTAAGATCTAAGTTTCAAATCATAGATGTGATTACAAGACAATCTAAGATTATCATATAAACAAATAACTATTCAATTGAAGCTATGTATATATCTAATTAACAACATTAAGATTTAATTATATTCTCAGGCTAACATTGGGAACATCAATTTTTATCTTCCAATTAAAGTGCTAAATATATTTCATCTGGATATAAACAAGTATTTAATGTGTATAAAAACACCTCTTATTCTTACTCAAGCAGTAAAAAATTTGATAAAACCATAGTAGTCCATCTGGTCTCTAATTCTAGTTTAAATTATTTTGATTTGGAATAAAACCAAGAAAATTAAACTGCTTAGTTTCTCAGCATTTTTTACTTCTTAGTCTAAAAAAGACATATTAATTTTATTGTAGAGCAAGACAATGTCTAAGATCCATAAGTAGATTAAATTGGAAAGCATTTTTTGAAATAAAATCCAATTATTCAAAAATATGACAATTTAGAAGATAAATAAACAGACGATTTTAGTTTTATAGGTAAAAAAATTATTAGGAATAAATATATAAATAGTAAATATTTTATTTCAAATTATTTACTTTTGAAAAAAATTATTTTTCTTAAAAAATTAAAATTTTTGTTTAAAAAATTTTATTTGTTTGATAATAAATGATTATTTTTTTTTAATTTAAATTATATAAAATTTATTCATATTTAATATAGACGAAATAGAGGAGTTTGAAAATTTAATGGAACCTAGAGTACCTAATTAATTTATAATTTTTTCTGATGAGCCAACTGGAAAAAAGTATTCTGATGATGATAAAGATGATAAAAATCAATTTATAGAGTTTGAAGACATATCTGGAGGTGGCTAAGGAAAAGGAAAGACTCCTATAAAACCTGATATTAAATCATTTAAAGATATTAATAGGTTTTTCAAAAGTTACTATGTTGAGGTAACCTAAGAACTTCAGGAGTGTATTAACTAAATACACAAAGATTAAATATACTTTTACGATGAGCTGTACAGAGTAATTGTATTTTACTTTTCACATCTGTGTGTAATAGACGTAACTGCATAAACTCTTACTCTAAAAAAGTAATTAAGTAATGAAAGGAAAATATTTTATCACAACCTAACTAATTCAGTTTACATAGTTAATTTAAATGTTAAATCAAGTATTTTATATGAAAAAATATCTTTACCTGATTAAGTATTTTAGCACAAAGACGAATAATACAAACAATATTAGGCAATTAATGCTTATATTGAATAAAACTTCTTAGTAATTACTTTGGTTTATCTCAATGACAAATATATTTTTATACAAAATCTCTCTGACCCTTCTCAAATCAGCTTCAAAATTGAGAATTACTTCCTAAATCCTTGTAGCATTTCTGCTGGGAGCTACAGACACGAGTATTTGAAGAATAGAGTAATACTAAGCAACATATTTAGCACAGAAATAATTAATCTTAATTAAAACTTAACAACAAAATCTTATAAATTGGTTTAGATCTACACCCGTTCCATAGATATTTTTTAAATAAGCAATAAAAACTTAGATATTCTAGTAAAATATTTAATAATATATAATATTTTTTGTAAAAAATTAAAAAATAAAAATATTTTAATGAAAGAAAAGTTATTAAGTTATTAACAATTTTTTTTAATAATAAAGCCTCTCCTATGTTACAAATATGAGCAAAATGACTACTTTCATGATTTGATAGATTTTAATTTGGTTTAAGTACAAAGCAACAAGCTACACATTCTATTTATTTTTACTTATAAAGTAGAACTTTAAGAGTTTTTTTATGATGTTTATCAATCCACATTTGTTTAGATCTATTCAAGAATTCTATTTACTAATGAAATCACAGATATTTTAGAGGCTTCCTTTAATTTTCATACATTTTAGTTCATCATTCTTGCAAGGTCAGAGTAGAACTTATACATTTATGAAATTCCTGTGGAAAAAAATTATAGCAAAAAAGACCACATAGAATCGAAAACATAGAAATATTATAATTCATATGGAAATATTAATAATGATAAGTAAGTGACTTGCAAAATAGATTCAATTTATTTAGATAGCGGTGTTGAATCTAGTGTTGAGTAATTCAAGAAATTTTACAGAATGATTTAATTTGTTTAGAGTATAGTGTACCCTCCTCAATTTACTTTGCTTATAAAACTCCTTATATACAAGAATAGAGTTCCATTGAAAGATATTGCTCTGCCTTCTTTTGGCCCTTAGCAAAAAGCTTCGATTATTATCAAGTAAGAGAATATCTTTTTGCCTACTTCTAATTTTTATACAGATGAGGAGGTTTATTTTGAGTTTGACTCTCTCTTCTTTGAAAACCTAATGCCACTCTAAAAGCTCAAAATTGAAAAAATAGAAATAATTAATTCGTAAAGTCCATCTCATATAACGATCAATAAAATAAGAACAATTTAACTCACTGACATCTTCCTTTGTTAAAAGCAAAAAAAAATATCAGATTTTAGCATAAAATTTTAAGATATTGATGAATTAATCATTACAGATCTGAAAATTTTTGATTGTGGTAACAACTTAATTAAAAATAATTTAATATTTTTATTTTCTCAAAATTAATTTTTAAATAAAAGATATTTAGTTAGTCAATTACTTGTTTTCTTTTGAAAACATTGGTTTGATCAAGATTTAAAATGTATAAATTTAAAATAATAAGATTTCGAGCTTAATTGGTTTCAAAGACTTGTCAATATTTAATGTCTATAATGTTACCAAAATATAAATTCAAAATTTTAATTTCACATCAAATTAAATTTTTAACAACGTCAAAGAAAGTGTTGGGCAGCTTTAAAATAGAAGCACTAAATTTTAGTAAGCGTTTACTAAATTCTAAAATAGGTTATTCAACATCAGATAAATTTAAGATTTGTAGATTTCATCACTAAATTTTGTTAATAATAAGCGTGCTTCTTTGATTGGTCTTTCATCATACACTCATCAAGATTTCTCAAACAATTCATACATAAGAATCAAAGAGAAAATATTTAAATTCACATTTTCTGACTGTAAAATTTTGTTTAACACTCTGCCTTAGTACTACTTCTTCTTTATTAAAAATGGTATTCTAAGTTTAATATTTTAATTAAGTTAATAACTGCTATATTAATAAAAGGAGAAGTTACCATCAATAATATAAGAATAGAAGGAAATATAATTGAATACATTAATGGAGATATTGATAGTTATTCTTCTACATAACACTTATCCAATGAAGAAAATATAGAAAAAATGAAAAAAGGACAAGATATCTTTTGCTTCCTTGCGAATAAATAATTGTAAATAGTTATACAAATCATTAATTAAAAAATAAAAATCCTTTTTTTAAAATAAATTAATAAAAATTAAAAATTCGATTTTCAAAAATAATTTTTGTTGAAATTTATAAATTTTTAGGAGGGGATTTTGAGACTAAAATGGAACAAAAAATTTATTTAAATGTTTAATTATAATAATTTAATAAAAAACTATTCATTTTTAAAATCCAACTTAACCCCCCCCCCACTGCTCTCATCGAAAGTATTTTTATAATAAGTATATTTAAAACTTTTTTAAATTATGTTTGTATTAATGTTTGGAAAATAAATAATAAAAATAATTTTTGATTAAATAAATAGCTGGATAAATAAATAAATTTATGCTTTATAAATTGATATAAAAAAATTTTAATATTTTATAATTTTAACAAATAAAGATATTAAGGTGGTTTAGAAATAATTAATAATGAACTCTTCTAAAATATGTATTTGATGGTTGTATATTAAGTTCTGCTTCATTCAATAGTGCTTTCAAACATAGAAGGAAATAATTACTTAATATCTATTTTATTAATCCAAAATTCTAATACCTTTATTTCTGATGCTACAATAATCAATAATGTAGGATCAAATAGAGCAGTAGTGTCAATTGAGAAATAGACAAAAGTAGAGTTTATTAACTCTATTTTTTAAAACAATAAATGCTCACTTTGCTAAGGATCTGTATTATTTATAAGTGACTCTATTTTCATAGTAAATTATAGCTAAAAAATTTAAATATAATATTTTGTTTACTAATTAATAGGGGCTTAACTCGATTTACAAGAATAACACATCAGATCATGGAGGATCCATATCGATTTAAAACTGCAATTAGAGAATACTTTTTTCTTCGATAGATTTTATAGATAACAATGCTAATTATGGTGGTGCTCTCTCTATAGTATAATCAGAAAATATTTAGTTAAATAATATTACATTTTAAGGGAATAGTGCTTTAATTGGAGGGGCTATATACTACTAAGGATTGTAAAATAAAAAATAAAAAATAATTTTTAAAATATTTTAATTTAAACTTAAAAGCTATCCTCGAGGGTTTTTTGAGATGGATTCTTAGTTAATGTTTATTAACAATAAAGCAACTTCGCTAGGATAGAATATAGGATCTTTTCCTTAATCTCTAAGGCTAGTAAAAGTCTATGAAAATATTATAAACGGTAGGTTTTTAGAAGAATAGCGAAACTTGAATTTTTCTACCAAGATTGATGCCTAACAGCAAATACTTATTAATACAAAAAATGCAACTTTTGGAAACAACAAATCAATCTACGATCGTATGAATAGGGATTATGATAAAATTATATTCGTTCAAAATGTAACTAGTGGTGCCACTTTAACATTCTAATTCGAAATTTATGATGAGGAAGGAAATAGATTTTATGGTTACAAATCTAATATAAGAAGAGAAGTAACTCATTTTTAATTATTTCAATTTAATATATCAAATTAATTGGTTTGATAATATATTTGTAAAATATAATTAATACAGCAAAATAAATATCATTATCAAGCATAAAAAAATGAATAAATAAAATGTAATATTTTTTTGCAAAAAATAACATCTTTATTAAAAATTTAAGATAAATCAAATATAATTACATTTTTAACTGATTTAAATCAATAATTACTTACAAAAAAAACAAAAATTTAGATTAAATCAAATATAATTAAAGAGTTTGATTATTTAATGTTTAATGGAAAATAAATATTAAAAATACATAATGAAGTAATTAATTCGTTCTTCAATTTAAAGATAAAAAATTAGATTAAATTTATTGATTAATTAATAGCTTTGTATTGCTGAAACATTTTTTATTTTAAAATATATCATTAAAATGTAATTTTGGTTATTTTATTAAACAATTTACTTTTCATTTTTTTTTAATTGCTTGAATAATTTTAAAAAAATTTTTATATTCATAATTTAATTTAAAAGATTTAGCCTGTTGTTTAGACTGTGAGCACAAACATAGTACTGATTAGCTCAAATATTCGTCTAGAAGATGGTATTCTTTTTCTAGAGCTTGAGGTAGTTGGAAATAATTAAGTTCCTTTAAATATAGAAGATGATTACATTATTGTATAATATCAGAATATTTTCATCAGTGAGAAAAAGCATGAATCATACATTGAATTATTTAAACAATATATTTATTTAAATTTTCGACCATGTGGCTTAGGAGAGGTTTATGTTGTTTATTAATCATAAATTAATAGAAAGCTTCCTCTAACTAGCGTTTATAAGGTAAAATACAAATTATTAAAAATTTTTTTCGTAATTTATCTTTTGTATATTTAAAGTGCGAAGTTTGCAAGTTAGGCAAATATTCCTTGGTTGCTTAGCCGACTACATAAACTTAATGTTAAACTAGTACTTCTAATGCTGTTAAATAATCTTACGGCTTCATTATTGAATTAAATTAAGGTTATTGGAGATCTAGCATGATGTCTGATAACTTCTTGAAGTGTGATCTAAAGGAAAATTGCAATGGAGGAGAAAGCACAGAAACTAGCTAAATCTGCCATATGGGACATATAGGTCCTCTATGCGAAGCTTGTGACATTCAAGGAATAGTTTGGAAATATAAATTTGCCCATTCAGGAAATCATTCATGCACACCATGCAATTCAGTGACTAAGAACACAATAAAAATTTTATTTTTTATTCTGACTACATTTATATTAATAGTTTTAGTCTTAAAAAGCACTCTTAAATACTGTATTAACAAAGTAAAATTTTGATTAAATATTTTTTTATCAATATGAATTTATTTTAAAATTTAGATATTTTTGAAATGCTTAGCGAAGACAGGGATGCTAATAATGGGATGCTCTGCTAATAAAAAAGTCACTTCAGTTTATGTAAAAATCCTCATGAGTTACGTTTAAGTAAAGTTTTGATATGAAAGTTAATCATTTTTATTTAAGACTAAAAATTATTTAATTAAAATAGGTGTTGGAATCTGTAAGATACTTTGGTATTAATTTCATAGAAATATTCTTAAAGGGAATCAATTACGTTGCTAGTCCTTTAGAGTAGGTGTCATTTAGTGGAGAGTGCTTCATGGCAGATATAGGAATAGATATGCCTTTGGTCTACTTTAAGATATTATTTGCTTTAGTTACTCCCTTTGTTTTTCTATTTATCGTGCTAGTTTTCTACTATTGCTTGTATAAATTAAAATACATTGAAGAAAATATCAAAAATTACTATTCGTTGACGAGCATATTTTACATAATTCTACTCTTTTAGAATAAAATAGTTAATATGCTTGTTGAGGTATTTAACAGAAGAGAAATAGATGGAGAAGTCTATATGAAGGTTAATTTGTAATATCGCTTTTATGATGATTAGCATGAGAAGTATTTTAAATACATGATTTTTCCTAGCTTGGTATTTTGGACTTTAGGCGTTATCCTCTCAATATTGATAATCCTACTTAAAAACAGAAAGAATTTGCAAAAATTTTAATCTTTGTTTATGTTCGGTTTCTTGTATGGAGAATATAAGGAAGATTGCTTTTACTGGGAATTGTTAAGAATATTCACTCGTATTGGAATATCAATATCCTGTAATTTTTATCACTAAATTCCTAAGGTGAGTTGCATGCTTATGTTTTTGGTCCTTGTTATTTATTTGATTATCTTGTATTTTAAAAAACCCTTTATTTAAAGACAACTGAATAACTTAGAGCTCCTAAGTACTCTTATTTGTATGATGACTGTGAGTTTAACTGTATTGATTTATTCGTAGGAGTAATATTCTCAATAGTAATAGAAAGAAAAAACATCTACTCTGCAATTCATTTGCTAGGCGATTATTGTAATAGTGAATGTATTCTTTTTGGTTTACTTGTCTTTTAAAATTCTCTTATCATTTATTATCAGATGGGAAGTGAGAATTTATAAAATATTTGGCAGATGTCTTGGTAAAAAGAAAACAAATGATATGCTTGTGTTAAAAAGATGGTCAAGACTGCGTCATAAAGTGGTCAATAACTTCATTTAAAATCGCTAATAAAGCAAGAAGTATTACAAATAAAATTTAATTTACTCTTTTGATTACTAAAATGATCTCCAACGTTTCGTTCACTTTTGTAGCTACGATTTAAACCATTTACATAATTTTTATCATGCTAACATTCCATCCTTAACTTCAATCAATCTTGCATAAAAGGAAGATAGTAAATAATAAAATAATAATGAATTAAAGCTATATCAATCAGAGTAAATCATCAAAAGAAATAGCATTTCTGAGCACTTAGATTAGCTTATTTGGAGTGACTTTCTTGTAAATCATTCTCAAAAAAATCATCCACCTTTATTTTTAAAGAAGTACAATAGCTCCTTTTAGTCTCTTGATGATACAAATGAAATAGCATAATACTACCATGATCTTGATCCAAATTAGTCATAATTAATATTTAACTTCACATAAAGCAGTAGAAGCTATATACCTCCAAGCTATAATGTTATCAACTTTTAATAAAATCAAAATTCAAAAGAAAACATTCGATCTGAAGATAGTACTATAATTGAAGATAATAACAATAAAAACAATCTTAATGAAGAACCAAGTATTATCCTTTCTAAAACTGTTTTCATAGAGCTTCAAAAAGAAGATAAGCAGTAAAAAAGCTGATTTAAAATTAAAATAATAAAAAAAAGAAAAATTAAATAAAAACAAAATTTAAAATGTATAAATATTTTAATAAATTTAATATTAAAAACTCTAATTTTATAAAAGATTATATAAAACATGTCTGCTTTCGTTCTTATTCTTATTATTCATAAAAAATATCTATCTTAATTTTCATGTTAAAAATTTATCAAAAAAAAAATTATATTTAGTTTTTTAAATTCGTTTATGAAATATTTAATTTAATTAAAAATGTTTAAAAATTATGAAAATTTCATAAAATTTTACCATAAACACAATATTTATAAAATAAACATAACATGTTTTTTTTGAGATAAAAATTAATTTATTTCCTTTTGTATCTTTTGTTAAATATCTCGTAAAATGAAACTTGAAATACAGCTTTTTAGCTTTATTTTTTTTACAAGTTTATCTTAATTTCTAATTTATGTTCCTCTCTTTCCTTAAATATCTTGTAAAATGAAACTTAAAATAGAGCTTTTTAGCTTTGTTTTTTACAAGTTAATCATAATTTCCTCTTTGAAATGTCTCTGTAATAAATATCTCTCTTTTTCTATTCTTCTCTTTCTTGAGCTTTAAAAAGAAACTTCTTTTTTCTATCTTTTTTGGTTTTTTCATCTTTTTTTGTTAAAAATTAAAATAAGCTCCATTTATAATCAAATTAATTTACATTAATATTTCTTGAATGCATTCTGAAAGGCTTTATAGTAAATATATAACCCGAAAGCCTATAAAAAATTAATAGAAATTTCATAAAAACCAAGAAAAAATAAATTTATATTTAAGATAAAATTTAAATTAAATCATAATTTATATATTTTAGATTATCAAAATAAATTTTTTTCAGTTTCTATTTGAATTTGGTTGCTAATATGAAATAAATTAATGTATGGCTAAAATATTACCCTTAGAATGAATATAAAGGCTACTTCTCCTATCCAGATGTAATAGTATTAATTTAAACTAGTGCAAATACTTTAAGATGGATAAGAAGATTAATTAATACTTTGATAATACGTAGATATATCGTTACATATATTTATCACAAATTAGAAGTTCTACATCAAATAATAAGCAAATCCAAATATATAGACTATAAAGTTCATCCCATACATAAACAGAGTCTTTTAAATTATTTCAAAATAACTAAAAATGAAATAATTATCAATAAAAACTTGAATTACCAATCTATAATACCCATATTTTACATTAAGCTTAGGAATCATATTAGATAAAATAATCAACACTGACAGTATATCAAAGAATAAAATTGCTTACAAGTTTTGTGTATAATTAAAAACAATATGGTTTAGTAGAATGTTGATTAACTCAAAAACCTAATTTTTTTATTTTAAATATTTAAATTTTGAGAGCTTTTATTTGACTCAAATTACTGATTAGAATGTTGCATAAACTTGAGAGTGTCTTATTTCACGGCTTTGCTTGGAATTACCAAAAAATATGTTCGTAACTTTCTCTCCGCAGCTCCTTTTTTGACAAATAATTACAATTTGAATTATATTTTCAATATTTTGTGATAAAAGTAAGATCAATATAAGTCAATTTATAATATATCACGAAACTCAGTGAAAATGTTTCAAAAAATAACTAGCAATTACTTACTGCTCTTTTCCCTTTCCTTTTTTAGGTTTGTCTTCGTTATTCATTAATGATATTTATCTATTATCCTCCTATAGTATATTATCGAATTATTTTAAATCAATAATATATTAAATAAGTATCTGTTGATTTTAAAATTATCAAGTAATTAATTAATGAATTAATTAATTTAATTAAAAATGTCTAATCCTATTAAAAACTTTTTTTACTTAAAATATTTTAATAAATAAGAATAATATTTGTAAGCTAAATAAAAAAAAATTTACTCCTTATGGGATTCTCTTATAAAATAAGTAAATTTATAAATTAATAACCGATTTTGATTATATCTTCAAATTAAATTTGAATCTTTTCTCAATGAAATATTAAAAATGTAAGTAAGATAATTGAGACATTATAAATTGAAAATTTTATTTTTACAAGAAACTTTTAAGGAACATTTTTCTAATTTAATTTTAATTTATTACTTATTTATTTAATTTTAATATAACAAAAATGGTTTTAAAAATCCAAAAATATATTTGAACTAATTATAAGGACAAAAAATTAAATACATGAAAAGAAATTACAGAAAATTGTTATCATTCATTTAATTTTATAAATAGATTATTTATTTTTGAATAATTTTATATTGCTAACTAACTTGCTTTGTTTAAATAAATAAATATGTTTAATCATTCTATGATTGTAGAGATTTTATTGAACCAAATATTAATACAAAGATTGTGATAGTGCTTTCCTCTGTAATGTACTCTTGTATCGTTTGCAACTCCTAAGCATAAATTACATATAAATTCATTTAAATGCAAGTTAGATTCACGATTTACAATGTCGTTTATTATTTTTTCTCTTTACTCTTAAGTTAGCTCTTCTGTGAAGCTGAAATTCTTTTTTTATAAGTTTAAATCATTTTAAATTAAAATAAACAAAAGAAACTAAAAATTGATAAACTTATCTTTTCTCATTTAATTCAGTATTTTAATTCATTCTTAAAAATAAAAAATATTTACCTTTTTAACTTATTCGAAACCTGTATTAAATTGTTTATTAAGTATTAAAATATTATTTGTGACTATCTTTTCCAAAATATCGAAATCAATTGACTGAGAACTCAAAGAAATAGATATTTTACTATATCTCTTTCCATGGTACAAAATTTGAGTTGAGGCTTTTAAAAAATAAAAAAATATTATTAAAAATGATGGCATTTTAATAATCAATTAAACTCTTGATAATTTAATCCAAAAATGACTAAATAACTAATCTAAATAAATCTTTAATACATTTTATTAATTATGTAAATAAAGCAAATACCTTTGATAAAGTCTGTGAATTGCTTTTAGGAGACAATTTATTACTTTACCTATGTAGGTAATGAATGGAATTATTTCATTTTAGATTCAAACTATTAAAGCTCCTTTTAGCAGACTTCCTAAACTTAATAGAGTTTTTGGACATAAGAAGAATAGTTATTATCAATAGTTGTGGTTATAATCATGAAATCTATGGCTTCATCTACATCTCTATTTTAATCGTGGAGTGTTTAGAACTGTTTAACCTTTTTTAATAACAAAAACGTTAAGCTAAATACTTAGTTAATAATTAAATTTTTACAAAAATCAAAGCATTTTCAAGATTTCTAATTCTGTCATATATCAAATGGTTGAAGCATTTTCCTTCACAAGCAATAACTTAGTAAACTAATGACATCATTTCGGCTTTATAGTCCTTTTAAGATTCGATTTCATCTATTTCTTGCTTTAACTAATACATTTTATCATAATTTTAATCATTTTTCGCTTTTTTTCTTTATTTCTCCAAGTCTTCAATTTTATCTAATCCCTTTTTAATTTATTTTAACTAATTCAGAAAATATAAAATAAAATTAAATTGGTACTTCTCTGATAGCGATCAATTTCTCAAAGTGTTAGTAGAGACCCAACGAGTCGATTTCTTGTATTAAATCTTCATAAAATTTGTTGTCTACGTAGTATCTTTCATCGTTTTCATACACTTTTCTCCAATATTCTCCTTTATATATTTATTTACCAACATTAAACTAAGGAATTTAATTGAGTTTTTATTGCTTCTGCTTTTCTAATTCCAATTACTACAATCTTTTTCTCTCTTCTTCTTCTTATTTTTTCCTTTCTTACTCTTTTTTTTGCTATTCTGCTTTCTATTTAGCGCTCTCTCCATAATCCAGAGCAGTTATGTCAAATGTATTCATTTCAAACTCTTTTAAGCTATAAATATATTAATTAATTAATATATAATTGTTTAAATTTTAATATAAGCTTACTCCATTACTTTAGGTTCTTATTTATGTGTTTACTATTAAATTTACTGCTACTACTATTGTCCTTATTGGTTTTATTATGTTGGAGCTTCTGCAAAATCTTCAAAATCTTCAAAATCTTCAAACTCATCAAATTGATTGGCATTTTATTGTTACTGTTATTATAATTATTAAGGTTCTTTTTATTAATTTATTTGATCATTGCCTTAAAAATCACCAAAGAGGTCATCATCATTTTAGTCGTTGTATTAAGAATTTACTTATTAAGGATTATTTTAAACTTAATTATTCTATTATTAAGGTTAATAAGGAGCTTACTCAAAACCTTCAAAAAGGAGGTCATTATTATTGAAAACATTATTGGCTGTATTTTAAGTTTAAAAGATAGTTTAGTTATTTTATGGCACATTTAAAACTTATTAATGTTTATTGCTTTGTTCAAAATCACCAAAATCGTCATCACCTCCTAATTCTGCTTGGAGATCATCTTCAAAATCATTTTTCTTTTAATTTTTTTTAACTTTTAAGTTTCTTTCAAAGTCAAGAGTAAGTGTGTCTGCTTAGCTACTTGTGTGGTCTCCTTAGTTGTTGTCTTAAATGCTTGACGTAGCTTTTGCATTATTTTGGGAAGAATGGTCTTCAAATAAATCATTTTAATGATTCTTTTTATTTGGATTTAATTTAGATTCTTGTTAACCTTACTAAGATAATTCATCTTATAACTAATCTTAAGGTTGAAGGTCATTATCAACTTGTTAGTTTTATTTAATAATTGAATCCCAATCAAGCTCATATGCATGAATTGGTTATACAACTACCTTTTCTTATTGTTTTGACTCTTAAAAATCTGCAAATTCTCCAAATTCTTCATCTTCAATTTTATTTTGAACTTACACGTTTGACTGAGGCTAAACCAAGTTTGTAGGTTGTTACTAAACTTATTAAGTACTTTGATTTTAGAACATCTTATTTTTATCTGTTAAGTGATCAACTTTGTAGTCATCAAAAAGGCTAATCACATTTCCAATAAGCTCTTTTTCAATTTCAGCTCCTGATTTTTTGACAGTTGGCAATTAAGAATTGAATAAAATGTTTGCCTACTATACATTAACTTGAGTCTATGCATTAAAATTGTATTACTAATCTGAGTGGAAACGAATATTCTAATTTTATATTTATTGTTGTTGTTGAGTTTATTATTGAATTAAATTTTCTGTTTTAATATCTTAAAATTCTCCAAAATCATCTTCATTTTGATTGTCATCATCACCAAATAAATCCTAGTTTTTTTGATGATTTTATTACAGATTTGGTATAATATCTAAAGGCATATCCAAAACAGATGTCTTAGGTTAAGATTCTTGAGCTTTTTATTCAAGTTCATAAAATGCATTGTATTTTTTAAATCCTTCTTGCTAAGCATTTTAATTATTTGGTTAATTTTATGGTTAAATAGGCACATTTGTGTCTTAAAAATCTCCAAAGTCATCACTGATTTTTTATTATGCTGTTTGATTTTAGATATTATGAACTGCAGTAGGTAAGGAGGTTTATTAAACTTAGTTAAATGAAGAAACGTGAGTAGCTACTTATGGCTAAGCATCTGTAAATTCCCCAAATCCATCACTTTTCTATGCACTATTTTAAAATTAGCTGTGGACAACTTTTTCATTCTACGCCTAGTTTGATGAACTGTTGTTTTATATTGCTCCAGATGCTGTTTCAAAATCTCCAAAATCGTCACTTTATTTTTTAGTATTATTATCCTTATCTTGCTATGTGATTTATGTGCTTCCAAATGCATTTTATAAAGCTTGTAGGTTATTTTATTAGAAAGTTTAGTTAATGTTTGATTACTATTGCTCTATTTAGTTCGATTGCTAAACTATGTTAGTATGAGACTAAAAATGTTGACTTAAACCTTGCTAAACACCCTAGCTAGTGTTTGGTAAAACGGTTTGAATTCCATTTAATTGTTAAGCTGTTGTTTAAACTGTGGTAAAATCACCAAATTCATCACTATTCTGTTTTACTATTTTTGGCTACTATTATTATAAATTTGGAGCTACTATATTTTATTAATGATTTTAAGCATTTAAAGCATTCAAATTGTTGATGGTCTATAAATTATGTAGACCTGTTGTAGTTTACTAGCTGCTTTAATGACTAGTAAAATCACCAAAATCATCATCGTTATTTGTTAATTTATTTATCTATTATACTTGATTTGTCACTATTTACTGTTAAATTATTTAAGCTTATTGTACAGTATTGATATTTTAAGAGCTAGGGACTGAAGGCATAGTTTAAAATTAATTCTAAATTTGAACAGCAGCGTTTAAATTATTTTAAGTTGATGGTGCATCGTTAAAATCCCCGAAATCATCGCTGTTCTTTTAAACTTATTAATTTGGATTTTAAGTTAACTACCAATTTACTTATTACTAACTCAGATGATGAAGATGATTATTATTTTGTGCTTAAAAATTAGCATGCTAAACTGTATTAAACTAATTGCTTATTTGAGGATGCTTTTCCTAAAAGGTTTATGCAGATTGAGTCATATTCACTAAATTTTACTAAATATTTTAGCCTTAGTTTGAATAACCTTAATGCTAGAAATTTTAATGATGTTAATATTAACTAATTGCCTATTATGCAATTTAACCATTTTAATTAAAGCTTCCTTGCATTTGATGAATATTTTAGACAGTAGAAGCTGTTGAAAAATCACCAAATTCATCTTCAATATTGTGCTTCTATTACAATTATGCTGTTAAATTTATCTATGCTTAATATTAAGGATTGTTTAAAGCAGCTTATGCCATTTAAGCTTAATTCTATGCATAAAATTAGTTAATCTATTATGGATTCTAAAGATTTTAAACTTAATTTTATTAAAATTATTGATATGCCTAAGATTAATTCATGTGATGAGCTTAATGTTGATAAATTTGAGATTACTAAAACTATTATTATTATTATTATTATTATTATAATTGCTATGACTAATACACTTAATATTATTGCTAACTATGATGCTAGTGTAAGTTTGAAATATTTGCATTCTAATTTACAACATTTCCATATCCATATTATCCATTTGCATGAATTGTAGCTAAATTTTATTAGTTTTAAGCCTATACGTTAAAATTGTTTGGTGCTGAATTGTTCATAAACATTTAATTCTAACCTAATAAATATAAAAATTATTCATAATTCAAAACTATTTAAAATAAAATTACCTTATTTTTATGTAGGCTTTTAAGGACTTTCGTTGAATGTAAAACCGGAAGGACCCTATAAATTATTAAAGGCATCGTATTTTTTAATTGTGCTAGCGCTCTATTATGTTGAATTATTTTAAGATGAAGATGAAACAAAATCACCAAAATCATCATGCTACTACTGCTAATTTACGTGATTATTGTAAAATTATTAATTTTAATTGATTTGCCCTGCCATCTAGTATGGCGCTACGTATTACTAACCTTATTAATAGGTATTGAAGTGTTGCTAATTATATGACATTTGCAATTACTGATATTTTTTTTAATGAGTGATTTGATTACAATTAATTAAAAATTAATCAATTTATCTATCTATCAATCTTCGTTTTGATTAATTTTATTTATTTATTTATTGATTTCTAAAATAATCAAAAATTAAATATAAATATAAAAAGAGCCCTTCAAATATTTATTTTTTAAATGTAGAGTTAAAACTTTGATTTTCTTTTATGTTGATCAAGTTGAATTCGATTTAACACGAATTAAACAGTAAAACATAGAAGAGTCTTAAAAATAAATGCATGATACTTTCTTTATTTATTTGAGAAATCTATTAATCAATTTAAAAAATAGAAATAAAAACATATCATATATATTATTTAATATATTATTATTATTATTTCTAAATTACAAATTTTTAAAATATAAATTAACTAAAAAACTAATATTAAAAAAGATAATTTTATATTTATTTAATAAAATTTTCATTCATTTTAGTGATTAATATAAAGTTAGATATATATATATATTAATTAAATTTGTAAATACAAATTTGGTTTTATAATTAATTTATTTAATTTTCACACTTAAAAATGTACAATATTGCTTTTATTATTTTTTAATAATATTAAATTAAATAAATTAATTTTCTTTTTGTTATTTCTTTATCACTAAAATATATGGAATCAATCAAAATTTAATTAATTCATTCTTAAATTTATCCGTTCATTCTAAAAGCTTCATTATTTTAGATCTAAACAAGTCTTTATCGGTAATGGGTTTTTCAATATAATCATTAACTGCGTATTGAGATGATTTAATTTTCAAGAAATCTGAGCTGTCAGCAGTGACAATAACAATTTTAGGTTGCTAAATTCTATTTTACATTTATCTTATTTGCTTTGTGAGCTCAAATCCATCCATAAATGGCATTTGAAGATCAGTAAAAACTATGTCATATTTTTTTTCTTGCTCTTTAATTCTTTACAAAGCTTTCTCTGCATGAATAAACTCTTCCACATCAAAATTTTTATAATCATTTAAGTATATTTTGAGAGCAATTAAATTGTATTTAGAATCATCAACAATAATAATGTTGTATCTCTTATTCATTTTATATATTCTGTTTTAGATTGAATTTATTGATTTATATTTTTGAGCTAATATCTTTGAAGTTAGGTTTGCTGATGAGTTAGACATAATCATTTCTCCTTAATGAGTACTTATTATTTAATCATATTCTCCTTCTTGAGGAATAGTATCCATTACTTAATCTGTTTAATTTTAATTACTTATTGTCTTTCCTTCTTTTGTTTGTAGTGTCTTACTAGGATTAGGTCTATTCTAAGCTATTGAAGGATTTTATGACCTTATTTAGGTATTTCCACCTAAGCTAAATCTATTGTTTACTCCATTCACACTGTTAATTTGCTAAGTGGGAGTTTTTTTTCTAGTTTTCTTTTCATTCTTATATATGTCAAAAGTAAAAGTTGATCCCAGTCCTACTGTGGACTCTACTTTGATGCAGTCATCTGGACCTAAAGCACCAACCAAATTTTTGCATATAAAGAGTCCTAGTCCAATACCTTTTCACATGTACAACATTAATACAAAATATTTAACAAATTCTAATAAAAGTTTACCTTGTTAATTCATTTTGTCTTTGTTGTCAAATGTTTCGTATTCCTTGAAGAGTTTTTTGACAACTTCATCCGACATTCCTGTACCAGTATCACCAACTGATATTCTTACACAGTCATCTTAATTTACTGCTTTAACTGTGACGAAGCCTTGTTTAGTGAATTTAATTGCATTTGAGACAAAATTGATAATAATTTATTTTAATCTGTTTTTATCGTTATAAAAAGTTATGTCTTCTACTTATTGTATCAAGTCAATATTTTAAGAAGAACACTAAAATTAAAAAATGTCAAACACTTCTTTGATGCATTACTGCAAATTAATCTTTTCAGAAGATAATTTAAGCTTCTTATGCATGATTTAGGAATAATCAAGAATGTCTTTGATCATAAATAGAAGCATTAATGAATTATTATAGATAATATCAACATTTTGCGCTATAGATACTATGTTCATTTCTTTAATCTATCCCGTGAGAGAAATAATGCAATTTAGTGGAGTTTTTAGATCATGAGAAACCGTAGCTAGTAATCTATCTTTATAGGTATTCATTTATTAAAGTTACTGATTCCTTTTTTCTTGAGATACATTCACAAGCAGAACCAACAAAGAAGGCTATTGATTCCAAAAGCAATTAACGTACTTTACATTAAAGTAGCTCTACCCATATTTGTAAGTACACTTATCTTCAACGATGTTCATAATTTCAATTTATCCACTTATGTTCATGGTCTTTTTTATATTGTGAACATTTTTGCTTTAAGCAAACAACTGCTATTTGATTTTTGAATATAAAGTAAATGAAATCTCTGAAGGATTCTTTTCTTAGTCAGCCTCCTCTTAAATCATGTATTGAAGTTTTTCTAGAATTTCTTATGATCGCTCAACTTCAAAAATATTTAAGCTATTTTTGTTTGCATAATCAATTTTAACATGTTTTTATTATTGAGTCTTGTACATTGGGTTTAAACTTTTTAAAGCTATATTAATTTTAAAAATATGAAAATTATTTTAAACTCACAATAATCAGATAAATTACCTGAAGGGAAAACGAATTGACTTTAGTTTTAGAAGGAATTAATACCTGAAATTTCTTCTCTTTTGAAAGAATAACCTTTAGTATTATTCAGATCCATTTGTTGACGAGTGTTCTCAAAGATATTACTGAAATTATGATTATTTTCCTAGTAATGGCTTTGATTATCTTCTAGTTAACAAACAAAAATGGCTGAAGGAATCAGTATATCAAGCAAATCTTTTTATCCTTTAAGTATTTTAATCTAGTTAATAAAATCAATATATTGTGTATTCTCTATTCTTGTTTCAACATAAAAACTAAAGCATACAATAACAGCAAGTAAATAAGTATGAGTTAGAAACATATTTAATTCATTAAAATTTGTTCCAAATATAGAAGCAATGCAAGAAAAACTAATTAAAATGCATTTAAAGTACCACTATTCAATGTATCTACAGAAGTGCTTTAAAAATATTCCTATTTGTTTAATAATATTCATAACTAATTAGATTCAAATGTAAGATCATTAATTAATTAATTCTTTTAAAATATTCCTCTAATTTCATATAAATCTCATCTGTAATTTATTCATATATAATAAAATAAAAATAATATTTAAAGAAATTCTAAGAAAGGTTATGAAATCGCTAAAATATAATAAAAATATAAATTATTGGCTATTCAATTGTAAAATAACTTTTTTTAAAGCATTTCAAAACCAATTTTTAATCATTTAATTAAAAAATTATTTTAGTTTTTTTATTAGTAATATAAAATATTTTTAAATTGAAATATTTTAGTGGGAGATTTCAAGTATTTTCTTAAATAAAATAAAATAAATTATATTTTATTTAATATAGATTGTTTTAAATAAATAAATTCAATATTTTTCCATTAAATCAAATCGACTTTATTAGTAATTTAATAAAAGCTATTAATTATACTTGTTTTTTTAATAAATATGTAATAATATTTTTCTTATTACTGTTTAAGAAATTAAATCATTGAGAAAAATAATTGCTGCATGTTATGTGATTCAAATTAAAAGAGTTTATTTAGATAGATAGTTTTTAATTAAAATTATTATTGTACCACAGAAAAGCCAATAGGGATAGGATGTTACATGTTGTTAAGAGTTAAAATCAAATATAAGAGTCTTCAAAAGATAAATAGAAAAGCTGAAAACAAATAAGACAATAATTCTGTAGACATCAAACTTAATTATTTTATATTCTATTTAATAACAAAACAAAAAATGGTTACAGTTTGGCAGAAAAAATTAGGATTAAAATGAATTTATTTACCTATCGTTAAAATAATTATCAAAATTAATCCAAGATATATGCTTAGAAATAAGTTGATGTATTACTAATTATAGATGGACACTATAGAATTTATAAAAATCCAGAGCATGAAAACAGGCGTAAAGAACTTGAATTACTGTTTTTTTTGTGATTGAATTATTTTTTACTGCTAGCTCTGAATATCCTTTAATTTATTTTGTTTCAATATGCCATTTAAATTCTAGTTCTACATAAATTAATCTTCGACTTATCCGAAATAATTTGTTTCTTTATGTAAAACGGCCTAAGGACTTGATTAGCTTTTTTGTTCCATGAATTATTATTAATAAATTGATCTAAATACTTTAGTATTAATTAGGTATCTTTCGGTTACTTAAATTTACAATTTATTTATATAAAAAATATGTTTTTTATTCTATAAAAGACTATATTTATTCTAATTATTTGTTTCTTATTAATTATATCAAAAAAACATTGTTTTTATTTAATTTGATTACATTTAAATTATTAAGAGCAAAAAGATAATCAAAACCAATCATAATCATTCAAACTATATCTACTGTTCTATAAAAGCAATAAGAGTATAAACAACTTTTAATAATTAAAAACATATATATATATATAACAATTTATTTAACTTACAATTTTCATTTTCAATTTTATCTCTATTGATATTTATTTATTTATCTGTTCTTCTAAAAATTAGTGTTTTTAAAACAACCTGTTATTTAATCTTGCAAATTAATTTATATAATTTAATTTTAATATAAATTTTTGTAGCTTTTTAAAGACAATTCACCTTACAATATTACTAATCCAGAAATTAAAATATCACCAACTGTGTTGATATATATGATGATATTCCATTTAATTTTTATGCCTTTTTACTAATTTTTTTCATTTTATATTTTAATTGTTTTTATCATTCTGTTTTTATCAAATTTTAACAAATTTTTGATTACATTTAATGCCTTTCCTCAAATTTTGAACTAAAATAAACTAAAAAAATTTTTATTACACATTTTCGAAAATTTTAAAATTGGTTTTCAAAAGTAAATCAAAAAATAATTATTTAAGATTAAGAGAATACGAGTGATATTTATTTAAAATAATTTCCATCTAAGAAATTAAAAACAAAAAAATAATTTAAATATAATTTAATTATAAAAATTTACTAATATAATTTTTTTAATGTTGTTTCTTTTTATATTTTAAAACAAATCTGTATCTCGAATTGAATAAATGATCTATAAAGAACTAAAAATTTTTACCTAAAAGTCAATATTTATAAATTTTTACTAAACAAAAAGATATTCAGAGATTAGCTATTACATTTTTTTTATTATACCAATTTACTTTTTAATTAGAAATCGTTTATTTCAAGCTTAGAATATAATGATAAATTATAATTATTTATTTGAATAATAAAAATAAATAAAAATTATTTTTGATGTTTTTTTAAAAAATAATTTATGAACACTATTAAAATAAAATATATAATCCATCTATTATAATAAATTCATTATTTAAATTAATTTTATATGGGATTAGCCTTTGGCTTGACAAGTAATTTATTGCTTTACTAAATGATTCTATTTTATAAAAAGTAAATTTAATATTCTATTAGAAAAAATTTTAATTGTTAAATAAGTAAATCACCTTGGCATTTTAGGGAATCCATTTCTTGTGTTGACTCCACTTTCATTATTAGGTATTTAATCAATAGAAATGTCTGTTTTATAAATTAAAATATTTGTAAAATATAAATTATAAAAAATAAATGTAAAATTGATTAATTACCATTTGGATCTTCTCCTTTTTCTATTTTTTCTTATCTTTTATAGAATATTAACTGCTTTTTGAAAGACTTTTTTATATCAAGTAAAATATTTCATTAAAATAAATTCTAAAAGTTAAAATATATTTTTTCTAAATGAATTTGTATTAGTTTTATAATTTGAAGCACTCATTTATTAATAATTTAATTAATAAAATTGACTATTTTTAAATTTATTTGATAATTATTTCTCACATTTTAAATGAATTATTTGATTCTAAAATATTTTACTCAATTTAAACTATTTTATTTCCTATGATTATTTTTGCAATTAAGCAAGTAAAAAGGTTTTAACTATAAAATCAATTAATAATTACTTATAAAATTTTCTATCCCTTATCCTTTTTTTCTTTGTTCGAACTCATAATGGCATCTAAATTAATAAGAAAAGAATGAATTTAACTCAACTCACAAAAAAGATGTATATTTTATTTAAATTTACCTAAAATTTTTCTTCTTCTATACATACTAACATTAAGCCTAAAAGGAACTATTTTATCCATTTGATTATCAAATTATCCAGTGCTCATCTCTTTTTGTTTAATCATAGTTATATTATTTATGATTTTTTATTGCTCATTAAATTAAAGTTACTTTTGAAGAAATCAAATATTGCTCCTTTCTCTGACTCATCTCCGCCTCCTTTATTTTTATCAGTTTTCTAAACAGAACTCATAATAGACAGAAATTCTTTGAATTCAATATCACCAGAACCATCTTCATCAACTTATTTTATTAATTTCAATACTTCATCTCTATTTTAAGCCAAGCCTAAAGCAATCAAAGGATCTTCTAATTCTTCAACTCCAATACTACCTAATTTAATAATGATAATTTAATAAAAATGTAAAGATAATTTAATTCTTTTAAGTCTATTAATATTTCTTCCTTTTCATTATAATAAATCATACCTGAGCCATCGCTGTCTAAAGATTTAAAATATTTTCTCAAAACTAAAATTTCTTCATCTTTAAAATCAATATAATCTTCTTTTCCATGAGTTTTCAACCATTTTCTTTCATTATATGATGATTAAAACTTTCAATTTATATTTGTAAAATAAATTAATTTGGCTTCAAACTGCTGAATCTTACAACAAATTTAGACTGCTTGTATGTGATCTTATTATTTTTCTTTCCATCCTCATCTTTATCATCGCTCATTTTACTTTATCGAGTTAGTTAGCAAACTAATTAAATTAGCTAGTCTTTGTTGTAACTTTTAGTTATTGATTGATTGCTTGCTTGCTTGTTAAATATAAATAAGTTTTGAAATTTATAATAATTAAATACAGATTATTTCTTTGATAATAAATAATACTTCTATCAATTATTTTATGAAGTTAATTAACTAATTCATTTTCATCTAAAAACTATCAAATTGGATTTATTTACTAGATGATAGACTATGTTGGTTAGTTATAAAAATAGTTTCAATCTATCACATAAGCCATCGATTTTCATCATTAAAAAACAATTAAATAACCATAACATCATTTTATTAAATGCAAATTATTAATGAAATTATAATTGATAATGAGTATTTTTTTTATGTTTTACATCTAAAAGCATGAAATTGGTTTTATTTTTAATTCTATTATCTTAAAAAACAAGTATTTTTCATAAAAATAATGATTGAATATCAATTACTGTATAACAAATGTTATATATCAGAATAAATCGATCAAAAAAAAACTTAAAAATGAAATAATTTTAAATAAATTACAATTGAAGTTTAGCTTTAAATTAATTTTATTTTTGATTTGTAAATATTTAAGTATTTTGAGATTTTTTCAATAGTTCTCAACTTTTTTATTTTACTTTAAACTTCTCAAGTTAAATTTATTTCAGAAAAATAAATAATCATTTTTTCAGTAATATCTCATTCAAATTATGTATTAGTTATAATTATTTCATGCTAACAATTAAGTGGTCAATAAAATAAACATTCCTTTTAATTTTCTTAACAGACTTTTTACTTTTTACTATTTTTTAAAAATGATATCTAAATAACCCATAATTATTTTAGTTTTAAATTAATTACTTTTTAAAAAATTAAATTATCTAATAGAAAAAATATTTTTATGAAAAACTTTTTTTTGTAAATATTTTGTAACTTTTAAGTAGAAGATAACAAAGAATTTTAGTTTAGTATTTGTACTATATACCTTATTTATAATGAAGCTTTCTTTGATTGTTTTAAATTTACGAAAATGTTGATATAAAAATGACTTCCTTGATCTATTGAATAAAAAATAATGAAAGTTATTTAACTTGATGGATAAAAAATAATTCAAAGCTATACTATTCGTTTAAAATGATTATTTGTTATTGAATATCTTGTTCATTTTATAACTTATACAATTTTCAAATGTTTTAAAAATTAATTAGTATTTATTTGATGAATTTCGCACTTATGATTAGAATTAAACAATTAATTAATAAATTTTGAAATTGTGAATAAATCTATTCATTAAAAGATAAGTTTTTAAAAAGTAATAATTTCAAAATTTTTTATTATTTATTCATTTTAAAGCAACAAAGGATATAAAAGCATTCATAAAGTAAAATGGCAGCAAGTATTAATAGAATTTATATCATTTAGAGTTTGCGATAATTATTTTCTTAATTAATAATAAATAGAAGGTAAATAAGGTTGGGGTTTCGGTGGAAAAGACCAGAATGTCAAAATAGATACTTCATAGTAATTAGATTTATTATTTTTCATACAGCAAATTTTTATACTATTATGAAATTTTAAAATAGATAAGATCAGAAAAAATAAAATATTTGGGAATAGAATAATGAAGGTAAATATTTCATTTTTAAAATTTCAGTTTTATAAGTAAATATTTTAAATCATTTGAAGATTTGATTTTTGTACCTGATTTGACCCAAGAAGCTCAAGAATAGGAAGTAAGCAAAGTCTCTGCTCCACCAAATCAGCCAACAGTTTAAGTTTAAGATATTAATGAATTACAGAAATTTACTAAAATCAACACATTACCTCAAACAGTAAATATTTCATGAAACGAATATATTTATCTTTAAGTAAAGAGTTATAATAAAATTAAAAATCTAATTTTAGGAAGAAGGAGTAGATTTAAGCTAATTAATGCAAATACTTAGTCCAGTCGAAGATGTATATTTTATATAAACTAAAAATAAGTTAAAAAGCAATACTCTATATTTATAATTCAAAAGATTAAAGAAAAAGATGAAGCTTGGGAATTTTTGTAGCTAAAAACATAGATTTATGAAATAGTAAGATTTTTATAAATAAATAAATAAATAACTAATAGTATTTATTATATGAGCAAAATATAACAATTTTTACAAATCTTAGGTAAGTAATATGTATGGAGGCAATGAATTAATCGATGACGATGATGAAGATGATGAAAACTAATGAAATAGTTTTCAAAAAAATTAATAATTAAAATAAATTTATTCAAAAATGACAACTAAATTAAATGGAATTTACAAAGTGTTAGTTTAAAAAAACAATGATTTAAGTAAAATAGGGCATTTTAATAAAGCGATTCAATAGAGAAATATAATATAAATATTTACAAAAATATAAGTGACTTAGTTTACAAATTAAATACATATAGTAATTATTATCATAAATAATAACAAGTTAAAGATAATTTTATTCATTCATTTATTAAATTCCATTTATGCTAAATGGCTTCAAATCAAAATTCTTAATTGATTTTTTTATTTATTTTCCAACAATGAATTAATTATTATTATCATAATTATTTTGCTTGGCTACAGTAGTGTTATTATTTTAAAGATTGATTGATTGATTATTTCTTCTCTTACTTTTATATGTAGTAAAGGCTCTCATTCAATTTAATATAAAGTATGTTATATAGGATATTTATAAATTAATTTTTTGATTTTTTTGGGATACAGCTAAATTTATTTTTTAATTTTATTAATATTGTTGTGATTATTATTATTATTTTATAATTTTTATTAGCTTTGTCTTTTGTCTGATAGCACATATTTATTAAGCATTTTTAAGAGGTGCTTAATAAATTTGTCTTGAAATCTTTATTGCTATCAAACATATTATTCTTCTTCATAATTAAGAGAGAATTTCACATCTCTAAACTAGAAAGAATTCTCAAGCACATTTTTTTGCATAACTAGCTGGCTGGATAAATTTTGGTTGCATGGCAAATAGATTAAATATTATAAAAGTAAGCATGCAGACCAAAAAGGCTGAGAAAATATCTTCTTAGTAAAAAGAGTGAAAAGGTGATTAAAAGAGCTATAGTTGCTCGTAATTTAATGACTTCAATTATGAGGAGCAGAATAATAATAGAAATTTGAAAAACTTGAAGAACTTAAGGAAATTTTTATCATTTTTTATAGAGTAGATAAGTAGTTAGTTAATTAATTAATTAATTAGTTAGTTAGTTGATTGGTTTGTTATTATTTATTATAAAGTTTATTTTTACAAATATTTTGAAGCCTCTTTTTTTGGTTGAGGCAAATTAATTTTCATCCAATCATAGATTATTTAATATAAAGTAGATTTTGGTTTGAAGCGAAGTATAGATATACTATGAATTTTAAAAGAATTGTTTAGTTAAAATATGAGGATCGATCAGCAATGAGAAGGAGAGAATATGAGAAGTTAAGAGAAGTAAAATTTTTATAGTTAGTTATTAATGGATTTCCAATTGATAAATAGATACTTGATGATTTAGGTTGATTTATAATCAGATTGATTTCTGACTGATTGAAATGATTAATCATGTAAAAATCAACTGAAGAAAAACTTCTTATTGAAGTTAGTTTGTGTTTACTTTTTAATCAACCATTATTTATTTTATTATTTAGGTAATTAGCTATTTTTTTTTGGTTTTTTGTTAGATTTTGCATAATAATTTTAAAATATAGCAATTGATATAATAATTTGTTCATATTATTTATTCATCTATAAGCTGTTCAAAAATGACCATTCTTCAAGGCATTTAAGAGTTATAGACTAGGGTTTTGTTCTATGGTTTATTTTTGAGGGGCAATGAATTGCATTAATTGCTTTTAAATTAAGTCGAAGCTACTGTTGTCATCATCCTCCTCTTCTTCTGTTGACATGAAATTCAATGATGTCTAATCGTTCTTGGCATTGAATGTGTTAGGTAGTGATGGGGTTTTGAAATTTGCATTTGTACTAGAGCCTTGCTTTTAAGAAAGGATGCTTTGATTTGGATAGCTTTAATTGAATTAATTGGCTTGTCTTTATTAAAGGTTTACTAACAAATGCTTGAAAAGCTCAACTTCATCAGATTAATCTTAGTTCTGAGAACTATTATTTACAGCAGATGGTTAGTTGAATTTAGGAGTAGCTTCTTTAATGGCCTGTTTTCTGCTATTCTTTTAGAGATCCTCAGTTGGTTAGTTCTATTGTTATGAGTTGGTCAATCCTTGCAAGAGATTGAATAATAATAAGGATTATTGATATTCTGAGATTTAACTGATATCTTCATTTGCTTACTTTGGCACTGAGTTTCTGAGTTGATTCTTTTAAATATTCTGATTACGGTTTTATTATACAGCTGCGAAGTTGTTGGGTTATGGTTGAGCGATCTTGTTTTAGCTAAGACGAGCAGCTGAAAAAGCAGAAGAAGAAGGAGAAGTGGCTGAAATTCCAGTTGAGTGGCTTAACTAAGAGGTGCTGATATTGTCCAAATTATTAGCTAAGTTATTAACAAAATTCATGTTATTTCCACCGCTAGTGCTAATTGAATCAATCGATAATTTCTTTTTCTTAATTTGATTTTGCATGTAAGGAGATACCTCATTTAAGTCATACTATTTCTTTTAACTAATAAGTTATTCAAGATTCATTTGCGCACTATTTTTAAATAATAATAATTAATATTTGTTTTTAATATAGATATTTGTCTATTTCAAAATCATCTATCATCAAATATTATCACCAAAACGTTAATACTTGTTTATCTTCGTCATCTTAAAAAAAATACAATATCTTAAATATATGCTCTATTTTATTTACATTAATTAACTCGACAAAAAAACTTAACATTTAGAAATTAAATCAATCTTATTATATTCAATCGTTATTTTGATTGATACTGGTGTAATTTGTAACTTATTATTTTATTTAATTATACTATTGAAATAAAATCATAAAGGCATTAAACTTATCTTTATATTTTAAGATAAATGCTTGATTGATTGATTGATCATAACAAAAAGATATTAATCATTTCTAGAAAAAAGAAATAGATTTTGTAAAAGATTTATTACGCATTTAATAATTTCAAAAGATATCCTTAAAGATATTTGCGGGCAAATAATTGAAAAAAATTCTAAAGATTCTTCAAAAATCTTCTTTGGGATGATTTAAATTTTTCGAATAAGAATTTTGTGAAATTTTGGGTTTTTTTTTAAAGATTGATTGAAAGATTTATTAATTTATTGCTTAACAAACAAAATCTGAGGATCTCATAAAATTTGAAAATTGCTTTGATATTTTTTAAACATATTTTCAAAAATATATTTAAAAAAGGGACTTATCTCTTTACCGCTTTATTTTATTACCAAAAGAGCAACATTTTTCAAATCTTCAAAAAAAATTAGATTTTAATTTCACCCAATTTATTTTTTAAGTAAAAATGCTTTTCAAGATCTTTTTAAATTTATCACTTCATTTAAATTTCCATAAATTCTAAGAAAGATAATGAAAAATCGCTTCCTTTTACTGCATTAAAAATATTAACTTATAATCCAAACATGCGCTTTTATTATTTATTTAGATGAAATCTCATCAATTTTTTTTCTTTTTTAACATCTTTATTCAAATTTAGGAAATTTGGATTTGGATTTGGAAAGTAAAGTTTGATTTTTCTCTCTTAAGTATCAAAAACCGTTTTTGTGATTTATTGATTTATTTAAAATGGAAAAATTTTTAAATTAGTTATTTACATGTAGAACTAAATAAGATGAGTTTCAATATCAGCTGGCTCGAAAATTGAGTTTAGAAGAGATTGACTGATGAAATCGCTTGGGGAGACTTCTTAATCGACTCCGTTGTTATTGAATGAATCAAAATCTACTTCCTTATTTGCTTAGTTCTCATAAGGAATATTTTAAGTTAAGTGCTAGCATTGCTGATCAAGTAATTAGCTTAATTAATCAGTTATTCTTTTTTCATTTTTAGAGAGAAATTTCTTCTCCTTTTTGCTTAACACGTTCTAGTTAGCTGTTCCTAATATGCTGTTATTGCTATTTAATGCTTACTATTTCATTTTCTCCTAAGCGCTTAAGATTTAACTCCAATTCTTTTTCTTTGGAGCTCCATCAATTGATGAGTCTAAAACAGGCTTAATGTTAATAGAAGCAGAGTTGTTTTATGAAATCAAATGCAAGGGATTTTAAAGGATGTCGCCTAGATATAATTCAAAAAAATAAAATTTAATATTATAAAAAAATCAAATTTAGTAATAAAGCGGGATTAGATGTAATTAATAAATGGGTGTTTTAATTTTTGTTATCACATTTCGAATAATCGCAAATCAGTCATTTAATAATAATTAAATTATTTCTTTATGAATGGCTCATGAAATTATTAGTTCATTTACATTTATCAAAAAATCTTTGAAGCACTCTTACTAATTCCTTCAAATTAGAAAATCTTTATTTCTATGAAACTTTAGAAAGATTGAAAAATTTCAAAAAATTTGTAAAAGATATTTATGAGCCAAAATGCTTGGATAAGATTACATCTTGATAATAAAGAGATAACTCAAAAAAAAATTTTTGTTCAGATTCTAAAATTTGAATCAGTCACAATCTCTCTTTCTCTCTATCAATCAATATTATCTAACAATCAAATCAATCTTGATAAAATCTTTCAAATACTTTCTAACTAATTTTTAAAAATTTAAATCCATTCAATCTAAAAATTATAAATTTCTATACTTTATATAACTAAACTCCAAACAAACCAAAGAAAGGTTTATATTTTATCAATTTGAAAAATACTTTAGAAGCATTTATCAATTTTAAACTGTAGTAAATATTTTAAATATCCTTCTCAATATGTATCAATTCAATCATTAAGAATCAAAGATGTTTTTTGTTATATGAGAATTCTATTTTGGAATAATACTTGCTAATGTTGATTATTATACTTATCATCTGGTTTTCTCTTTCTTAATTTAATTAATTATTAATGAAATGTTTTTAAGTACTGATTTAACATTAGATTTTTTTCTCTTCTAATTTTTAGATTGATTGAATTTATTTGTTAGAATACTATACAGGAAATGAATTCTATTTTAATGTTCTCTTATGTGTATAAATGTAAAATGAGTGCCGTTTAAATGAACTGTAATTTGGATCTTAAACTTGGTTCAATAATTTTCTATTATTCTCGCTTTAATTTGAAGAAGGCCTTAATTTAAAAATTACCTGATTCAGGTGAGCTATTCAAATGTGATATCATAGGAGTCATATCTTCATAGAAATCTTACTGTCTTTCGTCTATTTATGTAAAAAAAGTTTAAAAATGTGTTAGAAAGTATAACTTTTTAAAACTATATTTGCTGCTCAATTAAAAATAACACAACCCCAATTAATAGCGTACTTTACGCTTGTTTGCTCATTTTAAATTATGAAATAATCTGTTTGGTTTAACTCAAGTTTAATTTTAGAGCCAATAAATGAAACCTAACAATCCTCTCACTTCCCTTTCTCTTCTAAGTATATAACAAGTAATCAGTGTCTGATAAGCTTATAAGAAATAGAATAGTTTAAATTCTTTAAAGATGCTTTTGATCAATGAATTAATCTAGTAAATTATAATTCTATTTCCACTCTATCACTGACTGCATATATCAATTAATCAAACTATGAATAGAGAAACGATTGAATGAGAAAGCGGATGAATAAATGAGGCGATTGATAGATTTGCAATTTGTTATTTATCTTTGAATAATTGATAGAGTGATTAATTGTTTGTATCTTAGTAAGATCTATAAAAGAACAAGAAAGGGAATAAGAAAAATTAATTAACAAATCAATTGACTTTTAGAGCTTTAGGAGTTGTAAAAGTATTTTTCACTCTTCAAATTTAAAAATATAAATGGGTTGGAGCAGAATGTGTGTAATTTTAGAAGCATGATTGGGAAATGTATTACTTTTTAGTAGGTGCTTAGCGTAGTCGGATTAGATAGCTGAGGCGAAGTTAAGTTGCTGGGTTGGAGCATTCTATTAAAGTGAATGAATTTGATTTGGTAACGAAGAATTTGCTTAGCTGCTTGAGATTTGATTTTGTTATTTTTGTTGTTGTATTTGCTGGCTTTGCTAAGCTGAGGCGCTATTTGCATTCAAATCCTTAGTGACATTTGTCTTTCCAAACTCTTTTTCGAGTCTGTTAAAGAACTTTTAGGCATGAGAACGAATTTAAGCGCCTGTTCTAGTTCCAATGTGCTCCTCTACCTTCTTCCAATTCTTTCCGTAGATATTGAGTCCTTCGAGGAATTTTTGGTGCTCTTCTTTAGTCCATCTGCCATGTTAGGAAGCAGCTGAAGAAGATTAAGCATTAACACCAGCAGCCTTGGAATGGGCAGAAGCATTTTATTAGAATGCATCGCAGCCACTAGCAGCTAGGCTACCAGCCTAGACTGAGGAGAGCTGATTAGCTCTAGGAGAAGCTGAATACATGCTGTTATTAGCGTTGTTAAGTTATTGTAGGAGTAATACCTAATTATGAATGCTATTTTCATCGCTAGTGGAACTCTAGCAGCTTTATTTATTGTCCTTTGTAGTCATTTAAATGCTACGCTTGTGTCAAGTAATATCTAATGAATATCCAGAGTAGAAATATGGAATGATGACTAGAATTTTTTTTGTATCCTGTTCGGATTTTATTTGCAATTTATTTGAGGATTCTCTCCTTTAATTGTTGGTATATGTTTGTTTTTTTGATTGTTTCTTTGAAAACTTGTTAGATTGTTTGTTTAATTGATAAATTGATTAATTGATTGATTCTCTTTTGATTTTTGTTTTTTTCAATTTTTTAATAAAAGTATTGATTGTTTGATAAAAGCTGTTTTTAATTCTTTAATAAAGAGTTCAGTCATATAATTTGTTTATCAAACTATTTATCTATCTATCAATCAATCAATCTTTCTTTCTGTATTTATAATCAAATCTCTCACTCTTTCTTTGCTTTTTGCAAATAGATCTGTTTCTTGTTTCATTCTCTTTTTTTTTGCAATTATGAATTTACTTACTAATTATCAAGCAATTATTTTTTGATCCATATATATTTATCAAGCAAGGATCAAGAAAGCAAGCAAGCAGATAGATAGATAATTAGATAAATTCTTTCTTTTTTAATCTAATTTTTGTTTGTTTCTACTTTTCTATTTTAAAATGATAAAGAATTTGATTTGCTTGATAGAAATCATGCATATTTATCAAAACAAAAATCTGAATTGAATATTATTAATTAAATTAAATGACCCTTAACAAAACTCTTTTGACATTTCACTAATAATTTAATTAATAAATTTTATAAATAGTCGATCATTTGTATTGACAAAAACCCAACTAAAATCAATAAATAAATAACTTTCGCAAAAACAATAATAATAACAAAAAGTTGATGGAAGAATTCTAACATATTAATAATTAGAGAAATAGAAAGTAGCTGCCAAAATCTTATTAATTAAATTATGTATTTAATTTATTGTTTGTTTATTTTTTGAGTAAAGAAGCAAGTGAGAGTAGAGTGTGTTTGTTTGATTAATTAATAAGGTCATTTGCCTTTCTAAATTTGAGCATATATTTTTAATAGTAATTAAAAAAAGATCCATTGTAAAATATAAATATATATTAAAAAAGTCTAATTTCGAATTTAAATGAATTCTTTTGTTAAGTAAATTCTAACTAAATTAAAAAACAAATAGAAATCAATGACAAGTAAAAATATATATAAGGTCCAAATCTAAATGCATTGATCATCGCTATCAGTATTTTTATTCTAAAATGATTGAGCACTGCGCTGTTTTCTGCGTCCCCCCCAAAAAAAACGAAAATTAATATGTAATAGATTCAAATAAACAAAATAAATAAAAGACTAAGGTAGCAAATCTATTTTTATATTCAAGAAAATATATACATATATTTAAAGAGTAAATTGGACGTTTACCTAGATATAAAAAGTTAAGTTTCGCTTCATTATTTTTGGTCACATTTACGATAGAAATCGCTTGATCAAATTCATAAATTTGTTTTTATCAATTATTAACTGATACGACATGCTACTTTTAGACTAATAAATCTAATTGCATGAAAATTTAATAAATTAGCTCAGAAAAGAAACATATCTTTTTCTTTTCATTGATTTTGTTTATTTAAATAACATACAAATTTATTTTTCTTTGATCTTTCTTTGCAAATTCTTTCTTTCTCTCTTTTGTTTCCTTTTCCTAATCAAACAATCCAAAACAAAGAAATCCCGATCCAATCGAATATATTTTTATATGCAATAGAACAAGCAAACCAAATAATTTTTCATTCTTCTCCTAAAAAAAGCGCATTTCATTTTATAATGCCTGGCCTATGCATATTTTTTTATTCTATCTAATCTTAATATCTCAAAATTAAGTCATTAAGAATCTACTCTACTACAAATCTTACGTCAAACATTTTTATTATTATCGTTGTCTGTTATTTCTTTCAAACTGAAAAATTAAATAATTAGAATAGTTCTCCTTTCTATCTTTTCAGCAAACTTTCTCAATCACTCCCATTAAAATAAATCTTTCCTTTCTTTATTAATCTATATAAATCATCACGCCAAATCCCAATAAAAACAATAAAAGATTATTTTTTAGAAAAAAAACTTACTTGATTATATCTTTTTTATATTTTTATTATTGTTTTCCACCATTTATTTTTTTAAAAATGCAGTTAATATTCTAATTTAGAAATAAGCCATAGCTTTTTTAAGTTTTTAGGGATAAAATTTTAAAATATGAATCAGCTGTAGCCAAACTAACTACAACAACGAAATTAAAACAATAAATTATCAAAAATTTTGATAAGAAAAGTATAAAATGTTGTTACAATAATATTCTTCTACTAATCTGATGAGAAGCTAAAAATAAATTCTTTTATAAAAAATTTAGAAAATGATGCTAAAATAAAGAAGAACTGGATGAAATGCTTAATAACTAATAAAAATATAGATATATATCTAGAGTATTCTTTGATCATCAAGAAATATCTTTAGAAAAAATTTAATATCCTAACATCTCTCTTTTTAGATAATAACATATAAATGCTCCTTTATATTAATTTTTCTATTCCTAAAACTGATTTTATAATACGCAATTTTTCATTTCAAAATACTTACTATCACTCAAGAATCTTATTTTTTATTCTAGCATGTAAAAAAATATCTTTGACCTACATGAAAGCATTCTTGATAAAAATTAGAATGCCTATCTATGATTTTTTAATATTGAAATTCAGCGTTACTTTAAGGAAATTTAAATAATTATCTGATTTCTTATAACTGGCGATTTAACTGGACAAATAAAGTTATCAAAGATCTTTTAAAAAAAACCTAACAGCTATTAATACAAATTAAATTTGATTCTAAAACAAAAAGAATCTAGAATACTTTTTGTTTTAACCTTTTAGATCAATGATGTTTAAATTCTTTCTAAATAGTAAGTATAATTTTAAATATTTATTGATTTACATTCTTTCTTTTATTTTGGAATAAATTTTAATTTTAAAGAGATAAAATCAGATTTAAATTTATCTAATTTAAACTCAATAAATTATAGAAGATAATACAAATTATCTTTCTTTTGAATTATTTTATCAATACACGAAGAAAACTTTTAAAGAATTCAGCTTAAATTAAAATAATTTATATTTATCCCACCGTAATTATGTACTCTGTTAAATTGGTTCTTCAAGTAATAGTTGTTAGTAATATTAGATTATAAAATTAAATTAATTCAGCTTCTCTTATGTCCCTATAAAATAAATTGCTTAACTTTTGATTCCCTTCTTATTTTAATTATTTTGGCTTCAATATATTCACAAAAGGTATAAAAATAATATTTTTATCTCATTCAATTAATTACCATTAGTTTTCAACATATTAAACAACTACAAAATCATAATTTTGTTTAAATCAATCAAAGTATCCTGAAATAAATACATTTCTTTTTTATTAAATTTATATCTTTTTTCTATTAATTTTGCGCGTATTTTAAAATTTTAGCTAATGACCAACAAAGAAATAAATAGTCTACAATACAAGCTATTTTACACTTTTATTTTATTTAAGTAATAATTTATTTTGCAACAGTTCTAAGCAAAAACTAATACTTTAACCTTATCTTTTTTAACTAAAATACATCATTAATATAATTGAATTTATTTTAAAATAAATATTAGCTATTTTCAATAAGTAAGATATAGTTTTATAAATATAAAAAACATAATTTTTAAAATATATTTAATGTAATTAATTATTGTCATTTTTTAAATTTAGCTCTGAAACTTTATTACTTATTGTATAATAAATGGTGTTAATTAATTACTTATGTTTTAAAATTAATTATTATTTTATATGTATTATCATTTTATAAAACTTTTTTTGCATAATTCCCTTCTGAATTATTGAAAAATTTGTTAAAACAGTATAAAAACTTATTGTATTTAACTAATTTTTTTATTATTTGGAAATATTTTATTTTAAGAGTTATTAGATAACATATTTAATATACTATAAACTCTCATAAATTAGCATCAAATTATTTTACTGTAATTTCTCTATAAACCCTACAAAAAATATATAATATAAATTTAAATTGAAAATATATTTATTAAAGTACCTCCTTTTTTTAGTAAATAACATAATTCTTACTTTATAAAAAAAATTATAACTTTATAATAATTAGATATTCTAATAAAAATATCAATTAAATTAATCAATCTATTTTTTAAACATAATTTTTTTAATTAGGTGAAATTTGATAATCATAGTATTTTATCATACCATTAATTTTTATTTTTTTATTTAAAAAAATTTTTATTATGAAATTTTATAAAAATAAATTATTCCATTTATAATTTGATAGATAATTTAAAAATATTAAATGAAATTATTTCAATCTAATAGTAAATCAATGATTAATTGAGTGAATAAAATAAAAAGCAAACATTATTTATTTTAAAATCAAATAAAAAATATTACTTGATTCTGTAAGAGATAAATGTAATATTTTTTTTGTTAAGAAAGAAAAATATAATGATTAAATTTAAATGAATAATAATCTATCTAATATATCTTAATTAAAATATCTTTTTTTTAAGAAACTAAATAAATTAATCACTATTTCAACATTACAACATTACAAACAATTTAGAATAATTTTGTAAAAATATTTAGATTAAAATAAACGAATTTATAGCTTGCTTTTTGTTTTTAATTTTTTATTAGAAATTAATTTTGATGATAACAAAATATCTTATGTCAAAATTAGAAAAGATTTATCATCGTTTATTATCAAAAATTTAAAAACAGAAAATAAATGATGAATAAATATTTTTTAGATGCTCTATCTATCAATAATGATATTTTTTTCTTCTTTTATGAATATTCTATAAAAATGTGGATTGGCTCTTCAGTTCACCAGATACGAACGCAAAAAAAAACAACAATAATTATTATAATAACAACAATAACTTTAAAAGGGGTATCTTATTTGTAAATGCCTTTTTTTTAATAATATCTTTTAGTTGACTTCTAAATCTAATTAACACCCTGAAATATCATTAATAATTATAATCAATCAACTTTTTTGCTTTAAAATTTTTTGAAAAATATTTGATTAATGATAGGTTAGGAGGAAATAAAAACACAGCCAGAATAAGAAAAGATGATATCACCTAATAATTAATAAAGGTTGTCTAATAACCAAGAAGTTAGAAACAGTGGGGATTTAACATCTTTGAATAAAAATGGAATAAATGCTCGTTAAATTGACACTAATTTTCCAGCAACTAACTGTTTAGCACCACCAACATAAGAAGATCAGAAACATAATGATGTAATTTAAAAATTTAGATATGAATTTCAAATAGAATTATCAATTATCTTTTTATAAAGGGTTTAAGAAAGTTCTGGTGGGGCTCAGCAGGACCTTAGAACTAAGGGTTTTAAGATGGAGGAAGAAGAACCATTTCCAGCATGGATGGAATAGCATTTGATAATATTAAAGATAGTATGTTTGATTAGAAGATTATTGATGCAATTGAAAAGGAGTTGGAATTGGAAGATGAAGAGAACGGCAATATTTTTAAGGATGAAGGAGTAACAAGGAAAAAGATAGCAGAAATCAAAAATTTATTAAATGAAGAAGAATTCATCCTTGATAATCTTCTCAAAATGACCAGAGAAATGAGAGATGTGCGTAAAATTTAAGATCTTATTGAGGCTGTATGCAGTGATATTTATAAAAGAAAAACTGATAAAATATTAAAGCTAGATAGAATACTGTGTCAAGATGATTAGTAGTTAAAACAAATTTAGTATTTAGAAAAGAAAATTCGTAAAGCAGAGGTTGAGGTAAAAGCCTTTAAAAAATTAGGTGAAATTAAAACTTAAAGATAGGCAGGAAGATATAAACCAAATCCCCAGTAAATAACTACTTTTTCAATAGACGATCAAAGTAGTGTTTATGATTGGATTGTAGATATAGACCTTGTTACATAGGTATCTAAAGAAGGATGGAAAATTACTCTTAGCAATTGCTTTTACAAATTATTTGGCCATCTATTTAGCAAAAACAAAGAGATTTCAAGTAAGCTCAAATAATTTATGATTTATTAAATTTCCAATTAATTGACTTTTGAATATTGTCGATTTCAAAAACGTTTTTTTGGAATTTTTCATTATTTTATTTAGGTTTTCAACAAGCATTTAATAAAACCAAGAAAAAAAATGCATAAATTTATAGATAATATTAAAATTTTAAAAAAATGTAAATAGAAAGAATATTTTTGTTATTTTTGGCTTATCAAGAAAAAGAATGTCTTTTGATATTTTATAATATTGAATATTAATAATTTAAAAACGTAAAATTAAATGCAATTATTAATTAAATTTTTAAAATAGGTACACAAGCAAAAGATGAAATTATTCAAAACTAGATGCTTGAATTTAGAATAAAAGAAGAAGAGGAAACAAATGGATATAGTGAATTGAATAGATAAATTGTCCAAGGAAGCACTAATAGTACCGAATAAGTAACACAATCTAATTATGGAGGAGCTATGGTTGCTGTAGTTGGTCTCTATGATAAGGGTAAAACCTTCGTGCTTAATAATTTGACACTATCAAATCTACCTTCCGGAAAGAAAATAACCACCAAAGGTATTTCCTTCAAGCATGTAAATGTGGATAGTGGTACAAATCTGATCTTAGTAGATACTGCTGGTTCTTACTCACCAGTAAAGATTAACAATGAACTCTCTATCATTGAAAAAGAAGCAACTGAAGTATTTATTTCAGACTTAGTTTTTGAAATATCAGATTACTTTATTTGTGTTGTGAATGATTTTACATCTCTTGATCAAAGATACCTTGATAAATTATCTAGAAATTTACAAAACTCACCCAAAAAGACATTTAGAGAAATAATAGTAATTCACAATCTAAAAGAAGTAGAAAGCTCTGAAATCCTTGAACATGTATGGTAAACTCAAGTTACCCAAATTTACAACTCAGGCTCAATATAAAAAACTAAAGTTGCAGCTAGGTGCTCAGAAACAAACTAACTACTAGAAAAGCATGTAGTATGGTTCAAAACCCTCTATACCAGACACATTTGTTTAGCTAACGATGATTCAGAGCTTGGTAAATAAGTCAATCCATGGGTATTCTCTCTTCTAAGATATTGGCTCAAAGCTGTATTTGTTCCTGTTGAAAGGTATAAAAATTTTCCTAAAATAATTTCAAATTTAGTATTTTCCATGATAATAACATGAAGTATTTATTATGAACAAACTAAAATGATATTTTGTTTGAAAAAAATACTCTTCAATATATAAAAAATAACTTTTAGCAAAAATTATTTCAAATTTTATTTAGAATTTAAATAAATTAAAAATTATTAATAATAGACCCGTTCCTGTGATAGATTAATTGATGAAATTTTCAACTCTCTAGCTTTCTAAATATTTTAAAACTGGTGTTTCACTATAGTTAGTTGAAACAGATGAATAATTAGTTAAATACATTAGAACAAAAGACTATCAAGAATCTAAATTCCGCATACCTCAAATGCAAATTGATAGTAGTGGAATAGTAATGACCCGTCCTGATAATTTTATTCCAACTGTTGACATTATAGCAAATGAGCAATATTAAATTTGGATGGACGTTCCCAGTCTATCTAAGGATGATATTATTATATATAGATAGAATGTTATTACTATAGTTAAAGGAACAAAGCGTAGGCCATATGAAGACGATAAAAAATTAGATAGGAATGAGAGAAGATATGGAGATTTCACATTAACTTTTAAAATTCCAGAGATCTATGAAAGAAAATGGTCATCTTATGATGTAGAAAATGGTGTACTCAAAATTATTTATGATAGAGATTAAGAAGAAAACAATACTATTTGATAAAGCTATTCTGAGTATTTTTATTTAGGTGTATATTATTTATTATTTTAAAATATAAATTAATATAAAATAAGAATACTTATTTATTTATTAAAAATCTTTAAATTTTTTTTATTTTAATTTTAAATCCATTCTATTTTAAAAGTTGAATTATTCTAATTTATATTTAAAAATAAAATTTATTATATATATTTAACTAAAAATGCAAAGAGCTTTTTGCCTTTTTTGTAAAATTATTCTTGAATTAAAAATTTTTCCATATTTAAAAAAATATATGAATATATTTTGATAATCTAATTTTCATTTAGCATTTGATATATAAGAATTACGAACAATTTTTTACCTATTTATTATTTGTTTGATAATTAATGATGCTTATATTTGATATAATTAGGGCAATCAGTGTGTAGTTATTATATTAATTGTTGCTGTCTTTTTTTTCAAATTACAGTGAATAAATACTTACACTGATTTAAAGATAATTTATCTATCAATTTAATAGTTTTATCAACAGAAATTTATTTGCTTTTTAAACCTTTTTAACAAAAATATAAAAAAATAAAAAACAAAACAAGTATTTTGATTTTATATTTTTCATTAGAAATGCAAATCTTAATAAACAAGTCTTCTGATTTTGCTAATTGATAATATATATTTGTCTGCAAATTATTAGTTGATATTATTACCACTATTGTAAAAAAAAATTAGTAAAAGATTCAATATTAAAACAATTTACTTAAAATAGAATGTTAGATTTGTCAAATTTAATACTTTAGACAAACCTGATCTAATTACTTTCATATCCTCTTCCAACAACTTGTTTTGACTTAATGATAGAATTAATAATATGGAATATATTAAAATTTTTAGATAAATTACTTAAAATAGAGTGTAAAGTTGTAGAGCTAATTTAATGAAGAAATACAATTAGCTATAGCAATAGCTCCTTATTTAGCGATATCGTTGTTTCTATTTTTAATATTTTAGATTAATTGCCAATATTTTATTAAGAATATTACGTTAAACCAATAGTGAGTACTTGTAAATTTTTCAAATCCTTAATTCCATCAAATAAATCTGATGTTCCTTAACATGAAAAGGTATTTTCTCTATTGTAAAAGTAAATTATTAGAATATTATATATTCTTAAATAAATACCTAAGTTGTAGATGAAGCTCCTTTAATACTGTAAATTTGGGAAGATGTGATGCTATTAACTACCCAGCAGCACTGTTTAATTCATTTTTGCTTTTTTATAATTAAATAAGACTTTGAAACTAATCTATCGAAAATATTTACACTAAATCTAGTTTGAGAATATTCAAATTTGATAGCTTTGACATAGACTAAAAGAGTTGATTGACTCCTTCATTTTTTGTTTTATTTTCGCTAATAAAAGATAGATATAATAAATATCAATAGTTAAATAAAAATATAAGATTTACAATAAATCAAGATCAATTCTTTGTAGTTACTTGCATTTTTCAATAGCTTCTGCAAACTTTTAGATTCCATCACTTTCAATTTAACTTTTTCTATATATTATAATATGTAAAAAACTATTAATAGTTAAGATCAAAAAAGCAGGCAAAAAATTACCTCAATACAATTTTTAGATTTTTCAAGTTAATACAATTGCCAATACCTTGTCCAAGGATAGCAAAAGAATTATTTCCAACATTTACCTCACTATTTTAAAATACATTTTGATGAAGATAAGCAAATTTCATAAATTTTAATTACTCTAAATTCAAATTTAATGTGTCAAGATCAGTCATTTTTGAAATAGAATCAGCCAAATCTTAGAAGTTGCTTTCAACCAATACATTTTCACTATATTTATTGTAAATATATTTATAATACTGAATTTATTTCAACATATTGTAAATTTACATAAACTTAATCTTCAAATATTAAAGTTTATTCAATTAGCTTAACGCATTTGTAAAGTCTTTAAGTTGTTCAAAATTGAGTTCACAGCAACTGTCAATTTAATAAAAATAAATTTATAATAGGTTTTAAATAAAACTATAATTACCTCAAATTTAACTTTAAGCTCTACAAATTGGTAAATTTAATTAATTCTTATGTGTACTCATTACTATTTATATCTTTAGATTCCTTTAATCTTTTATGTAAAAAAAAATTCATATCATAATGATTAATTTAAATGAAAAATATTATTTAAAAAATGAAATTATTTTTACGCAAGATCTAAAAACAACTTGGTAGTTTATTCCTTATTCAAATCTTTAAGCTAAATTTTATAAATGAATAATATTAAATAAACTTTATTATATATAATCCTATTATTGTTTGTTTACTTTTTCAAAAGAATTTGCTTCAATCATTTTTTGTATCAACTAAATTATATATTTGTATTGTTTTCTTTACCTATTAATTTACAATAATATCCTAAACAAAAGTTTATCTTTTTATTATAAAAAATTGATTATTCATATCTTTTTATCAAATTCTGATGAGAAGTTTTTTTCAGCGGAGTATTCAATCTCAGGGCTTTATTGATTAACAAGTTATTAAATATTAATCAATCTGAAAGCCAGAGATTGTACAAATCCTAATAAAAATAAATTTCTATAAGCCATTGAAACTCTACTTTTTTAAGAGAAACTAGCTTTTTTACTTATCTTTTAATTTTTAGTTATAGCATCTATTTCTAATTACAGATTTTTTTTTTTGTAATAGAGAGATAAATAAATAGTGATAGGAAACACCTATAACTATTTATCATTCTAATAGAAGTTAATATAAAATTAAATAAATTTATTTATATAATAGTATTATATATATATTTATGTATTTCGTATGTAGTTTATCATAATTTAAATAAATTTATTTGAGAATTTTATTTAATTTAAAATCATAAAAATTAATTACAAAACAAAAATAAAATATAAGGTAACTTTTAATTTATAATAAATAACATTTTAAAAAACTAGATTAGCAAAAATGAGAAATAAATTTTATAAAAACTTTAAAGTATCAAACTTTAATTTAATTTTCTTCATTAGATTTTCTGTTTTCATCAGAAATTTAAAGATTTTTAGATGGTTGATTTTCTTCATCTAAGTAAATTTCAGGTTATTACAATATGGCTGTACTGCGTTCATTGGTTTCTTTAGGATCAGATTTATTTTATGTTTTTGATGTATTAATGCTACTGCTGTTTTAGCTTTCTTCATTAATATTATCAATTAATTTAAACAAGTTTTCATACTTATCTAAATTAGTGGGATTTACTTTTAGATTGAATCTTTTTTGGTTATTATTTTCTAGCTTTCTTTTTTGACTGCTCATATGTTAATAACCAAATCTCGAAGTTTGTTCTCCTTTCTTTAAGGACTCACATTATTGGTTTAATTAGTTGTTTTTTGGTAGAGGGGAGTCATTATTATTTGTAGAACAGGCCTATTAAACAGAGAGCTTTGCTAACTTGTTTACAGGCTCTTCTAGAATGATTTCAGATTTTCTATCTTATTGATTTTCTTTACTGAACATATTTATTTTTAAATAATCTTTTTATTAGTATTGATTTTTTTCTGTAGCTGTATATGCATTTGTATTTATTTTGCCTTTAAAGCTAAGAATAGAATTTGGTTTGGTGTTATCATAAGAGATATTCTTGCTATTAGAAGGTGATGAGTTATTATTTTTCAATGTCAGACTCGGTCTTTAAACTAGCCTCATTTAGTTTTGAATGAACTTTTACTCATGAGGAGATTACTCACTGTCTTCGGTAAACAGAGTCTTTTTGTAGGGTAAAAACTTATCAGATTATTTTCTTCCTGTGAATTATTCTCTATTAATGTGGAAATTTTGATTGAATTATTAATTTTAGTTAAACTAATTGCTCACATTATTGCTGTTACTGACAAAAGAAAGACTTTTTCTATAAACTTATCTAGCAAATTCTCTTTAATTCTGAGGAGATATTATTTTGTTTTATTATTAATTAAAGTAATCAGTATAAACGAACTTATCAATTTAATCTTAATTTTGCTGAGTAAGACATTCTTCGTTGAGTGTATTTAAATTTGTGTTAACTTTACTGTACTAGTAAGCATTGTTTTCAGTTTTTTGATCTGTCTCTTTCTTTTTGAGAATAACTTCTTCTAATGTTATTTCAGAGCTAATTTCAATGACACACAACTTAGAGAATTTATTGATAAAGAAACACAAACCATAAAAAACTTACATGGTAAGAGTAAATAGGATAAGTGACCAAATAATCATAGTATTTTTTGTAGTAAGTGCATAATAAATGTAGTAAATTAGGAAGGAAATGAATATTAAAATGTTTATAAAAAACAGAGTAAAAATAGAATTCACTTCTTTCTTCTTTAAAAGGTAGTTTTCCTTCAAGCTCTTATAACTTCTCTTTGTTTAGAATGAAGCCTATACATTACAAACTCTACATTTATGCTTATTGTTAAAACTGTAAATAAGCAGACATTTGCGATGAGCATAGCATTTTTTAGTACACTTACAGACCACAACTAGTTCATTAGAGTCAAATTGTTTAGTATTTTATTTTGATTTTTTCTCATTTTATTTATTTGTTTATTTAGTGCCTTTCTCTTCATCTTATTATACAACTTCTTCTCCTTGTTCTTCTTTGTTTTCTTAATCTTCCTCTTCTTCTTAATCTTCTTCTTCTTCCTCCTCCTCTTCAACCTCTTTTTCTGTATTTAAAGCTTTTTTTTTATCTAGATACTTCGAATTACAAAATCTACACTATTCTTCTTCTGCTTCACCTTATTATGTGTTATTTATTTCTTATTGTAAATTCTACTTTTGATAACTGAATATTTCTTCGTTTTGAGTTGCTAGCTCTAGGTTAATACATTTCTTCTTTTCCTCTTCCATATATTTCACAAGTTAAGTAAATCCAAAGGGTTGCATTTTTTAATTAGTCATCTCAATACCTTGTTAATTAAGGGATGATTTTCTTTTAAACATGCTTGCTTGGTCTTTGTTGGTTCTATCTTAGTTTCTAACCATTGAGTCTTCTTTGAAAGACTTAATAGAAAATTGGTGATTAATCAACGGTGATTTAGTAGCTTAACTAGAGTATCCTTGATAGTCATTACTTTGGCTATATTAAATATTAAAATATTAGATCTAGAAAATTAAATTAAATAAATCATTTTAAATGAATTAGAGAACATATATTTTAATGTTTAGTGTGATATTAAATAAAATATTAAAAAATACAATTAAGGAGAAGTAATCTTTTTTTGAACGGAGTCTAAATTTGTCTAAAAGTTAACGTTCTTACTTATTCTTCTTTCTTTAGTCCTACAAAAGGACTCTTCCCTATTTGCGTCTTTTATTTCTGAGTGAATGTTGTTTGATTTCATTTGTTGGCTTACCAATTTGATTTGTTTTTTTTATTTTATTTTATTATATTTATTGTTTAATAGAGTGGGTTTTTACATCTACTTTTAAAATTCAAAATAATACCAAACAACAAAAACTCCCTTTGTAAAGGCTTACAGATATCTTTTTGGTATCTTTTAATTATTTAATTATATTAAATAAGATAACATAAAAATCCTTTCTGTTGATCAAAAATTTATGATTTATAATTCAATATTTATTTCTGATATTCTCAAAATATATCACGTCATCAATCGTTTTTTTTATATTATTGCTTATTACTAAGATTGAATTTATTTAAATTCTTAAAAATAATTTTTTTAATCCAAAATAATAGTTCTTTATATCATTAAAATTAAATATTTCGGTAAACTAAAAATATTTTACACATTTTTATTAAATAATTTGTTATTTTTTTCGTTTTTAAAAATAAAAAAGATTACATAAAGAAATCCTCATTTTAATAAAATATTTTTTATAACCTCTAATAAATATCATTTGTTTAATTAAAAATGATTATTTTTAATAAATACAATAATTATATTGAAATAAATTTTTTTGTTGTTAAAATTTACTAACCATATTTAAAAATAATCTCAAAATAAAATTATTTTGTGAAAAACAAATTTAATTGGATAAAATAACATTAATATTTTTAAAATTCACTAACACAATTACATGTACGTAACAAAAAATTAAAATTATTTATAAACTTAGATTTTTAGATAAATAGATATAGGTTTGTATTAATTTTTTTTAAATAAGGTATCAATAAATAGATTTTTCACTATTTGTTGTAATATTTTGCTACTTATGCTGCTTACATTTTTCTTTTTTTTATAAAAAATAATGATTTTTCGCTTATATAATGAAATTTACTTAAAGATAAAACAAAAGGATTTTTAATTATTTGATTTGTTTAGCTAATCTAATTAGCGTGAGAATCAATTGAATAATCTTCTTCTAGTATATAACTTTCTTTGATTTCTGAATATTAATAAAAATTGAAATTTCAATTAAATAAAATTTAATAAATTTTACCTTTTTTAACAGAGCTTACCCTTGTAATCAGAGAGGAATTATGCTTCAGCTGAGGAGAGTAAATATTTGAATTTAAATCTAATAAAACAAATGGAAATTTGCAACAAAAAATATAATATAATAAAATTACTTTCTGATGATTTTAATTATTATCTAAATTCTAAAAGATTCGTTTAATTTGAATCGTAAATCATTTTACTTTATAATGCTAGTTACTACTACTCTTAACTTTTGTATGTTTCACCATGTTCATATTATTAATTTGCAGAAGATGAATTCTTATTTTGAGAAAAATAACCTGTCATTTTGAAGCTTTATTCCTACTATGTATACTTTGAAAATTGACTCAAAGTCTTAATATTCTTTTTAATTAATTTTATTTTCAAAGCCGTACCTAATTTGATTAAATTAGACATTTTAATGGAACTAAAGCAATTAGGGAATTTTTGCTTCAAATAATAAACTATTTTTTGGAAAATATTTCTATTTGCTTCTTACTATGGCAATATTTTAAAGTATTATTAGAATAATAGCTTAAAAAAGAAGTACAAATTTAGAATAAAGGCTATAATGGATACTACCCAGCTGAATTAGTAATTATTTTAAACAAATTATGAATAGAGAATACTAAAATTCAGAGTATATAAGCATATTATAATTGATTAGTAATGAAGCTCGTTGAATATCTATAAATCGTATGGCTTAATCCTAATATTTACAACTAGATAGAAAATCATTATTGAGTTTACTATGCAGGCCTAAAAATTTAATAAATTTAAATAAATTAAATAAATAGTAAGTTTAGTTAAAAATTTTATATTCTAAAAAAAAAATAATATAAAATAAGTATTGTAAATACTCTTAAAATGATTGATTATCTTTAAAATTTTAATATTTTTAAGTATTTTATATCCTAATATAAAATATTGTAGTTTTTAAAAAAATATTATGCAAAATATATCAAAACTGACAGTATATCACTTATTAATAATTCACTAAATCAATAAAATTTTTAATTAATCTTACTTTAATTACTAGCTAATCTTGCAAAAGAATTAAGGCTATTATCACTAAAGTTTTATAGAAGAATTTAGTTAGTTCCCAATAATAAAATTGATATTTATATTCTCCAATCAAAAAGAAATATTGACTCATTTAGGTTTTTAATGTTTTTTTAATCAAAGCCTGCCTCATTTTTAAGAGAAAAAGAAGAGGTATGACAAAAGAAATAATAAGTAATGCTGGCAATATGAATGACAATATATATTTGAAATGGTTATCATAATTCCAGCACAATATATTTAAATCTATGAAAGAGTATACTTCATCACCAATTCGTCTACAGTCTATAGATTTTGTTAACATTAGTACTAATGACGTGTAGTAATAATTAAAGATAAATATCAAAGCAGTAATGTTATATCTTTAATTTATTTTTTCTTTTTTTATAAAATGTCTGATTGAATTATAAATTTTAAACATAATAATCGTGTATAGAGGAAGAGAGAAAGACCATAAAACTTTTTAAAACCACAGTGGTGCATATTATTACAGGCTATTTGGTAAGAAGCAAGTGATAGAATTAACATATATTTCAAGAGGATTACCAGCTGATAGAGCTATATAACTTATTGGTAGTATCCTTTGAAATTGTACACCAATAATTGATACAATTTATAAATGATCTATCATAATCTTAGAATAAGACTGAGAATTGTCTGTTCTAGCTATTTTTGTTAATAAATATTTAAATAAAAATATTATTTAATTACAATTTTACCTGAGTTACTTAAATATATTAAATCTAAAAGCTTTAAGTAATGACATGTTAATTATTTTTCTATCTAAATTATTATTTTTTTAATGCAGTAATTTATGTAAATTGAAATTATTCCAAAGCAAATTAGAGAATTTAATAAAAATATGAATAAATTTTGATTGCACTTCATACAACTATTCTTCTAAAAAGTACTAAAATATTAATCACCCCAAATTGAACCATCTTAATCACATTATTCACACAGTGGTCCTACATAACCTTTTTTGCAGCCAAACTATTTTAACAAATTATTTTAAGATTATTTTAAAAATTTATCTAATATGTATAAATATATCTATCTAAAAATACTTTTAAATTTTTAAATTTATGTTTTTAAATGATAGAAAAAATATACTTTGGATTTTTGATCTTAAGGTTGGCATGTGTCAAAACTTTAATCACAGGCAACAATAATATCAGTCAAATTATTTTTTCTCCAGTAGCCATTTTTTAAAAGTATAGAAGAACCTTAACATTTCATTGCAGAATAAGGACAAATTGAACAAATTTAATCTTGAAGAGAAAGAGCATATTTTCCTTCTGAACATTCTTCACAAACTTAGAAATTATACTAATTTTTTTATACCTCACCTAATAAACAACTTCTAAAGTAAATTTTGAAGACTATCTAATAATCACCTGGATTTATAATATTATTTCCATTTATATCTAATAAGGAAAGTGTAGATGAAGTAGATAAAACAAAGGAATCTGATTTATTGAAAAAGTATGCCAAGTTTAAGTTGAAATTAAAACCTATCTAATCTTGAAATTATGAATATTTACTACCAAGTATTTATATTTAAGTTTCATTAGTCTATACAACTATTTACACAAAAGACAGAAAAGAATGGATATCACTAGAAAATTTGATATTTTTTGGATATTAAAAAGGGTTACCTTCTTCATCTAAAATATTTATATTTGATAGTTCTAATAAAGATCCGCTTTGAAACTAGTCTATTAATATAATTTATTAATTTTCTTAATAAAAGTAATTGTAGTCATAATTTGCAACCATTCGAGTTACATCTATCTTCCTTAAAATAGATCCTATATTGTTCCCATATAAATATGCTATATTATTACTAATATTATTATTAAGTTCTGTGTAATTTTTATAAAGAAATATTGTTGGTATCAAAGTTTAATAGTAAATAGCTCCTCCAATCACTGCTTTATTTTTAGTCATTTAAACTTCTTATAACTACAAATCTACATAATTCATAGCTATAGCTCCCCCTCTTTCTTATAAAGCACTATTTTAAACAAACATAGATTGAGTAATATTAAGTAATCCTATACTGTTAGAATTATAATAGCTAATAGTACCTCCATTTCCATTAGTAGATTAATTTGAATCAAATGTGCAATTTACAACTTAAAATTATAATACCTCGTAAATTTATATAACTCCACCATTTTAGAAAGATTTATTTTTTACGAAAATAGAATCTTTGATTACAAGTTTTATTAAATAATTGAATAAGAAAATGCTTTGCATAGGTGATTTATTATCAGAAAGATATAATTATTCCATCTATATATTAAAGTTTTAATTCATATTTATCACTGATAAAAAATTATTTGAAACACAAATTAAAATTTTTAGATCTTTTATTGTAATTTATCCATTCTATTAGATATTGATAACTGATTAACCTTTTGGTGATTAATCAGTTGATAATATGCTTTTAAAAACTGTTTTGTACAATTCCATACCTCCTATTTGAAGGTTGATGAGATATTGCGACTAATTTAGTATTATTTAATTAAAATTACAATTCTATATGGTTACATGATTAGCAATAATGTTTAAGCTGGTATCTAATGATAAGTAAATGTTTATATTTTCTATTAATAAAGTTATGCATGTATAAATTACTTCTTTTTGAAGATTTTTAATAGCGAATATCTAACTTCTTTCTACTTAATTAACAGTTACATTGGTTATGTTTACATAAGTGCATCCAATTAAAGAAAAAATATCTTAGTTTACTACTTGATTGATATTTATTTATTAAATATCTAAATATATCGATTGCTGAATCTAGAATATAAAATTTTAGAAATATGTTGTAACATTAAAAATAGTAAGATTTTAAATGTAAATTGAATTGACTTAGGAGATAGTAAAAAGAGATACCTAATTTAAAAGATTTATTGTCGAGTTTAAAATTTGAGAATTTATCAGCTGAAGTTCATTAATGTTTGATATGATAAAACCAAAATCAGAGTTTATAAAAGTAGAGTTTAAAAATATTAATTATTAGGTGTCTGCTAAATTTATAAAATTAGATGAATTACTTTACAGATTAAATTTGCAATTTTCAAATACTATTTTATCAAAATTGTTTAAGTTAATATTTCCAATCATGTTAACAAAATATACATCTTTGAAAATTAACTCATCCAAATTTAAATTAAAATCAATATCATTCATATCTTTTATAATTAATGAGATATTATCGAATAAAACAGAACTTATATTTATATCACTAAAAACTAATTGATTAGACCAAAATATTGTGCTTTTTTCATTTGATGCAGAAGTAAGTATAACTTATATTTCAGAAGCAATATTTGAAAGATTGATAGGTAAAATTTCAAATTAATCACTCATTAGTATTTCAATAACTTTCACTTGTTAATTAGACATCTATGCACTATTTAGTAGTGTATTTATTTAAAAAGGAAATTAGTAGATGTTGTTACTTTGAATTATATTCCCAAAGCAATAATTTTATTTATAAAGAGGAATTGTTAATTTGACAATATCAATCAAAGAAACTCCAATTATTTCTATATAACTGTTATAGTTTTAGTCAAAAAATATTTTAAAGTTCTGGATTGAAGTGAAAAATACTTCTTAATTAAAAAGTACTTAGAAATTGCTAACAGAATTATTTTAAAACTGAATTATTGTTAACTAATTTGATTGTATAATTGCAAATGTTTAATTATAATTAAGGTCTTATATCTTTTTAATGTTATTTAGATAGGAGAACAAAGAATATTCTTTTATTACATTTAAAGTGTAAGCATTATAAATTAGTACAGAGTTAGGACATATAGAGTAGATGTATTTAGAATCTATCTAAATAATAGGGTGGTTTAAACAAGGATTAGTAATTTCTCCAAGTTTCTATAAGGAGTAGTTAAATATATGTGTTTTAGTTGTATTGGTTGCTACATAAATGATATTTCTCTGTTGATCTATATGATAGTAAACAACATTTTCATTTTAAAAATCAAATGTAGAATTAATTAGTTTCATTTAAATAATATCATATGTATATAATTTATTACCACATATGAGCAAAATAAGATGCGTATTATCTATTTCATTTTAGTTAATAAGTTTTGAATAAAATTAATTTTATACATAGCTATTAAGCTTATTAATCTCATAAATAACTTAGGATATTACATTATATTAAAAATTTATTTATTGGTTGATAATGTTTATTCTCATAATATCGTAATCAGAAAATAATATAATGTAATTTTAAACAATAATTCCATCTTTAATGTTCTCTGGGATGCTTAAAAATTATTAGATTTATTTAGATTTATTAAAGGCTAATACTAATATATTTTTATTGTATGTATCTAATAAATATAGCTATTATTAAAAGATATCATAAAAATACTAAGATATTGTAAAATTTATATTTTACTAGAATATCTACTTTATTTAGCAAGTGTATGTATCGATATTTCCTATAAATAATGATTCTTAATTGATAAAAACGAAAGTATTGTTCTATAATTTTGTTAACTCACCAAATTTAAAGATATTAATAGACAAAGAATCAAATAAGTACATATCTTTAATTTAGTTGATCTAAAATAATGATAAATGTAAGCTCTCAAAATTGTAAACAAGAATTAAATCATTTTCAAAAGATAAAAACTCTACTTCTCTTAATTAATAAATGTTTTCATTATTTAAGTATAAAATTTCCTGTAGATCATACATATAAAATGAGTTATCACTTGTTTGCAAAAAGAGTAAATTTAAATATATATCGAGAGTAATAAACTAAATAGAGCTAGTTATTTCCAATATTATAGTTTCAATAAATTATAGAGTTGGGTATTAATAAGTATGTATAAATGTTTGTGAAACCAAAAATATTACTTTTTTATTACTTTCAAATAGTATCTATTAACAGTTTTTATTGTAAACTTCCTTTATAATTAAATTACTTTAGTTCTTATTATAGTAATATATTTCTATTTATGGTTTAGAGTTGTATATAATAATTGATGAGTCTTATTCATTAAAAATATAGGTCTAATTATTGAATTTATAGCTATCAGAGTATTACTAAATGATAATCCCATAAATTGCATCAAAAGTAGTGATAGAATATTGATTTACATCAATTACAATCAAAAGATTCTACAACGAATCTAAATGAAAGTAAGTAGAGAAAAGTGTAAATGTAAAAATATTCTATATTAAAATGTTATCTCCAATTTAGATAAATTAACCGAATTAACTAAAAGGATAAACAATAAATTTCTCATTGATATTTATTATAGGATCACATTATCTTGTGTTTAAATATGAGGAATCCTAATAATTAAAAATAATTAATTAAATTAAAGTTAATCATTTAATTTTACAATTTAATATGAATATTCTTTTAGGCTAGATATGGAGTAAAACCTCATATAAGGTGAAAATATGTAAAGCAAATCATTTTGACATTAGACTTTGAACTTCAATGGTCTTTTTGTATTAACAAAAGACTTAATTTTACTCATTTCAATTTAGGATAGCAAATTATTATTTATCTATTTATATTTTAATTTTATTTCAAATAATTAGAAATTAATTGTTAAATATTAAAATAAATTCATATTATAATAATAAAAGTAATTATCTTATTATAATAGCTGATTAATAAAAATTTTGAAAAAAATTTTGGTATTATTTTAAGACTTTTCAATTACTAAATAATTATTTAATAAAATATTAATGGATAATAATATATTTTACCTAGTATATATAGATTTGATTAGCTTATGTGGAAAAAATCATCAATGAAAGTGTTGGGCAAAATTTAACTTCAGAAATTAAAAATTTGCCTAGATTAATTGCAGTTTAATTTACTTTAAGATTAATTAAGAAGAACCCATTTGTTGTAGTATAGGTATAAAGTTAATTTAAAGGATCTGAATAAAAACTCTAAATTGTATCATTTAGATAAAGTTATATTGTTTAAAATTGATCAATTAAAAAATTATATTACAATAGACTGTTATCAGGTTAAAGTTGCACTAAATAATAATTATGATATTAAGTTAAAAATTGATACAATTTATTTTGATCAACATATATCATAACCTGATGTTTATTCTAGATATTTTAAGCAAAAGCATAATTTATTTAATCAGAAAAAATCAATATACTTGTGCTGACTCCAAAATTTTTAATTTCACAAATATGAATTGTAGCATAAACATTTACTTAATTGTATTAAATTTATTTTACTATCTAGAAGTATTCTATATCTACCAAAAATGGACTTATAATAACATATTTTTCGCTCTCTTATATTCCAATTATATTAAAACTAGAAATTTGAAAACTACTATCAAAATAGTTTATTTAGTCATTAAGTAAGTTTAAATGGTAAACAGTTTTATTTAATACGAAAATAATTTTGTTAAATTATGTATGATAATACCATCCTAAAAAAGCTTTACTAAATGGTAATGTAGTATGTCTGATTAGTGTCAAATCTGTTTTATATACTTCATAATAATTACTATAAAAGCACACAATTTATTAAGATTCTTATATAGCTAATATACTGAGGTCTTAAGTACCAATAATTATTTTATTACTATTTTAAATGATTTACATCGTTGATATTTAAAGTGGGAATATATACTATTCATCAACTTTTAAATAAATTGTATTGTTTAAATTTAAAACTTAAGTATGATGAAATTTTTAATTACTATCATATTAAAATTGTATTGTTGTATATTAGAAGTTGAGATTTATTATTTATTGCTGTAAATCATTTACAGAAACTGCAAATAAATTAGTGCTATTTACTATAGCGAAGATAAAATCCTCTATCACAAATTAAATGATTTATGCATTATTGAATTGATAGTATTTTAAAATTTAATTTTAATAGTAATCATAAAGAATTACAGAGTCGTTTTAGAACATAATAACTAGTTATTATTTTGTTAATAAAAAGCTGCTATCTAAATTAAAAATTCCATTTATAGTAAAATTTTTCAAAATATTATTACTATTTTTATCATATAAATAAAACTAAGTAATGTTTTCACTTGGTTGACCTTAAATAAGATACAAACCAAAATCATTTAGTTAAAAAATTAATTATTAATTCAATATATTATTATTAATTTATTTGATTTATGAAATTTCAAATTTACGATTATTACTTATTGAAATCTTTAAGTTAAGCAAATAATTATACTGTGTTTCATCTACTAAAGTTAAATATGTTTAATTTTTAATTATGTCAAAAATAGATGGAATCTAGAATTTACTGAGGTACTTTTCTTAAATAACATAAGAATATTCTTCTTAATTAGCGCTATTGAGTTTAAATATTTCTTTATAAATTTACTTTGTTTATATTGACTAAGTGTAAATACTTAATTCAAATAACTATGAATTACCAATAAGAAATTTTATATATCCGATTGAACTATATCTTAAATAATACAAAGGGTATTGAGAGATTTAGGTTTATTCATTAATTTCACTAATTTTTATCAAAGTAAACTTATCTTAATTTATATAAACAATTATATAATCATGATTTTAAATTTTTATTATCTAATAATCATAATTATAGTAGTTTTAAATAATCTAAAACATATTAATTTAATTATATTAATAAGGATTAGATGTATAATTGTATATATAAATAAATACCTCACCTTTGCTAGGAGATGCTGTTAAAACTATTCTATTACTACTTATGCTTAATTTAATTATGGCGTTATCAAATTATTTTTAATAAATTTAATTTAATTAACTAAGATCTTAGCTCAATTAGTAAATAATCACATAATATTATGTAATAGTTAAAAAAGTTAATTATTATTCATCTAAGATCTGTACTTATTATATTGAGCTGCTACTATCGATTATTTAGCTATCATTTAGTTAGTAAATTAGCATAAAATCTAAATTATCTTAAAGCTAATATAATTAAAACTAAAAAATAATGAATAATAATTCAAAAAATTTTAATTTTTTTAAATTAATTAATTTAAATAAATGTAATATTTTTTTTGAATCTAAAATGTTAAATAAACAAAACAAATTAATAAATATTAATTAATTTATCTAAAAAATAACTGAATCTTTTTATTAATAAATAAATGCACTATAATCCTTCGTTTATTAGAAATTTAGTATTTTTTTTTTAACTTTCTGTTAGGTTTAATTAATTTTAAAATTAATTAAACTAAATATTTCTTTTTGCTTAACAATTAACAAGGATTTATGGTAAGTGAATAAATTAAAAAGTAATTAAAAAATGAAGAACTTACTCCACTATCAAGTAGATCAATAAATATGAACAATTTATGAGTTATGTTTACAAGATAAAGATAATTGAGTGAATTGATAGATGTCTAGACAAACTTCAAGCTGTTCATATCAAAGGTTAATACTTGACCAGATGTAGAATAAAATATTATAAGATTATATTCTAGTAAAACACTAAGGGGTGCTAAATTTAATAACTGGCTAAGGCTTTTGTAGTAGAATGAAATCTTTTGTGAGGTAAAATTATAAAATGTAATTTCAGATTACGTAAAACACATCCCAATATCATTAATAACCGATTCAGGCATGAAGGTATATAAGACGTTGTAATTTTATTAGTCATTTTTCTGAAGCGATATAAAAAATAATTTATCAAGGTTTTCATTTAAAACAGTAAATTCGCAATTAGGATGAGATATTACTATGATATTTGTTTTCTCAACATAATAAACTTCTATTATTGTATTTTATAGCTTTTAACCAGATAAATTTTGATCTAAAACTGTGCAATAGCTCAAAGGTTAGCACAAATTTAATAAGGTATCCTAATATTATTGGCCTTAACAATAAAATTCACATTTTTAGCTTTTTATATTATAGAATTCATTTTCTTCACATAGATCACTGTCTAAAATACATTATCCATTTTATAAATTAAAATTAGGTAAACATTCGTTACAAATAGATGCGTTTTGACATTAATAACATCCATAAATTTTGCATTCCTAACATTAATTTTAAGAGTTTATGAAATTATTACTTTAGCATTGGCTAATGCATGTTTAGTTTGCTTAATCTAAGTATAATTTAGGTTTACAGGTTTAACAATTATTTGCTTGTGGAGTAAAACAATTCAAGCAAGAGCTTTCACACTAAAGGCATTACTGAGTAACAAAATCATAAACCTAATTCTAATAGCTGCAAATCTAAGAGTTTGTTTAATCCTAAAGGAACCTTTATTATTCATTAGATAACGCTTGTGCGTTGATATTTTAGCTTATTGAAAATAATATGATTTAAAATATATTGATCTACTTAAAAATTCTTTTCATCTACTTTGTTTGTATAGTTTTGATTTTCAAATGATTAATGTTTAATAATTGCAAACAGAAATTTATATTACTTAATTTAATTATATATTTTTTAAAAACTTGATTGCTAACAAATTAAGATAACAAAACATGTATTTTATTAATAAAGACAACATTTTTTTTCTTCAAAAAGATAGACTAACCTTGCTAAGTAGAAATAACCATAGTTTCTTTTTGTATTTTTTATATCTAAGAACAAAGTAATGTTCAAATGCAAGTAGAAACATTTTTCAATTTTCAAAATGTGATTTAGTTTTCTATTTACTAAGTTATGAATTTTATTTAATTTATTTATAACATCGAAATTAAAAATAAAATATTTTTTATTTTAAAATAATTAAAACAAACATTTCTATTTTAAGATTTATAATCATAAATCTATTTTTTTAATACACAAAATAATAAATGATTTAGAAGTTTTGTAAATTCTATAGTTATTATTAGAAAAAATATTTACTCTTAATACAATTAATTAATTCTTTCATATTTTGTGAAAAGAGGGTTTTGGGCAGAATTTATAGTAAATACGATAAAAACTAAGCGCCCAATTATAAATAAAATGAATAAAGATTTATTTTGTATATAGTATGTATGTATTATTAGGATAAATGCATGGGTTGATTATATCAGAATTAGATATTACTATAAATCGGTAATCAAACAAAGATATTAATAATATTTGATAATAAATATCAATATTAAAGCTTATTATTATTTTTTTGAATTCGTTAAAAAATGTTAGAGCATTTACTTGAAAGCGCTTTAATAAAGCTTTATTAAGGGAATTTTACTGATTCTAAGCAAATAGTTTAAGCAATTTCAGATATTTTATTAGATGAAACTTTGGATGATTCATAAATATGTATAAACAAATTGTTTTTTTAAATCTTACTACAATGATTATCACTAAATAAATGATAATCTTTATCATTTTACTAAACTAAAATCTTATAAATAATTATTTTAACACTTAAATTTATTTTTTTATCAATTAAAAAAGCTCTATGTAACTCTAAGATTTTCAACAGTGACCTCAACTTGTTCACTTATTTGGAAAACAATAGGACATATAAAGATAATTTGTAGGCTTAGATTAGAAAAGGATTATTTAGAACAATAGCAGCATATATTAAGTTAAGAAAGCTCAAAGTATTTGAGTACATTGAGCTAATATGTGTAAAAAAAATAATATTACTATTAAAATATTAATTCTATTTTTGAAATTAAACTATGTAGAAAAATTGTATGTCCTTGTTTAAGAAAGAGGAATCAAATTAGGCAAAGGAGACATCGCTTAGTCCTATTATCAAAATTATTAAATGTATAGATAACTCAGAGCTATTAGAAAAAATAATTGATCCTAAAAATACGATATCAGCTTTACTTAATGAAATTAAATTTTGCAAGCCAACTCAAAAAGTGAAAGGATCAATATGGAACTTGATAGGAATCATTTTTTAATTTGTATGGAAAAATATATAAAATTATTGATAATAAAATACTAATTAGATTTTCTAATTAAATAAAGTTTACTGATCAACTAGAGGACGATCTAAAAGCAGAAATACAAACTGTTTGTTTTAAAGAACTATAAGTTCAAATGGCAAGTTAAAAGCCTGAAGTATCTTACGTTTCTGGCATGTTTAAATCATTTAGATACTCATTAAAAGAAATTCATTTGAGCAACAAGGAATTGGAAGATCTTTATAAGATGATTAAAATTGGCATAACAGAGATAAAAGATGTGAAAACATATTCAGTTATTAATAGTAAAATAATACTTGATAAAAATATTTTAAATTTCATAAATAAATTTTACAATTTAGATGCTTTGAAAGTGTTGACAGCTTATTCTCATATTTTTAAGGTTCAGATATTAGATGACTCAAAAGAAATTATTGATAAGGTGTTGGGATTAATTAGCCATAATAATAGAGATGTTAAGGAAAATGCATCTGACTGTCTGGAATCATTAATGGCACTACTTGCAATTGAACTAGATTCAAGTTATAAGAACCATGAGCTTTCATTTAACTATATTATCTAGAAGATGAGTTTTCTAATAAATTAAGAGAGATAACAAATATATACTGCTTCAATAACAGTCATCATAAAATCTATTGGTATTTTCTCTAAAGCTATAGCAAAGCATTTAGGCTAAGATTAGCTTCAATTATTTTTTAAGCAGATGATCAATCTTTCTGAGGTTAGATTATTAAAGGTAATTAATTAAATTTATGGTAAGATAATATTTTTCTAATTGTTAATTGGAATTAAAAGCACATAGAAAAGGATGGTGTTAATAGTGTTGTTGATTTTTAACCCGTTGAAGATGAGACTATGAAAAAAGGAACATCATTTAAGACTATTTTATATAGATAGAAATAAGTCATCTCTTTTATTACCTCCTTTGCTAATATTATCTCATAATTAGATAAATTATATGAAGATGAGTCTCAGAGTCTTTTGAGATTATGCATGGTTGGATTTAAGCAATTTAGTTCATTCTATGAGAAGTATAAGGAACCACTTAATGAGGGAATAGTTTAACTGATGAGAGAAATGAAAAAACATTAATCTATATATATCATCTGGCTTGAAAATTTAGTTTAAAATGGACTTGTGTAGAGCATAAAATTACCTGACAACTCTTTCTTGTCTATGCAAGAATATTATGAGACATTAAAAAGTTGTAGCTAGTTTTGGAAGAGTCTTTTTAACTGCTAGTTGTGGACTGATGAGACTCTACACCATTTCTCTGCTCAATTCTTTTAATATATCATCTAGCTTCTCGAAAATACAGATCTAAGTTACAAGGTTGTTTACACTTAGTAAATTGAAGAAGATGAGATAAAAGATAAAAACCAAATGGAAATAGAATAAGATAAAGAAAGCAAGATCTAAGATATTATAAGTAAAAATAAAAATTTTATTTCAAAGTAATTTTAAAACATATAAAATTGTATAGGGGAAATTCAATAAGTTTAATATGTTGCAAATAACGAAGTGGATTTGCAATTTTTCTACAGAGTCACACTGCTTTTTGACTCAGTTCTTCCTTCAATTAAACCTGCACTATTTTCAAATTATATATATCAGTTCTACAAATCTATTATCCTTAAACTTAGAAAGCTACCTAGATCTATTGTACTATTGAAGCTTCTTAGGTGTTTGAATGAGTACATTGAAAAAAATAATATCTTAAAAGGACTTAAAAAGTATATTAAGAAAGATATCACTAGCTAAATTAAAATATTTTTCTCAGAACTGTACAAGGTAAAATAAATTATTTAGTAACAAAGTTAAAATTTTATTTAGAATTTAGGAAAATATTAAGACGAATTACTCATTGACTGCTTAAAAACTATGCTTAGTATTCCATTCGAAGTGCTCTTAATAGATAATTACTCTTTTTTTAGGAAAAATTTAATTGTAGCTTTGAAAAAAGGCTTTGAATTAGGAGTGTAAAATGTTTCTATGGGTAATAAATTATTTATGTTTGTTAAAATATTTTTTTATAAGATAAAATTTTAAATATTAGGATTTGCAGCTATTGAATGCTTACAGAAAATTATAAAAAGAAGCAAAAATAGGGTTGTTTTTAAATATTTAAAACTAGTCATTCCTTATCTTTCTGAATATTTATCAATAACAAAAGGAGAACTTGAAGAAATTACTTCTGATATGAAATATAAAGTACAAAGTAATAACTAGTAAAGAGATATCTTTAACTTAACAGTTAGTGAACTAGGCTAAAGGAAGAAAGATTTAATTGAAAGGGTAACAAACTTACTGGGTGATATCGGAGGAGAATCTCATCTAATTGTTCTTAGTGAAAAAGGGTTTTAAGGAAATGTTGAGAGATAGCTTTTAAGTGAGTTTGAAAATTTGCAAATTTCAAAGAAGGGTGTTTCTCTTATTAGTTGGGATTATGAAGCTAAAGTTCTATTCCCTCTTCCACTACTAGCAAAGAAAATAGATATAAATTTAACTAAGCTTCTCCCTCGTATGGTAGAACTCACTCTTAATCCTGATGACAAAATTAAGGTATACGCATGCGAAGCTATTCATGCAATTACTATTTACATGATTGGAACTTAAGCATCATCAATTTGTATTTAAAATTATTTAACATTTTAGCTTTATTAAAAATATTTTTAATATATTTAGAAGGAGGATAAAAGAAGAGAGGAAGAGATATGGAAAATCTAATTAAGTCAAAAGAGGAATTCTCAAAAATATATTCTAAATTATTTCCTACAATTTTTTCTATTGGAAGTAATTCAAGCCACCCAAGTTGCTAGTAATTATAAAATAATTAATTTATAATTTTAATTTTATTTAAATAATTTAAACAGGTTAATGAACTAGTTAATACTCTAAATTTCACGTTGGTTTGCTAACAGCAAATAACTAGAGTCACCAGAAGTTGCAGAACTATTAGACAACATTATGAATTTCATCTCTTCAAAAGATAATAATAACTTGAGAGAACTTGCAGCAAATTGCTTGGGTTAATTCATAAAATGGACTCTGAAGCAAAATACAGAATAAGAAATTAAGGTAAACCACAGCAATATTAAGTCAGCTTTAAGGAGAATTATTTCTTTTTCAGGTATTTTATTTAAACTTGTTAGATTTAATTATTTTAAATTATTTTTTTTATATTTATTATATTTTGAATAAATGCTTATTTTTTTATTTTATTCCCCTTTTATTTATTTTAAATGTTATAAATTATTTTAACTAATTAAAGTTTTTTAAGAAAAATTTATAAATAATAATTTTATTCCAGATATAATCATTATGAGTGCTAACATTATTGGAATTTTTTGATAAAATAAAAATGATTCAAACAAAAATTAAGCCGAAATAAATTTTGTATTTTATTTTATTAAACTACCTCAACGAAGCTTTAGTACTGAAAATAATACATTCAAAAACAACAAATTGTTTTGATTTTTTGAATATATTATTTAAATTTTTACTTTTTAATTTTAATAAGGATAACCTGACCTTTCTAAGAGATTTGGTGCTTTGCTTGCTCTAAAAGAAGTTGTTAATAATATTAAAAATGAGTCATTTTTAGTTGATAAATTTATAATGGAGACAATACAAACTTCTATGAGAATTGTATAAAAGACGGGTGTAAGTAATGAGGTTGAAGATAATTTCAACATCTTGATTAAGTTATAGACAAATATTATCTAAAAGAATTATAAAACTTTAAAGGCAAAGAATGAAAACAGAAGTGGATAATTTAAACTGTTAGATTCTCTTCTTGACTGGTTATATAGCTATGGATTTTTTAACTCGTCATATTTAGTTAGGAAAAGTTCTTTTGAACTTTGGCAATCTATTCTTAACAGAGAAGATTCTGATATAAGCTGTAAAAAATTTTTAGCTAAAAGAAAATAAGGAGATAACTTGTTTGGAGATTAAATTAAATAACTAAAATTAGCCATAAACTCATAATCCTACTTCAGAGAGATAAATGTTTTACTATCTCAGTTAGATGTAGTGTAAATAATAATTTTAAATTTTTTATTAAATTAATTAACATAATTTTGATTTCAACGAAAAAAAATAAAATTATTTTAAATAGAACTTTTATCGTTAAAAATAACTTCTTCAGTGTATAAGAAGAGTTACTTTAATTTGAGGATATTATAGATTCCTTTTGCACTAACATAGAAAATTTCTTTAACTCTTTATTTAAGATATAAGAGTCGTATTTAAAGTCTGATGGATTATTGATGGAAATTTTACTTGATGATGCAGTTGATATTGACATTTAAGAAAATTAATACTAAGCAGTTATTAATTTGTTTATTAAGATATGTGAATTTATGTCTCTACTATCTAACGACATACTAAATTTTACTACCTTTTTGGATGTACTTTTAAATATCACCCTTGAAAATAAATACTCAATATTTTTATAGATGCTCCTCAAACCTAAGTATTTAATTTATTGTATTAATAATCGTTTTTATTTGATTTATTTTTGATATAAATTAGTCATTTAATAAGAGGTATGAATATTGATATCTTTTTAACAAAGAGTGAGCTTTATTTCGAAAAAATAACTCCTGTTATCAAGGCACTATAGGAGATTACTCAAGAAGGAGTTGACTTCTTTTAAGATTATGTTTTAAAAGCCTTAGAAGATATTTTTAAAGGGAATAAACCATAAAAATTTGAAGAAATAATTTCAGATGAATAAAAGCTCAAAGAAAATGAGCTAAAAATATTCCTTGAGGGTATAAAATTGATTTTCAAGCTATGCTCATAATCTAGCCGTTATACAATTAGATATATCGAAAAGGCTATCTCAGGAATTTTGAATGGGGTTAAGTCTTCAGAAGAAAATATTTTAAATAAGCAAGATTCTTTATTTAGAGGTAATTTCATTATTCAATATTTTTATAAATAAAAAATCAAATATTATAAAACAGAAAGCAGGACTCAACAAATATTTTAATTCGCCCTTGATATAAGTAGTGAATCTACAAATGAATTTATATTGCAAATAATTAGCTAATAAAGTTAATTCTTCCAGAAGTATGAGAATTAGCTGCTTACATATGTTAAAAGTAAGTGGAATCTTATAGGATAAAAATACTTGATGCTTGCTAAAGATAATATCTCCTTATTAAAGCTGACGATTCCTCTTTTATAGAGCATTATTTAATCTTTTAATAGAAAAGAAAAGGAAGAAAGCTTGCTTATTCTCATATAAAATTTACCAGTTATTAATATAGAAAGAAAAGAAGATACCTTCTTGGAAATTGAATTGAAATTAAACTGGCTAATTATGTCTTCAATTGAAGGTCTGGTAATTGAAAAAAATTATTCAGATTATGTTGAAAAATTAATTGAGGTTTCTCTTAAAGTTGAAAAAAGTTTATTCATTCATGAGTAAGGATTCAACTTGCTTGGGTTTTACTTGAAATGCATAAACAATGCAGACTTCTTTGTAAAAAGGGGTCTTAGAGACAAAGTAAATTCAGTTCGTTCAAAATATTTCCCTATGAAAGTGAAAGAATTAAAAAGAGATTCAAAGCAAGAAATAGACTTTAAATCTATTTTAGGATGTATGATTAACATGATCAAATTAGCAGGATAGATTGAGTTGCTTGAAATACTTTTCCCTGTTATTCGTGAAAGCTTAGAAGAACCTTATCATACAAAAATAATAACATTCATTCAATAGTTTATTAAAGAAAATTTCATGACCCAAACCGTTAATAAACAACTCTATTTTATGGAATGGGCATTAGATCAATACAAAGATAAAGTAATTAAAATACTTATTTCAAATCATTTTAACTATTTTCAATATTCATTTATTTAGGATTTGGACAGAAGTTTGTTAGAGTGCATCAGATATGAAATCATTTAAAAGGTATTACTCCACCTTATTGAAAACGCTAAAGAAGAAGCTAATGTCAAATTTATGGTAAAAAACTCACCCTATCTAGAGAAATTATTTTACAATACAGATTTTATGGTAAATTTTTATTTTATTTTTTAATTTTTTGTATTTTTCTTTCTTTAATTGAAATAAAATTTTAAAGTAGATCTTTGATTTGATTACCTAAAAATATTTTTAGATAAGTTTAATATGTAAAATTTAATTTAATTTACTTTGAGTTTAACAGAGTTGCTAAAGCATTTTAGGAAAAACATTTAATTTTTCTTATTGATAAAAATCAATTTTTTTATCTTTTATTCAGGTTTAACAAAAATAATATTTAAAATAAATCTTAAATATTTTAGAAATAAGAAAATATGAAAGAAGTTTTGAGATGGGTGCAGGAACTTATTTAAGTCTTCAACATATTCGAAAGTTTGTATAAGGCTTTAAGCTTAGATAAAATAAAGGATGATGTGCATAAGAAATTATATCCAGATACTACATAAGGCAATGAGCTGACTAAGAGTTTAATAAAAATAGCATTTGAGTACAGAAAGAAAGGATTTGAGAGAGCAGATGATATAAAGAATAATGTTTAAAATAATCCTGATCTTATAGGTATTGATAGTCACTCAATACTTAGATTATTCTCTTGTGCTGTTTATAATTGCTTATCTTAAATTATCACAAAAACTTAAAATAAAGAAAATATCTTGAATTAATTCTTATTTTAATAAAAGAACGATCATCTTTGGGATCTTTTAATTGATGGTACTTAAAAAGAATTTAATTTTGAAATAGAAACTAATTTTGAAGAAAGATCGTATGCTCGTACCAGAAATATTTTTTCAAGGATTCCAAAATTCGATACAAAAGAAATTCTTTGCAAAAAATATTTAAATGAGACAGTTCTTTGCACTTTTAACAAAACTTCTGCTTCATAAGCATTTTTACCCTCTTTTGCAAATGAGTTGATTAGCAAAAACAGTGAACACGATATATATGAAGACGAAGAAGATGAAAGTGAAAATATTATATAAGAAACAAAAAAATATATGCAGTAACAATAAAATTTATTTTTTGGAGATTAAACTGGAGAAAATTTAGAAATGGACTTAATCAATAGAGTAAATTTCTTAAAATATACAATAACTATAAAAATATATTTTAAAAAAGCATCCTTGTATGCCTACAGTTCTCACAAATATTGATAAAATGGTTTAATAGTTCCCTCTTACTGAAGCTATGCCCTAATGGATGACTAATTTATTAGAAGAAGTCAAGAAAGATAGTTGCAGCTTAGGTCAAAAAATATTTATAATTAAAATTGTTTTGAACAAGCCATTGTTGTTTGAGAAATACTCATAACAGTGGTTTGATGTGTTAGTTGATTATGCAAAATTAAATGATAATGGTTCAAAGTTCTTCCATTACTTTTTAAGAGATGTCACTACAACATTAATAGATTGGTGTTCTAAAAAACCTAATTTAGTAACCAGGAGAATAGCTTCAGATAAAAAGTAAAATCTATGCTAGGTTATAAACAAAATATGCAGAGTAAATTATTTAATTTTAGAAATATTATAAATAATTATGATTTTAATGACTTAAATTATAGGTTTTAGCTCACAAAGAAAAAGAAATCTTTAAATAAAATATTCAAATTTTAAAGAATTTATTGGATTTATGGAAAGAGTGCATTTATGTTGATGAAAATTAGTTAACAAAGATGTTATTGCTTGAAGATAAAGAAGACAAAGAAAAATCATAGTTATGGAACCTAAATTCTATTTTAATTTTAGATGCTTGTATTTAATTAAGAATTCCTATACTTTCTAACTATGAAGCATTCTCAAGAGCACAAACTGTAGAAGAGAAATTTGCTTTCTTCTTAAATATATCTGAAAAAGATAGACTCAAGAGACTATTATTATTTTAATAACACTCTAAAAGGCAATACTGTAAAGCTGCATCTGCTGGTAATAAAGTTTTCTTTTTAATATATCTAAAATGATTCTTTACTAAAGTTTACATTTAATTATCTATTTATTTATTAATTTAGTTTGTGGAGGCCTTTTGTCTATGATGCATGAGTACGGTGGTTAATTTGAAGGAAAGAGGAAAATTTATGAGCAGGAAATAGTGAATAATTCTGTAAATATTATAAACAAGACTGATAAAACTAGCAAAGAAAGATTCCCCATTATCGTTGCCTGCATCACTTAATACTACCCAGACTTTTTGAATAATATAAAAATTATTACCTATTGCCAAGACTATATCCATTAAAAAAGTAAAATGGACCGTGCTTACATTCTACAATCAATTCTAATTTTCTTGAAAAAGAAATTAGACAAAAGAGAAAATGTAAATTAATTAATTATTAATTAATGTGTATTTAAATTTTATTAATTAAATTTTAGATGAAAGAAGATATCCACAAAATTTGTACTTCTTTTAGAGGAGTTGTTTAGAATGTTGCAGAAGATGAAAACGTTGAAAACTAAGAAAAATTTTTAAGTCTTTTTGTATTTTTGAGCAGTCCTCAAATATTGAACTCATTCGATGATGCAATACAATTAATGAGAATCAGTATTTCCATTTTAAAACAGAAATATGAAAGGCACTATCAAGAAAAATTTGCTACAGCATATTACACAATAGTTTACAATTTATATGATTACCTCATCAACCAAGAAAGTGATTTAAAAGATAAAAATCAGATAAATGAGAGTGAAGAAATGAATTAATTCAAATCTTAAGTTAAGTCATGTATCCTATGTGGTTTGACTAGTCAACATAATACAATCAGGTTTAATTCTTCAATTTTTTAATATAAAATTTAAATAAACATAAAAAATAGAGAAAATACTTTCAAGTTCTTAGACAGGGAAACAAATGACTCAAAAACGCCTTATGAAAGGCTTTTATACTTGATTTAGGAAATCTACTAGCCTGAATAAGAAAGGCTATGGTTATTGAGTGCTGTCCCACTTATTATGTGTCTATCAAAGAGGACTTCAGACTATGACAAAAATCTTTTTGATGAGTAACTTAGTAAGTTAGCATAGTTCTATGATTGGGATTTCAGAGATTCTCATAACATGAGACTTTACAATTCAAGTCAGCCATTGACTCCTCTTTACACCCTCTCTCAAGTTAATTATAAAGACTCATAAGGATTTGCAATACCAGCTCCTCGTCGTATGTACAATATCACAGGAGTTAGTTAGATGCCTATATGTAAAATCATTATTATTTTTCTTTAAAAATATTAAAATTTAATTTAAAAAAAAATAAAACAAAAATTAATTACTTAATTAAAAATTTTAATAGATTTTTTTATAAATTTATTATAAAAATATCACATTAAATATTCATTTTTAATAATATTATTTTAATTTACTTATAAAATTAAAAGAAGAAGGAGTTAGAGCGACTGTTTATAGTTAATCCTAAGATAACAGTTAAGGTGAAATGGTTATTCCTTCCTAAGATCAAGCAAGCTAAATGAACCAACTGGAAGAAAAGAGATAAATTTACCAAGATTAAATGAAAAGACTGGTCAATCCTTCTCAATAGATTTCTTCATCGTTTTCATCTTCAAACAGAAACCCTTACACATTTAATTAAAGTTAGCTCTTTTTTGATAATAAAATGAGTAGCATCTCTGAAGAAAATGAAGATGATGAAAACGAAGAAGGAGAAGAAAAGAAAATTGATTTATTTGGAACTGATATACAAAGAGAAAAGAAGAATAACAATCTCAGCAAGTTCTTTGCATCTCACTTATTCGATTTTAGCTAAGTCAATAAAAACTCAACAAACAAAATTAGGTAATTTTAAACAAAGAAAACTAGTTTTACTTAAATGAATAAATAAAATATATTTAGATATCAGGACTCAAAAGAAGGAAAAACATTAACTAATACTGTTGACATAAAGAAGAGATAGCAACAGTTATTTTTTGAAAATCAAAATAGAATGAGAAAACAATAATTACAGACAATCAGAAAATATAAAATTGGTGAATTACCTGATATTGGTATCCTTTACAAGGTATTATTATAAAAATTTACATTTTATTTAATTCATTTTATATATTTTAACGTCTTATTTTTATTTAACATATGCCTTACTTACCCTTTAAAAAAGCTTAAATAATATACACAAATTTTAATTAAATACTTTATTTAAATTTAAAAAATTTTAACTATAATTCAATTTAGGATATTATTGATCCTCTGATGGCTTTGAGTTTCATCGATGAAACCTTAGCTGGATAATTATTCTAATTACTATTACATTCTATGTTTATGAAAGAAGAGTCTGCTGATAGATAACAAAAGCTAAAAGATATTTTATCTAACATTTTAGCTAAGTCAATTGTTCATGATTTCAATTTCGTTTCAACTATTCATAAAACTATGATTATGCTAACTAAAGAAGGTGAGTTGTTTGATAGTAATATAATTAAATAAAGTGGGTTGCTTAGTCATAGCTATTACACATCTATCCTGCTACTGGAAGAAAGTCTTTTCTCGTTATTCCATAGGATAGATTAAAATGAATAGGCTGGTGATAAAGATGTTCTGAAGAAAAGAAAAGAAATTCTTAAAAATAACTAGAAGAAAGCTTCCAGGGCTAGAGGAAGAAAGGAAATGCAAATAGGTGAAGATGATTATGAAAAAGATTTAGATGAAAATGAAGAAGATCTTGAAGAAGAAAGACTCTTATATGAATCTAGAAAAAAATAATCTGAGAAGAAAAGATTAGAAGTGAATTATTGGATGGATTTAATTGACATCTATTCTCATCTAAATGAAAAAGATCAAATCAAAGGCATTCTTAAAAAAACAGTTTCACACGAGGGATAAAAAGATATGATTGTTGCACTCGATTTGAAGTTCTCAGGCTAAATATAAAATTCTTTAAAAATATTGAAAGAAATTAGCTCTAAAAATAAAGAAAGTGAAAGATAAAATTAATTTAGAATGGCAATAGAAGATAATTTGAATAATTAGGTTAGTTTAGATGATAGAATTCAAGAGTATATTTAAAGTGAATATCAAGACACACTTGCATTAATGGGTAAATAATTTTTTTTTAATTAAAATTAAAAATAATTTGTTATTAGGAAAATGGGATGATCTTGCAAATGAACTAATTGAAATCAATAAAGATGTAAAAATTTATCTTTGCAATTTATAAATTATTTTTTTGAAAATTAATAAATTTTTATATTAAAATTATCAATTTCTAAAACAAAATTCTTAAATTTAATATTAAAATTAATGATTTTATTTCTGAATATTTTTAATTTGATGAATATAAAATTTTTATTTATTCTACATATTTTTTGTAATTGTTTTAGGTTCTTGAATAACCAGAAAAAATAGGAGTAGAGAAAATGAAAATACTTATGCTTTCTCTTATGTAATCTGACTCAGCTGACACAAGTAGGTGGGAAGAGTTGAAAGATTATGTAAAGCTTTGGATGAATACAGAATATGGTAAAAGCGTTTTAGAAGGTCCTCTTAGCTATGAAATGGCTCTAATAACAATTTTAGATGGTGATATTGATAGGACGAGATATTATCATAAATTGAGTTAAAATCAATTCCTGAGGGTTTGGAGTAACTTTGGTAGCTTTGCTACAGCATCTAAGCATGAATATCTCTCTAATATTTATAAGAACTACGAACTTAAGGAATATCTCCATCTTGATGGCAAAATAGAAGCAACTTATGAAGACTTTAATAGCTTATTCAAAAACTGGTAGAATAGAAAAGTAAATATTTTTTTGTTTAAAGAGAAATATAATTAATTCTCACTTATAATCATTAAATTAGTTAGCTTAAATTTTCTTTTACTTAACTTTAAATAAAAATATTTTTAAAATCAATCTATTTATTTTACTTTTTGATGTTGCTTATAACAAATAGCCTTCTAACACATACGATAATTAAATTTGCTGGGACTAGATACTAAATAGCAGAGAGATATTTGCTTTAGCTCTCTACTAAAAGTATAATTTGGAAGATTAGTTTGTAAATAAAATAAGGTCTAATTGGTATATTCAAAATGTCAAAGGTATGCTTAAGAAAGGAATACACGGAGCTGCTGATAGAAAAATGAAAAAAGCAGCTGGCTATAGAAAAGTTATGAATGGGTTACCTGAATTTAATTGGGACTACTACAAAATCACTTCAAAATTGAAACTTAAATAATTGGAAGTAGATTTAAAAAATGATTAAATCCCTGAGAACCCCTTTGAGAAATTCAGCAAACTGATAAAAATTTTCGAGTAAGAGAAGGAGAAGTATATTCATTAACTAGACTAATCTCAAATAGTTAAATTCGAACAGCTTAATATTTAAGTGAACGAAAAATTCATTGATGTTTATTAAGATTATACCCTCACTCAAATAGTATTAAAATTTTTCATTTATAAGTTTAGTTTTTTATGTTAAATATTAAATTTAATAGGTTGAAGACATTTTCTTAGAAAAATATGCAGATGTGATTAATAATATTTACTGGGGATATAATAAACTATTTTAGAATGATATAATGAAAAAAGATATAGACTTATCTAGCTAGAGCTAATCGCTTAGTTAACCTTTTGAAAATACTTTTTCTTTTAAAGGACCAGCTTCTCTTCCATAGATGGCTGGAAATAATAATTTCAACAGCAGTGAATAAATTTTTGAAGAGATCATTCCAATGAGGTTAAAGAGTTACAAAAGATTTGCTAATTTTTGTGAATAACTTTTAAGAATCATTGAGTCTGAGAGCAGAGATCACTTAAAAAAGACTTTGAAAGTTTAATATTAGGTAAATAAGTTAAATTACTTTAATGTTTTTTTAATTTTGACTAAATAAATAAATAGCTAACTGTTGAGACTGTTGGCAGTTCTTTCTTGGAATACACTCTCAAGTGCTTTTCTTTAATGGGAGGAATTAACTAATTTGAACAAAAGTCAAATAAAATGTAAATGGAAGTAGAAACAGGAGAAAAAATATAAGAAAATCCTGAAAAGAGCTAAAATCAGTCAATTGAATTTGATTAGAATATGTCAAATTTAGTGCTAAAAATGTTAAGAATTATTTAACAAATCCCGAATATGACAGGCTAAAAGTTTAAGGAGGCCATAGAATTACAAATTATTCCTTCATGGATATTTATTAGCTTCTTGCCTTAAATGATGCACATTTTAAAGAAATAGAATTTAGTTGAATTTTTCGAACCTTTGATTAAAAAGCTTGCCAAAAACTATCCTGAGGCATTAATTTACTAGTTTAATACTATATTTAGCAACTAAACAACGTGCGAAACGGCTTTATCTTAAGAAATATATGAAGCATTACACAAGGAAATGCCTCATTATTATAATTTTATGTACCATTTGAATCAAATAACTCACCCTGAGCATCGTTTGATTTACTACCTTGAATACCTAAAGAGCTAATTTTTATCATTTTAGAAAATTCACAACACCTATAGCTCCTAAAAAGATTATGTTAAACTTAACAAGGCTGTTGAAGAATATCAGAAAATTATTGATAGAATTTTAAAAGAAACAGAAGAGGATTTGTTCTAACATAATATTAATGCAGATCATATGGGAAGTTATAACATCAAATTTTCAAAGGATCATATTAGCGAATTCAAAAAGCTTGTTAAGAAATTTACCGACATAACAAAGGGAGATGACTAAGATAAAAAAGAAGCCTATGATTTCATCAAAAAATTCAGAGATAAAGTCAACACAAAAGATCTCAAATCAGGCTATGACAAACTTTCTAATTTTTCAAGTTTCCTATAAAACTTCTAAGGTAATCCAGACAATTAGAATATTTCATTAAATAAAATATAACATAATTTGAAAAATTTATTTCTTTTCATATTTTTATTTTATTAACAAAAATTAATATATTAGCTGATCACATTATTGAAATTCCTGGGTAATACACTTCTGGAGCAGTTATTACTGAGCCATACAAAGAGTCACACATTAAAATATAAAGTTTTGATTCATAAATTCTGACTCTCCAATCAATTCGTCGTCCCAAAAGACTCTGTATATATGGCTCTGATGAAAAATGCTATAAAGTAAGCTATACATATATTTACTTAAAATAAACATATTATTCATTTAAAAATTTTTTTTAAAATAAAGTTTTTAGTAAAGGGGATTGAAGATTTAAGACTAGATCAGAGAATAGAGCAACTGTTTTAAGTTATGAATAATATTTTCGAATATGATCCTTAATGTCAGTCTAAAGAGCTGAACCTTTCAACTTTCAACATTATTCCGATGACGAACATCTTAGGTTTACTTGAATGGGTTGATAAGACAAGCGTTTTAAAGGAAATATTAAACAAAGAATTTTAAGAAAAAATGGGAAGCAAAGAAGACATTGCTTAAGACAATGAAGGGTTGAGAATGAGAAGAGAATGGCTTAAGCAACTAGACAGAAAAGGAGGTTTGGCTGAACAGCATATAAAACTATAATTAGAACCATCAGGTAATATAGAATAAAAATAAGTAATAATTAAATGTTGTTAATATAATAAAAATTAGACAAAATCGAATAAGCATTCAATGAATAGGCTGATTTGATTCCAAGGGATGTGTTTAGGAATGCGCTTGAAAGACTAGCTTCTACTTGTGAAACCTATTTGTACTTAAAAGAAAGATTTATAAGAAATTATGCTGTTGTTTGTGTTTCAGGATATATTCTTGGTATTGGTGATAGACATTTAGAAAATTTCTTAGTAAATTACTCTAACGGTGATATAGTTTCAATTGATTTTGGTTACAGTTTTGGTGCTGGTCTAGGACTTGCTGTCCCAGAGCTAATGCCATTTAGATTGACAAGGTGCTTTACAAATTTAATGAGTCCTATTGGAATTAATGGAATCTTTAGATAATCAATGATCTCATCAATGATGGCTTTAAAAAAGAAAAGAAACATCTTACTTGAATTCTGTGAAGTATTCATAAACGATCCTTTGGTTGATTGGGTTAAGCTTACAAAAGACAAAAAAATGGGTAATTGAATGTCATCAAGATATATTTAAACATTTAATATTTATATTCAAAACAGGCACAATTATGTTTAGTGAGAATATTGGGCATTTAGATTCCACCAAGACTTATAACGCAGAGCAGTCATAATCATAATAACAGTATGGATTAAGTACTATGGAGGCTAGTCAAATTGCTGATCTAATGATTCATATGTAAAGAATTGATATTGTAAAGCTAAAATTAATTGGAATGAATCCTTCTCATTTATTTACTGAAGAGTTATCTTCAACAAGACATAAAACTGGAAACTACTTTTAGCATTTAAAGTCTGCTTTAAAGGGAAAACCAAAATCGATTAGAAATCAATATAACGAAAAACAATTTTTAGAAGTACATGAACAAGTAGATTGTTTGATAGATTTGGCTGTTGACCCAAATATTATAGGAAGAGTTTGGATTGGATGGGCACCAATCATATGAGTGGCCAATCATTTATTTAATTTTTAATAGCATCTATTATTGTGATATCAATATATATTTTATGTTACATCATTCAATTTTATTTATAGAATTTTTAAAATCCTAAGAAGTTTTTATGATTTTCTTAATTGATATTATAATTTTTGTTAATAGAATTGCTTTTAATATTTATATTTTATGAATTAATTTGTTGATTTTATAAATTATTATTTAAAATAGATTAAGATTTTAAATTTATTTTTAATAAGTATATTCGTTAATTTATTTTATAAAAATTATAGTAATTAAGAAAGAATGATAAAATCTAAATCAAATCAATTTAAATTTAAGTGAGATATTTGCATTTATTTATTTATTTATTTATTTATTTATTTATTTATTTATTTATTTATTTATTTATCTATCTATCTATCGATCGATCTATCTATCTATCTATCTATCTATCTATCTATCTATCTATCTATCTATCTATCTATCTATCTACCAAATTTCTAAAACACTTATTAATATATGAACTTTTTTGCAATATTTTCCATTTTTAATGATTATTAATTCAAAAATGAATTAATATTATATAGATATTTTTAATCTATAACTGCTCACTTTGCTTAAGATATATTATATAAACATTGCATATTTTTCAAATCAATTCATATTAATTTTAATAATAAATATATCTGATTAAAGCTTATTGAATATGTTTTTTTTGTGAGGTAAAAGTACAATCTACAAAAAGATTTGTGTGCATCTAAAACTAATAACCTGATTGTGCGAAACTCTAACTACCCAATTTTTGTGCATCGTAAAGTAAAAATGTTCCAAAACTTATCAAATACACCAAGTAAAATAATTTTATTAAATGTAATTGATAAAAATTTAAGAATATCAAGTTTCATTGATTCCTTCATTTATTATTTCTAGATCTTAAAAATTTAAGATAATTAAATTCTTTAAAAAAAGAGCATAGTATATATTTAATAAAAAAATTAACATAGATATATATTTGAATAATCAATTTATTAATTAATTAAGGTATTTTAAATTATCTTAAAAAAGAGTATAGTATATAATTAATAAAAAATTTAACATAAATATTGATTTCAATAATCAAATTATTTTAATAAATTTAGAATTAGATTATAGATTCTATAATTTAAATTTCTTTATTTATAACATAAAATATAAATTCTTTCATTAAATTATATGACTGAATAGCCCTTATATTGCGTTGCTTTCAATTTGTTGTAAAAATATATGAGAGACTGTTTTGAATGTTGGAATTAATATTTCAATTTAAATTTTCTTTACAAAATAGTTTTAAAACTCTTTTGAATTATATTGCAATTAATTTTTTTCTTGCAATTAGATCAAAATTTGCTGAATTAGAGTTAAAAATTCTTCTTTTTAAACTAAGTTTTAGTTGTTATTTAAAATAAAGTTTTTTATCTAAACTTTTTCAAGCATTTAAGGTTATAGAGACAGACTATTATTGACATCTAATTTAAATTAAGTTATTGCTTACTTAAGACTATTCATAAATTATTAAATTATTCCTTCATCCTACTCTAATTAATTTTAAATCTTCTCATAATTTTTAATTTTATTCTATGTGTTAATAGTATAATTATTATTTTGTTATAATTTTTACATTTTTTATGCTTAATTTTGCAATAATTACTTAAGGTAATTTATTTCTTGTTTAATTTTATGAACTAAATAACTGCAAATAGTATCGCAAACTATGGTTTACATGTTTTAAATAGTCAAATTTATTACATTATTGAGAGGATCTTGCATTAAATTATAAACTAATTCGAAAAACTAATTAGGAGAAAGAAGTAATTCGTAGTTGTCTTTAATAAAACTTTCAAGATTATCTATAATTTACTTTTTATGGTGTTATATTAAATTCTACCTTAAATTTCTAACAATATCTCTTTCAAAGTGTTAAAAATTTAAATATTAAAATTGCTACTTGAATGCCTTGTAAATATTTTCTATTTAATTCTTATTAATTAATTAGAATGCTTACGTTTATTCTAAAATTTTACTGCAATTTAGCTAAAACTTTGTTTGAAGCTAACTTATATTTAAGAATTTTTGATCTTAGGCCATTTGTTATGTGATATAGGCTATTTATTTGGAGTATTTGGCAACTTCTTTTGTTAGAGCATCTTTGAAAGATATTTAAATTATTAATTCTTTTTATATTTTATTTGCTGAATGATCACTGATTTATGTAAGCATGTGAACATAATCTTATATTTAAAATTTTCTGATATGGTAAATTATAACAATTGATTCCTAGCTCATATATTCTTTTAAATTTAGTCCATCAATGAGCATCATTTTTTCTATCGCATTTGCTATTCCTTAAACTTAGTCGTTGTGTTCTTAGATAACTTCAATATAATTATCATTTTAAAAGTAATTCTAATTATCATTCATTAATTTCATATTTTGTTTATTTAAATTATTTTGATTATCCTTTTAAATGATTGAATCTTACATTAAATATAAAGAATTAGAGAGCTAAAATATACTGCAAGCAAGGGGGATCAAAGATTTCCATTGCAATGGTTTTCTTTCAAACAAATTTATGACGAAAGGCAGCTCTTCATTTAGATATTCTTTTATTATCTATTAAGTAATTTTATCATCTTAAAAAAATTCATCTATTCTGATAAAATTTAAATTTTCTTTCTTTGAAATATTTCTTTACAAAACTTTTATTTCACCTTTTAAATCCCTTATTTATTCTAAAATTTTTCCTCTTATTAGTTCCTCGTCTTTAATCCTCTTGAAACATCCACTCTCTGAAATATAAGATTCTAATTACTTTCTATCATATTTATTTATGTTAAATATCTTAGACTCTTGAGCTTGATTCATAAAATTTTTGCTCAATAAAATGCTTTATTCATATAACTCTTAATTATATTCTTGCTATACTAAGGATTAAGATTATAGTTATAGAATTTGTAGTGCTTAGTGTAAACTATTTTTTTATTGAAGAATCATTTCGCATTTATCAAGCATTTAAAGAGAAATAGAATGTTATTTCAAAGAAGTAAATGCAATAGCTTTGATGTAGTGAGCTGCTAAATTTTTTGGATTTTTCAAGATAATTTCGTCTGATATTTGGAGTGCTTCTGTGAATTTTTTTTCAATTAGCAATTTCATTCCTTCGCTAATTAAATAAGAAGGATTAACGACATTTCTCTCGTTCACTCTTTTTTGAAAATCTTCTTTGAAAATCATATATTCTTTCATGGCTTTCTCTGGTTCTTTTCTCATATTTTAAATCTTACAATAAAAAGTTGCCCAAATTTCTTCCTCCTACTTCCTCAGATACTGCTTTTTTTTTAGTATTTCGCAAGTATTTAAAGTTTTGCAATAGTCCCAAAAGATTTCATCCATTTTAGAAATATCAATCATATTTTGCAGCTATTTCTCGCAAATCTAAGCGTCCACTTTGTCTCTTTCCTCAATTAAATTTGATTAAATCTTATTTTTAATAATAAAACTGTCTTTTGAACCATCAATTACCATCTGAGCGCTACCATCTTACCCGCATCTACCTGCCCTGCCAAATGCTTAATCTTCCACTCTTTTATTTTTTGGCGTAAATGTAACTATCACATGTAAGCCACCTAAAATTATTAAAAATAGTTATAAAAACCTTACACTTTTTGGATTGATTTTTAATAAAATTTTAAAAATTAAATTAATTTTTTAAATAAAATGGATCATTTTAAATAAAAAAAAGAAAGAAACTAAAGAAATTAATTACCATTGTTTATAATTTGAGTGGAAAGTTTTATATCAGTTCCTCTACCTGCCAAATTAGTACTTAAAATGATACAAAATTCATTAATTGATTCTTTTTCTATACTCTCATTACCAGTGTAATATTCTACTATTTTTATATTTTGAAATCTCTTTGAAATTAATTTAGAAATGTGTTTGCTGAATTTTTCTGACTCTGAAATTATCAGGCATGGACTTCCTTTATTCATTTAAAGTCCAATCTCATTAATAATTGTCTTTTGGAAATCTAGTGTTGTTTATTCAATAATAGGAGGCAATATTTATAACTTTCTAGGTTTGAAAGGGGGAACTTTCAGAGTATCAACCTAGTAAAACTATTACAGAACATCAATAGACTTAAATGAGCCTAATGTTCCAGTCAGTCCTACTAAATTAGTTTTATAGAGCAAAAACATGTATATATTAGAGACAAAGTTAACAGTCATATTCATAGGAGTCACAGTCACATTTTCTTTCATTTAAATAAATTGATGCAAACCTCCTCTCCATTAAGTGTTTAATTGGGCAACACCTGTATTGTCGTAGTCAATAGGAATTATTTTATCATTTTCTACTTTATATTCTTTGTTTCTTTGAAGTTATTAAGCATAAAAGCCATTCATTACCCATTCCTTCATTTAAGACATTGCAAAAGATTTTATGTGATTAGGTATTAATTCATCGATTTTTGCAGAAATTTCTCCTCTCATTAGAGTTTAGTTGATAAATTCAGTAATAAAATCTTCAGCCCTGCAACAATATTTCTTGTCTTAGTTTTCTACAAAGTAGTAGTACCCTTCTAAATATTGATCTCTCATCTAAGTTATTTTATACCAAATTAGCCACAGAATAGTATTCAGCTTAGTTAATCCTGGAATACTTTTAGCAAGAGAGGTAGAATGGTTATGCTGATCAATGAGCATGCAGTCAACCTCATCAACAATAGCAAAATCGAACAGTCTACCACATCTAGTGCCTCTTTACTCATAATAATCTCCAAGTAAATCGGCAGCATAACTTCCAACATCACCATATACCACATTTTTTTTGTAAGTCTCATTTGGTTCGCTGGAACGAAATTATTCAGAGCCAATAGATCCACATGTTAAACCTAGCTCTTTATAAAACATTTAAAACTCCTCGCAATCTCTCTTTGCAAGTTCTTTGTTTGAAGTGAAAACATCGACTTTATCTTTCATCAAGCATCTCGTAGCAGCAATCATAGCAACAGTTATAGACTTACCTTCTCCAGTGTTAATCTGTAAGATTCTTCCTTTTTACTTTTATTTGTATAAAAAAAGCAAGCAAGAAACTATCTAAACTGAGCGTGGTGTCATTTTTGAAACTTTTTCCAAAGCTTTGCTTGATTAAATTAAATAGTAAATTTCAGGATATCTTTTTTTCAAGTCATCTAAAAATTATCCATTCATGCCATCTAGATATTTACCAAAAAGTTTCATGAAAATCTCTCTTTCATTCTCTGTAAGTTCTTTTATCTACTTTAAAATGGAATCAACTTCTTCACTGTAAAATTTTGGTTAATTCTAAATAGAAGTTTATCTATTTTCAATAAATTTAATTGGTTCTTATTAATTAAAATGTTTTATTTCACACTAATTTTTTAGATTTAAAGGCTAAGAATTTAATTTATTGCTATTAATTTAGATTTAATTAGAAAATTATTTTTTTAATTAAATTTACTAATTTTTCTATTTATCTTAAATATTTAAAGAAAGTAATTTTTTTAATTAAACATTATTTTAATTAAAAATATTTTATTAAATTTAATTTAAATTTTCACAAACATTTATGTCTTTTTAAATTTTTGGTTATAATTTTGTTAAGTATTATTATTACTTCTACTTATTATCATTTTTTAAGTTACTATTTTGAGGATATTATTCAATATTGTTTTTTTCATATGGTTTTTTAAATTATGTTTCTTATTCATTTTAATTAGATGATTTCTATCTATTTAGAACGTTTAGATTTTAATTCTCATAAATATTCTAATTGGAAAGTCCTACTAACTTGTTTTCTTATTGAATTTTATTATTTTTAATAAAATCCTAAACTTTCAAATTTTTATTTTAGAAAGTGTTAGGACATGCGCTATTTTTTTATTATGGTGTCTAAGTATTATCGGTGGGTAGCTAAATTTTAATTTAATTGAGTTATTATGTGTAGGCGAATAGTTTTTCTGTAAAAGACATTTTATTTAAGTCTTCTGATAATAGAGAAGAGATAACTACTAGTAAAGAGAGGGATTTATTGTTAAATGATGTCAAATAAGAATCAATTATGAGTTAAACAGATTCAAGCGTATCAGTAATTTACGTTTCCTACTGTTGAGTAATGATTTTATTTTGCGAAAAGACAGCTTGAGCTGCAGTTTATTTATTTTGATTATTATTAACACATCTTTCATATAGCTCTATAAAATATGGATTAAGATTTCTTGCTTTTATTGGGTCTAAAGCTATATTCCTTGATATTTTAAGTGTATAATCTAAATCTTATAAATGTTTATTCCAATTACCTCTAAATGGGCATAATAAAGAAGATAAAACAAGTTGTGTTTTTCCAAAAATTAGCTTGCCATTTTAAGAGTATTAGCTTAATATTTATTCAATTTACAAAAGAGTATCTTCTTAAATATTTAAATTAAAATCCATCCTTCAAATTATTTCTTTATATTTTTAATTTATTTAACAATACTATTTTCAAATATTTATTATTAATCTTAATTCAATTTTTTTATTAAATGACTTAAAAAATTTTTATCTTTAAAGGAATCTAAAAATGTAATTATCAAAGCAAATAATACTTCTTAGATTTCTCCTTTGAAATTTTTAAAAATTTAGAATTAATTATTGCCAATTACTATCTATTCTACATAAATTCTAATATGTTAACATTTCATTAGATGTCTTTTTTATTTACAAAACTAATATTTATTCATTTTTTCAAAGAATTTATTACTAAATATCAAAATTCAATTCCATTCTTCAAAATATTTCTTTATATATTTATTTATAAATATTACTTTCATATATTTGCTATTAATCATAACTCAATTTTTATTAAATAACTTTAAAAATTTTTAAATAAAAAAAGCATCTAAAAATATAATTATTAAAACAAAAATCCTTCTTAGATTTCTCCTTAGCAATTATTAAAAATTTAGAATTAATTATTATCAATTACTATCTATCTATATAAATTCTACTATGAGTATTAACATTTTATTAGATGCCTTTTTACTTAATTAATACTCATTTTATTTCTCAAAGAATGTCTTATTAAATATTTAAATTCAAAATATTTCTTTATATATTTATTTATACATTTTTAATATTATTTTAAAATATTTACTATTAAATCCTTACTCAATTTTTATTAAATAATTTTAACTTCCTTTATTTTTAAAAGGCATCTAAAAATAAAATTATCAAAACAAAAAATCCTTTTTATGTTTCTTCTTTACAATTTTTAAAAATTTAGAATTAATTATTTTCAATTTCTATTTATCTATCTATCTATCTATCTATCTATCTATCTATCTATCTATCTATCTCATAACATATATTTCCAAATTTCATTAGATGTGTTTTTTTATATAATTTATATTTTATTAGCAAATATTTTCAAAATGTATTGAATGATAATAGTGCTGTATATTTTTTAATATTTTAGATTTTGAGCAGTAAAATAAAACAAATGTTTATTTCATGTAAAAATTTTATTTAATTTTAAAAATATTTTAAATACCTAATAATTATTTGGTATTTAATTAAAGAATATCAATCTTACTATAAATTAGAACATTTTTTAATGAAAAATTATTTAGATTACTAAATACTAAATAAATAAATTGGCATGGTTTTTTTTTATAAAAATATTTTATAATTTTCATTTTTTACAGCTTTTGTAAGTTGAAATCAATATTTTTTGAAATTATTTTATTGATTATTTTTTTGACATTTTTTCAAATTAGATAGAATGATTTAAATTATATTTTGGAAATTTTTGTAAATGATATAAAAAATTCATATTTTAATATCTCTCTAATTAATTAAAATATAAATATTTGAATATATAGTTTGTTTGCTAAATTCATTTAAATACATTTTTTTTTTATTTCCATTTAAAAGAAACTCTACAAAAACCAATATGTATTAATTTCACACAAAATAAATATTATAATGAGGTCAAGAGGATCAAAAAATAATAATTTATTAGTTCTACATATCAAAAACTTAGGTAGCTAAATTAAATTTTTATTTTTTACTTAAATATGATATTTCAATTTGATTAAATTTAGATGACTGGATAAACCAAAACTTTTATATTTATTAAAAACAAAATTTTGTTTGATTGATTTATTTGTTTGTTTGTTTGTTTGTTTGTTTTTAAATTAAAGAATGAATTTAGTTCTTTCAAAGAGACCACAAAAGAGTTCTAGCTAAGAATTATAAAAGATATGCAAGGTCTCTCATGTTTTGACAAATATTTTTAATTTAAAAATCCAAGAATAGGTTTAATCTTAAATTGAAAAAAAGGAAGATAAAAATGATTAGTCTCATATAACTTGCTTTTAATATGATGTAGAATTTCAACCTGAAGTATCTGAAGACGACAGATAGCTAAGATATGCAATATTTAAGAAAGCAAGGAAAGATATAGAAAGATTAATAGGCAAATTTAGCTTTTCTGGAAAATCTTTTTACTCTCTGATAAAACCAATAAAAGAAAAAATGTATAAAGAATATTTGAATTTTGACAGTATTAAAATAGGTGAATAATCATATTCTATGAGAATTAAGTTTGTGAAGTAAATAGAAGTTTAGAATGATGAAACCGTAGATTAATTTTCTAATAACTAAATTAACTAAATTCTAAATATCACTTTCAAAGATATTTTGAGAGAAGAAAATTTTATTGAAATTGGCAAAAACTCTAAATTCTATAAGGAAAATGATATTAAGGAGAGATAGATCACTTTAAAAAATGGTTATGATATTTAATTTCAAATTTATAAAGGTATAACATTTTAGATATATCAAACCCTTGAGAAATACTAAATAACTCTAGATTTTACAAGTAGAATAATGAGAAAAGATAATGCACTGAAATACTTAAAAGAATTCAAAAATGGAATTATCGGCTAATCTGTAATTACTGCGTATAACAATTATTAAAGATATCAAATAACAGATTTAGATAGAACTAAAACTCCATAGAGTTAATTTTTATGGAATCAAACAAATAATTAAATTTCGTTTTTAGATTATTACTACTACAAATACAGGATCAAAATTGAACATATTAACCAACCTCTTTTAGTTTCATTTACAAAAAAGAGAGATCCTATTACTAAGCAATATCAGAAAAAAATTATTTATTTAGTCCCAGAGCTATGCCTGATGGCTGGGTTAAGCTCAAATGAAAAAAGAAGCATCAACTAAATCACTCGTGGAATTTAACTCAATCCAAAGGAAAGATATGAATATACAATAGAAGAATCTTAATTACTTCGCAAATAATCATCTCATTAAGAAGTCTATATAGATAGTATTCCAATATAAGCTAAAGCCTACATTTTAAATCCTCCTAATATCATACTAAAAAATAGTAAAATAATTCCTGAATAGGGAAAATTTGATTTTAAGGGCTAAATATTTGAATGCAAAACTGATTTTACAGATTGGATAATCATTTACTCAAACAAAAATTAGACCCTAGTAAACAAACTTTTAAAATTATTTCAAAATATCACTTAAAAACTGGAAATAAAGTATGAAGATCCTAAAATAATTCATCATTCTTTAGTGAATCCTAAACATTTAATAGAAAAATTAGATAAATATTTTATTGAAACTGAGTATTTGCCTAGTTTTATTGTAACATTTGGAGACTTAAATACAAATTTCTATTAGTAAATCAAACATTTCTTTTGTATTTTAGCTAATGTTGAATCTTAACATATTAGTCCTTAATCTTTAAAAAATAAAAATAAATATAAAATTTGCCTTAATATCGTCCTATAAATATTATAAAAGACTGGCAACCAAATTTGGAATGTGGAAATGCCTATGTAAATCACATCGTAGACAATAAATACTATGATTGTTGGAATAGAAACTAGCCGAAATATAATCAAAGGAAAATAAATTATTGCCGTTGTTTGCTCTATCAACAGAAACTTCTCAAGATATCTATCTTAAGTTTACTTTAGAGAAAAAGGTTGCAAATAGCTTCATTAATTGTAGAAAATTATAAAAGATGGAATACTAATTTACTAATAAATAGTAAAAAAATTACCAAAACAAATAATAATTTACAAATAAGGTTAAGGTGATGACCTAAAACAAAACAGTCATTTAACTGAAATAGAATCTATTTAAAATATTGCAAGCAATATTAGTCCTACTTATTCTCCTAAATTTGCTTATTTTAATGTTAACAAAAATGTTACATAAAAGATTTATCAATAAAATGAAGACAAAGCAATTTCCAATCCTATTCCAGGAACAGTATTTTCACACGAAACAAGTAAATCTTAAATTCATTTCTATCTAATAGCTTAAAATTGTAGGAATGGTGTTAGCATTCCAACAAAATACAGCCTTTTATACAACTCAACTGATTTGAATTAAGAAACTTTTTGGTAGTTTACATACTATTAAACTTTCAACTACTACAATTAATAAGGTTCCATAAGAGTACCCGCAGCCTTGAAATACGCCGAGAAACTAGCAAAATATGTTTTTGATTATCTCTAAGATGACAACTTTGGTGATTTAAAAAAAAATTTATTTTATCTATGAACACATAAATAAATAAAATGAAAAAAAAGTAACTTAATTTAATTCATTTTTCTAGTTTATTTTTGTATAATTACGAATTTTTTATTAAGGTATATAAATTATATGTTAAGTTGTAAAATTAATATCAAATTAATATTTTTAAAATCTGTTTATCAAAAATAAATAAAATTTTTTAAATCATTCAAAATATTATTAAAGTATTATTACAACTGACTACTTAGTTCATATACTTTTATGTAGTTTGTTTATTTTTGAAAAATTATGGAATTTTTGTTCAACATCTAAAGTTAAAATTTAAGTATCACTAATAAATAGTATTTAAATATTACTTTTATTTGAACTTACTCATATATAAAAAATCATATAGAATAATTGTAAATATTTATAAAAATATTAATTAGATCACTAAAATTCCAATAAACTAAATTATAAAATTTTTAAAGCAAAAATAATTTTGTAAATTATAAAAATAAAAGTGTTTCAATAAACTTAATTTTTAAAAAAAGCTAATAAGAATAAAGTTTCTAAAGGACAAAAATTTTTGAAAATTTCATTATTACAAAAAATATAACTTAACAAAAAATAATTTTCTTTTTAGAAATTATTAAAGTAAATAGATTTGAATAGCAGATATATTTTATCGCATGGGCATGATTCAACTAATTTTGCTTAATTAAATTTAAAATCTTTCAAATATTTATTGGTTGAAAAGAAATTATTAACATAAGATTAATAATTCGCTATTTATATTTATTAATTTTATTCCATCTATTTGCTCATTCAGTCATCCATTTCTTCTCCACTATCGTCAGAAACCTCACCAAAGTCATCGTACAAGTTTAGTTCGAATTATGTTAATTGTTTTATCCTCATAATTTTTCTCTTTAATAGCTCTTCTTAGTCATCTATATTATTCTCGCTTTAAATTATGATAGTAAAATAAAAAGTAAGAAACAAACTAAAAATTATATTTTCTAAAAGATAAAGAAATATATTTTTTATAATATTGCATTTACCCAAACCCTAAATACAATATTCTCAGATTTTGACAGTTTGCCAAAGTAGAAATAACTTCAGATGGGCCAAAATATCCAATTTTACTAAACCTTTATGAAAATAATAATAAAAATATATTTAAAAATAATTAGTTTCAAGCAAAAATGGTTTAAATTTTTTTTTGGAGATTAATAAAATTAGATATTTAAATAAATAAATACTATTTTAGAGATAAAATAGTTCTATAAAAAATAAAGCTTTGCTTGAATTAAATTAATATTTCTTGAAAGATTACCTGAGATCAAATTTCAAATACTAAAGATTAGTTAAATTTGTTAAACTTTTGCTTAAGCTTAAAGCACCTTCATAATTTATTTTATTATACCTTATTTTAAAATTTAAATTGTTTTAATAAAAGAGTAATTCAAGAAAAGTCATTTAAAATACTTTCCAAAACCAAAAAAGTTTGGTTTTGTAGTATTATTCATTAAAGTAAATAATATAAATAAATACTATAGCTCTAGTATTAGAGTAGAAAAGTTGATACACTATTTTAGTTTTTCACCTAAGAAGTAAGCTCCAAGAGAGCCAATTCTATTGTACCTTTATAAATTAATTTATTAGTTATTAATAAGACTAAAATTATGTAAATAAAAAAAATAAATTTGTTATTTATAAAATTTCCTCATTGTAAATAGTTTTCAATATTTTTTTAAAAAACCATTAATTATTTCTTACCACAAATCAAGTTGTAAGTATTTGAGATTAACAAATTAAGGTAATTTAGAACTAAAGTTAGCTATTCCTTTATCTTTAATGTTGTTCGATCTTTTTTATTTATGAAATAAATAATATCTTGAGCAAATATATTTACTTGTGATGTATTTTTTACAAACAAAATAAAATTTTACTTAAGCAAAAGAGACAAATCTGATAGTTCTGGTAACTTCATCAAAGCATTTGCTAATTCACTTATGCCATCATCACCGATTTTATTATTGCTATTAAAAAAATAGTGATAAATTATTTTACATAATATATCATTCATTATTTAATGCTTAAACATCTTTGAGGAATTAGATTTTTAAATAAATAAGAAAAAATGTATAAATAAAAAGATTATGTATGCTTCTTTACTCTATTTAGAGTTTTAATTTTTATAGATTTTAACATTTTGCTAAGCCTTATGCTAAATTAGCTGTACCCTCTGCACCAATTTCATTACCTCTTAAATAGAAAGAATGAAATAATAAATAGTTTTTTTAAAAAAAATTATGAATGAGATGAAGATAATTAATGAATAAAACCTAAACAAATTAAGCAACTTTATTTTTTTTTCTTAAAAATGGGTTAAAAGAGAAAAATTATTTTACCGAATTATTAATTCTAAATTTTAGAGGTTTTGACATTAAGATAAAGCTGCTCCGAACTAAGAGGCATGCTACCCATCTAAGCTATTGTGACTAATATAAATATAAAAATAATAATTAAAAATAAGGAAGTAATTATTGATTTTTTAATATATTTCAATATTGAAATTATTATTATTATATTAGTTAATTATGAGTCTATTTTGAAGCTATTAAAGTTATTGAAGAAATATGGTATGTACTAGCTTATTCCTAAGATAATATTTAAAGAATTGAATAATTTTTAAATACCTAAAATCAAGAAAAAGAGTAGAAACACTTTTAAAGCTAGGAAAGATAAAGATATTAGAAGAATAACCCAAGAGCCTTTTTTAATTTAATTGTAATCAAATAGATGAAATTTAAAATTTAGATCTTTGAAAGCCAATTAGATAGACTTTAAAATAATAAAAGGTTGAGTTTACCCATTTCCTTCGATACGATTAGAGCTTATAATATTTTTAATTTAAAGATTAAGTAAAACAAGAATTTGGCATATTATAAATTTATATACCATAGATATAATCTTAATTTTTTCAGATTCGAGCAATTATCTAAGGCAGAGCATATATTAGATTAAGCTTTTCCATCTAATTGATTAGACCTTTTTGTGGTAATAATAAAATAATTATTGACTTTTTATGAATTTTAAAATGATCACTAAATATTATGGTTATTAAAATTAAATTTTATATTTAAATTCTGTTTGCTTTCTCATAAATATTTTTAAGAGAAACTTATTCTTTAGAATCTAAAATTAGAAAATAGTTAGTTATCTATCTATCTATTTACCCTAATTTGAGAGTCAATTCTGAGAGTTTAGCACATTTTGAAATTCCCAAAGCTAAATTATAAGCAAAATTAGAACCATTTATACTTAAATCATTGAAATTATTTCTACTTGTTAATAATAATAAATAATAATTTCTAAAGAAAAAAATTTGAAAAAATTGATAACTAACATATAGGATTATTTTTTTTTTAAATTAAAGATTAAAAATTAAAACTTAAAATATAAATTAATCAAATAAATTACTCAAGATCAATAGCTAGAATTGATAAATTATGACATTAAGCTAATTACGATCCTAAAATTGATATTTTCTATTCTTCTATTTTACAGTAACTTTTTATAATATATAAAGCAAATTAAAAATAATAATGAAATATAATCAAGCAAATTTAAAAAAAAGCCCCCAACTTTTAGAGAGTAATTAATGATTTTTTTAAATCTAATAAAATTTTTAATTTAATAATTTATAGTTGAGTGTAAGGGGTAATTAAAACTAAAGTGTTTATTGTATTCCTCATATTTTTTTTATTTTAAAATAGATTTAATGCTTTTTATAAATTTTAGTTAGTAAAATTTAGCTAAATCAGAATTACGAGAGATCAAGGTTCAAATTTGAGAGATTTGGTAAATTTACTAAGCCCTAGCTTAAAGCTTCAATATGTTCACTCATGTTGATACCTCTTTTGATGAATTTGTTAAAAATTTAAGTTAAAAATAAAGAAGAAACAAATAAAAAAATGATGAGTAATAAATGTTTTGATTTAAAAAATAAATAACAAACAATATCTCATAAATAAAAGTTCTTTATTTGTCATTACATCTATGTGAACAAAAAGCAAAAAAGAAAGTTAAATTTACCCTAATTTTATTGATAAAGTAGAGAGTTTGGTGCATTTTTTTAAATTTGATATTAAAATAGTTAGAAACTCAATATCGGAAGGACAACTATCACTTTTAAAAATAAAAATTAGCAGATAAAACAGTTTAGATAAAAAATTTGATAAAAATTATAAAACAAACTAGTATTACTAATCAGGCTCGATAATTAGTGTTTTTAAATATGGTAAATTTGAAAAAGTTTCAATAATATTAGACTCTATTATAGGATCTGTTGGTTTCTTACTATTTAGCATATAAAAATAGTAAAGGTTTAATTAATTAATTAAAAATCAAAATAAAAAAAAGAAAATTTTATAAAATTTTTATTTTAAGATGAGAAAAATAAATAAGTAAATAGTTTAATATTTCATTTTTTTTCATTTCTTTAATTTATAGATAGTAAATATATTATTTTAAGCTTTTTAAAGAAATATAAAATTATAAACATTGAAAATTGGCTTCTAAATATTAATAGTAAAATATTTAATTACAAATAATTCACTTCAAGTATAGACTCATCAGAAAATCTTTAACCACTAAACTTTTATTGAAATATAATTAAAGGATTTGATTTTTCAATAAAATTTGTTTTACTTCTTCTAGAGATTTGTATTAACCCTTTATAAATATCATATTTTTTTTAATTATCCTTTTTTTTTTCAAATTTAATTAATTTTTTTGTTTGTAATAATTATTTGTTATTAAAAAAACACTCACAGATTTATAACAATAATTTCGTTTTAAATAATCAAAATTTGATGATCCACAATATTCCCGCTATTAGAAATTTAATCAGAATTAAAAATTTTATCTTTATCTATATCATTAATCAAAGCATTATCAAGATCAAATAAGCATTTATCCATTAAGCAAGATATTTTTGACAAGCGCAAAATAAAATTCAAACACCAACTCTTAAATAGGCGCATTTTTATTATTTATTGCTTTTTATAAATATATAATAATTTTTATTATTAAAACATATATATATATATATACTGTAAATGCTCATTAATTAAGGCATTTTTTTTTTCGATTATGGCATGTTTTTTAATAAAAATTTGTTAAAAAAGTTTTTAAAAAAGTCTGAAAATGTAGCCCTCCAAGTAAAATACTCGGAAGGCGAAAAAATAGTAAAGTAGAAAGGTTTTTTCTACCTACTGATCTAAAAATGCTCCTATTGTAAATTCTCTGTATTTAAATAGTTCTTTTATTTGAGCACAGTCTGATATAAAAAACCATAAAGAATAATTGTATAATATTTATACAAATATTTTATCAATTAAAAATTTCATAATCTATTATTAATTTTTAAACAAAAATAATCAATAAAATAATTTTGTAAGTTTTAAAATAAAAATAATTCAATTAATTAAATTTTTTTAAAAAGTTAATAAGAAAAAAGTTTCTAAAGGACAAAAATTTTTGAATATATCACTATTGCAAAAAAATATAGATATCACAATTATAAACAATTTTCTTTTTTAGAAATTATTAAAGAAAATAGATTTGAATAGCAGATAAATATAATCTCATGGGCGGGATTCAACTAATTTTCAAATAATTATTGGATGAAAAGAAAATATTAACTTAAGATTAACAATTTTCTATTTTATTTATTGATTTTATTCCATCTATTTACTCATTCAGTCATCCATTTCTTCTCCACTATCGTTAGAAACCTCACCAAAGTCATCGTACAAATTTAATTCGAATTATATTAATTGTTTTATCCTCATAATTTTACTCTTTAATAGCTCTTCTTAGTCATCTATATTATTCTCACTTTAAATTATGGTTAAAAAATAAAAATTAAGAAACAAATTAAAAATTAAATTTGCTAAATGATAAAGATATATATTTTATCTTTAAAATATTGCATTTACCCAAACCCTAAAATTAATATTCTCAGATTTTTGCAGTTCGCCAAAGTAGAAATAACTTCAGATGGGCCAGAATATCCAATTTTACTAAACCTTAATGAAAATAATAATAAAAATAAATATAAAATAAATAAAAAAGTTTAAAATAAAACTATTTTTAGAATAAAAATGGTTTAAATATTTTTTGGTAGATTGATAAAAGTAGATATACCAATACTATTTTTGAGATAAAATAGTTCTATAAATAATAAAGCTTTGTTTGAAATAAATTAATATTTCTTGAAAGATTACCTGAGATCAAGTTTCAAATACTAAAGATTAGTTAAATTTGTTAAACTTTTGCTTACACATAAAGCACCTTCATAACTTATTTTATTATACCTTATTTTAAAATTTAAATTGTTTTACTAAAGAAGTAATTCAAGAAAAATCAGTTTAAATATTTTCCAAAACCATAAGTAGATAATTTTTGTTATTTTTGTTTTGGTTTTGTAGTATTATTTATAGAAGTAAATAATATAAATAAGTACTATAGATTTAGTATTAGAGTAGAAAAGTTGATACATTATTTTAGTTTTTCACCTAAGGACTAAGCTCCAAGAGAACTAATTCTATTGTACCTTTACAAATTAATTTATTAGTTATTAATAAGAGTAAAACATTATGTAAAAAAACAAGTAAAAAAAATAAATTTGTTATTTATAAAATTTCCTCATTAGTGAATAACTTTCAATATTTTTAAAAAAAACAAGTAAATATTTCTTACCATAAATCAAGTTCTAAGTATTTGAGATTAGCAAATTAAGGTAATTTAGAACTAAAGTTAGCTATTCCTTTATCTTTAATGTTGTTTGATCTTTTTTATTTATGAAATAAATAATATCTTGAGCAAATATATTTACTTGTGATATATTTTTTACAAACTAAATAATATTTTACTTAAGCAAAAGAGATAAATCTGATAGTTCTGGTAACTTGATCAAAGCATTTGCTAATTCACTTATGCCATCGTCACCAATTTTATTATTGCTATTAAAAGAATAGTGATAGATTATTTTACATAATTTATCATTCATTATTTAATGCTTAAACATCTTTAGGAATTAGATTTTTAAATAAATAGGAAAAAATGAAAAAATAAAAATATTATGTATGCTTCTTTACTTTATTTAGAGTTTTAATTTTTATAGATTTTAACATTTTGCTAAGCCTTATGCTAAATTAGCTGTACCCTCTGCACCAATTTCGTTACCTCTTAGATAGAAAGAATGAAATAATAGATAGATTATTTTAAAATAATAAATATGAATCAGATGAAGATAATTAATTAATAAAATCTAAACAAATTAAGCAACTTTATTCTTTTTTTCTTAAAAATAGGTTAAAAGAGAAAACTTATTTTACGCAATAATTAATTCTAAATTTTAGAGGTTTTGGCATTAAGATAAAGCTGCTCCGAACTATGAGGCATGCTACCCATCTAGGTTATTGTATCTAAAATAAATATAAAAATAATAATTAAAAGTAAGGAAGTGATTATTGATTTTTTAATATATTGAAATATTTTCAAATGTGATATTATTATTATATTAATTAATTATGAGTCTATTTTGAGGCTATTAAAGTTATTGAAGAAATATGGTAGGTACTAGCTTATTCCTAAGATAATATTTAAAGAATTTAATAATTTTTAAATACCTAAAATCAAGAAAAAGAGTAGAAACACTTTTAAAGCTAGGTAAGATAAAGCTTTTAGAAGGTTAACTCTAATTATAATTTTAACCCAAGAGCCTTTTATTATTTAATTGTAATCAAATAGATGAAATTTAAAATTTAGATCTTTGAAAGCTAATTAGATAGACATTAAGATAATAAAGGGTTGAATTTACCACATTCCTTCAATATGATTAGAGCTTATAATATTTTTAATTTAAAGATTAAGTAAAACAAGAATTTTGCATATTATAAATTTATATACGATAGATTTAGGGCTAATTTTTTCAGATTCGAGCAATTTTCTAAGGCAGTGCATATATTAGATTAACATTTTCCATCTAATTGATTAGAACTTTGTAGTAATAAAATAATAATTAATGACTTTTTATGAATTTTAAAATGATCACTAAATATTATGGTCTTTAAAATTAAATTTTATATTTAAAGTCTGCTTGCTTTCTCATAAACATTTTTAAGAGAAAATTATTCTTTAGAATCTAAAATAAGAAAATAGTTAGTTATCTATCTATTTACTTTAATGACAGAGTCAATTCTGAGAGTTTAGGAAATTTTGAAATTAGCAAAGCTAAATTATAAGCAAAATTAGAACCATTTAAACTTACATCATTGAAATTGTGTCTATTTGTTAACAAAAATAAATAATGATTTCTAAAAAATAAAGAAAAAAAATTGAAAAAATTGATAGCTATAGCATATTGGATTTTTTTTTAAAATTAAAGATTAAAAATTAAAACTTAAAATATAAATTAATCAAATAAATTACTCAAGATCAATGGCTAGAATTGATAAATTATGACATTAAGCTAATTACTATCCTAAAATTGATATTTTCTTTTCTTCTATTTTACAGTAACTTTTTTTATAAATAAAGCAAAATTAAAAATATTATGAAATATGATCAAGCAAAATTATATAACAGCCCCCAACTTTTAAAGAGTAATTAATGATTTTTTTAAATTAATAAAAATTTTAATTTAATAATTTATAGTTGAGTGTAAGGGGTAATTAAAACTAAAGAGTTTATTGTATTCCTCATATTTTTTTTATTTTAGAATAGATTTAATGCTTTTTATAAATTTTAGTTAGTAAAATTGAGGTAAATCTGAATTACGAGAGATCAAGGTTCAAATTTGAGAGATTTGGTAAATTTATTAAGCCCTGGCTTAAAGCTTCAATATGTTCACTCATGCTGATACCTCTTTTGATGAATATGTTAAAAATTTAAGTTAAAAATAAAGAAGAAACAAATAAAAAAATGATGAATAATAAATGTTTTGTTTAAAAAATAAATAACAAACAATATCTCATAAATAAAAGTTCTTTATTTGTCATAACATCTATGTGAACAAAAAGCACTAAAGAAAGTTAAATTTACCTAACTATTATTGATAAAGTAGAGAGCTTGGTGCATTTTTTTAAATTTGATACTAAAATAGTAAGAAACTCTATATCGGAGGCACAACTATTACTTTTAAAAATAAAAATTAGCAGATAAAAAGCTTAGATAAAAAAATGAGTTAAAAATTATAAAACAAACTAGTATTACAACCCTTGCTCGATAATTAGTGTTTTTAAATTTGGTAAATTTGAAAAAGTTTCAATAATATTAGACTCTATTATAGGATCTGATGGTTTCTTACTATTTAGCATATAAAAATAGTAAAGATTTAATTAATTAATTAAAAATCAAAATAAAAAAAAAGAAAATTTTATAAATTTTTTATTTTATAATGAGAAAAATAAATAAATAAATCGTTTAATATTTCATTTGTATCATTTCTTTAATTTATAGAAAGTAAATCTTTTATTTTAAGCTTTTTAAAGAAATATAAAATTATAAACATTGAAATTTGGCTTCTAAACATTAATACTAAAATAGTTAATTACAAAGATCTCAAATCGAGTATAGACTCATCAGACAATCTTTAATCACTAAACTTTTATTGAAATATAATTAAAGGATTTGATTTTTCAATAAAATTACTTTTTCTAGAGATTCGTATTAACCCTTTATAAATATCATATTTTTTTTAATTATCCTTTTTTTTCAAATTTAATTAATTTATTTGTTTGTAATAATTATTTGTTATTAAAAAAAACACTCACAAATTTATAACAATAATTTCACTTTAAATAATCAAAATTTGATAGCCCAAAATATTCCCGCTATTAGAAATTTAATCAGAATTAAAAGATATTTTTGACA